GACAGGAAAGGTGATGACAGGATCAGTGAGTACAGAAATAAATGGTGACAGGAAAGATAATGACAGGATCAGTGAGTACAGAAATAAATGGTGACAGAAAAGGTGATGACAGGAGCAGACAGCTCAGAAATAAATGGTGACAGGAAAGGTGATGACAGGATCAGTGAGCACAGAAATAAATGGTGACAGGAAAGGTGATGACAGGATCAGTCAGCACAGAAATAAATGGTGATAGGAAATATGACAGGATTGGTCAGCACAGAAGTAAATGGTGATAGGAAAGATGGCAGGATCGGTCAGCACAGAAGTAAATGGTGACAGGAAAGGTGACATGATCGGTCAGCACAGAAGTAAAAGGTAACAGGAAAGGTGACAAGATCGGTCAGCACAGAAATAAATGGTGATAGGAAAGGTGATGACAGGATCAGTGAGCACAGAAATATATTGTGACAGAGAAGAATACACAGAATGAAGACTGGTGAAAAAACCATGAGGAAAAAAAGCAAAAAAAATGTACCGAAATGAAGATTAAGAGAAATTTTATGGAGGGAAAATTGCAACAGAAGGTCAGGAAAATGACAATCAAGAGAAGATTATGGAAAAGATAGAAAAGTGAAAGTCCTTAATTGGATAGGGAGTCCTGAGAAAAAAAAAAGTGAAACTTAATATTCTAATTGACAAGGAAGTATATTTGTATCTTCTTCTTTTTCTTCTTTGTTCACCGGCTGTGAATTCCGACATAAGGTCCTGGTAGTTCTTTCATTTAGACTTTTGACTTTTACCTGGACCTGAGTTTTGTGTGTACAACCGTTTTACTGGCTTTTGCCGTTGCCTGCCTTTCGGGCAGATGTACTCCCAGTTTGAGGAGAAATTGGGTCATCTCTGTTTGCTGGTGAATGTGTTGGAGCTGCGGTGTTACCTCGGTTATGTGTGATTGTGAACTTGTAAAACTAATGTTGACTGCTACATGATGAACAAACACACTAGTAACCCAACCAAAGATCAATGCTTACCTGATGACCCCTGAACCCAGGCCACCTGCCACCACATTAACAGATCTTCCCTCTGGAGCACAGGAGTACACCAAACAGTTAATGGTGTCTGCAACTTTCTGAGTGGCCACATGAGCTGCATTGATTGTATGAAGCTGTAGACTGCTGGACTCAGCACCTGCAGGAGACAAGGAATATAACTCTGCCAGAAAACTCATCCTCTTAACCAGACAGGGAATACAACATACTATACGCACAAATACACACACAAACTGAATGATAAACAAACTGAGTGAACAAAGTGATCAAAATGTAGCTAAAATGAAATCCCTCTTCTTCTGGTTTCATCTTCAAAAGCAGACTGGATACACTGTGATTATTGAGAGCTGAGTAATTTAATGAAAAACAACAAGAATACAAGTTGTGTGCGTGTGATCTGTTCTTGTTTGCTGGCACATGCTGGACACTCAGTAGTGAAATGTGCTGACTGACAAGTTGTGTGTGTGACCTGTTCTTGTTTGCTGACACATGCTGGACACTCAGTAGTGAAACTGGGAAGAAACTGGAGACAGCTGAAATGTAGTTCTTTCAAAGAATATTGAGCTTATTTGGGCATATATTACTTGCTACTGGTTATCTGTATCAACATCATAGCAATGGGTTATTCAGCTTTGTCTACCAAGGGAACAACATGTGAACAAGCGGGATTGTGGTGGAGCACGGACCTGAGCACTAGTAATGAAGCATCACTAATTCAAAAGAGCTCGTAAAGATCTGCAGGCCATTTGCTAGGCCTCCGTGGACTGGATTCGATGAACAGGCCACCAATTGAATAACCCTGCCCCATCACATGGGTCTGACCCATTCCTGCAGCCATCTCAGTGTCTCCATGCTGAGTGTCTCCATGCTGAGTGTGTGTCTCCATGCTGAGTGTCTCCATGCTGAGTGTCTCCATGCTGAGTGTCTCCATGCTGAGTGTTTCCATGCTGAGTGTCTCCATGCTGAGTGTCTCCATGCTGAGTGTCTCCATGCTGAGTGTCTCCATGCTGAGTGTGTGTCTCCATGCTGAGTGTGTGTCTCCATGCTGAGTGTCTCCATGCTGAGTGTCTCCATGCTGAGTGTCTCCATGCTGAGTGTCTCCATGCTGAGTGTCTCCATGCTGAGTGTCTCCATGCTGAGTGTCTCCATGCTGAGAGTGCCCAGTAGCAATTGGAGTGGCATAATATTCTTTCTGTGCTTGTCTATGTGCTTGTCTATGTGCTGGGCTATGCAGGTGTTTTGCTTGTCTATGTGCTGGGCTATGCAGGTGTTCAAGGCGATGAGGATGCAAATCTTGCCGACAATGCAATTACCACGACCGGGCTTAGACTTTAAGGATGTCATTATTGCCATCCTTGCCCAGGTTGGTGGACATGAGGATGTAACCTGGGACAGCTAGACTTGAAGGATGTCATTATTGCCATCCTTGCCCAGGTTGGTGGACATGAGGATGTAACCTGGGACAGCTAGACTTGAAGGATATCATTATTGCCATCCTTGCCCAGGTTGGTGGACATGGGGATGTAACCCGGGACAGCTAGATATAAACATTTATCATCAAGGGCACAAAGCACCTGGTTAATCAACACAGAATGCACGTGATCAGTCATTTTACTCATGTGGAGCTACTGAGGATGAGATCGGATCACCTATGGATCTGTCCAGAGTGTTGTGAAGACAGTCTTCATGAATCATTTTGCTCTGCAAGCAGATTCTGCATGCTATCGTCTTTTAGCACTCATTTTTAACAGGCAGTTGTTCATCTCTGACTCTGCAGTCTTAATGTCTTTGGAACAGCACATTCAGTACGTCTGCCCTGTCCCTACTTTTTCCTCCTCTAACCCCTGCAAACATGGCCAGTCAGCTCTTTCATTTCCTTTCACCCTGGCATGTCCTGGTGTGTATCGCCAAGATAGTTACTTCTGGCACAACTGGATGCTTTCAACTTATTCTAGTCAGAGTTGCCAGTTTGCTAAACAAGGAGCTAAATTCAGATGACAACAGCAATAAAAAATACTCTACCTGACTGACTAACACTGGCAATGTCTCCTAGGCTGCTGCTAACTGTCAAGGTCGTCACCTCGGCACAATGGCTGTTGATTGACCTCACATAGGTCAACCTGTTGAGGTCCCAGATGATGCAGGTTCCATCGCTGCTACCGCTGACCAGGATGCTGAACTCCTGGCAGACGCACAATGTGGTTATGGGACCTGAGTGGCCATACAGTGTCTTCTTGATGCCTCGAACCTGCAGGTTACTCGGCTGTTGAAACAAGTCAATAATCAAGAATTCAACAAGCCATGGGTTCATTTGGGTTCAATCTTTCAGTAACAGAAACAAGTCACTAATCAAGAATTCAACAAGCCATGGGTTCATTTGGGTTCAATCTTTCAGTAACAGAAACAAGTCACTAATCAAGAATTCAACAAGCCATGGGTTCATTTGGGTTCAATCTTTCAGTAACATAAACAAGTCAATAATCAAGAATTCAACAAGCCATGGATTCAATCTTTCAGTAACAGAAACAAGTCACTAATCAAGAATTCAACAAGCCATGGGTTCAATCTTCAGTAACAGAAACAAGTCACTAATCAAGAATTCAACAAGCCATGGGTTCAATCTTTCAGTAACAGAAACAAGTCACTAATCAAGAATTCAACAAGCCATGGGTTCAATCTTTCAGTAACAGAAACAAGTCACTAATCAAGAATTCAACAAGCCATGGGTTCAATCTTTCAGTAACAGAAACAAGTCACTAATCAAGAATTCAACAAGCCATGGGTTCAATCTTTCAGTAACAGAAACAAGTCACTAATCAAGAATTCAACAAGCCATGGGTTCAATCTTTCAGTAACAGAAACAATTCACTAATCAAGAATTCAACAAGCCATGGGTTCAATCTTTAAGTAACAGAAAGAAGTCACTAATCAAGAATTCAACAAGCCATGGGTTCAATCTTTCAGTAACAGAAACAAGTCACTAATCAAGAATTCAACAAGCCATGGGTTCAATCTTTAAGTAACAGAAACAAGTCAATAATCAAGTACTCAACAAGCCATGGGTTCAATCTTTAAGTAACAGAAAGAAGTCACTAATCAAGAATTCAACAAGCCATGGGTTCAATCTTTCAGTAACAGAAACAAGTCACTAATCAAGAATTCAACAAGCCATGGGTTCAATCTTTAAGTAACAGAAACAAGTCAATAATCAAGTACTCAACAAGCCATGGGTTTATTTAGGTTCGATCTTTCAGTAACAGAAACAAGTGCAACAACCACAATGAATGCTGGTAATTTCAAAGAGGCACGAGATTTACACTTCAAAGCATTAACATCCAGGACACAACACTGTGAGCTGTGGATTTGTCAGGACACAATACTGTGAGCTGTGGATTTGTCAGGACACAACACTGTGAGCTGTGGATTTGTCAGGACACAACACTGTGAGCTGTGGATTTGTCAGGACACAACACTGTGAGCTGTGGATTTGTCAGGACACAATACTGTGAGATGTGGATTTGTCAGGACACAACACTGTGAGCTGTGGATATGATGGGGAATGTTTGTTCTGTTCTATCTGTGGCAGTTTTGTTTTGACAACTGTATTACAAATAAGGGGGGGGGGGGGGGGTCTCTGATTATGTTCAGAATGGCACACACTTATACTGTACTGCCTGTGCAAATGTTGGCTTTGGAGACTAAATGCATGCATCAACAGTGAGATGCATTTCTAGCAGGCCTGATATTCCACTGGAACAGGAACACAGCAGTTATGGCTCTTAGCAATAAAGCAAAATAATGGATACATTTTAAAAAGCCAAAAAAAAAAAAAAAAAAAATTGTAATCTTAAAAATAAAGTTATATTTAAATAAACATATAGCAAAAATATGCTTTTAAAAAACAAATCATAAAAATGAAGCAAAAAAAATAGAACTCAACAAAGAAAAATTAACCAATAATAAAATTACCTTTGAGGAATTGTGGGTCATGGAGTAGACATTGATGATCCCTGCAGACCCAGCTATGAACAACAAGCGGCAATCTGGGACCGACTCCACACATGAGATCTGGGGAAACAGCAAACACAATATACAATAATGAAGCATCTGGGACAAACTCCAAACAAGAGATCTGGGGAAACAGCAAACACAATATACAATAATGAAGCATCTGGGACAAACTCCAAACAAGAGATCTGGGGAAACAGCAAACACAATATACAATAATGAAGCATCTGGGACAAACTCCAAACAAGAGATCTGGGGAAACAGCAAACACAATATACAATAATGAAGCATCTGGGACAAACTTCAAACAAGAGATCTGGGGAAACAGCAAACACAAGATACAAAAATAAAACATCCAGGACAAACTCCACATATGAGATAACAGTTAAACTAGAAAATATACAAAGATTTTCCCTCCAATCAGTTGTTACCCTAACCCATTTTGTCTCAGCCAGCTATTATATTTACACACTTTGTCCTACTCGTCAATGGATTCATCTTTTCTTCCAACATTTGTCCTTTATTGTTCCTTAGACAGCAGGCTTTCAACCAACTCAAGCCATTCTAGCTTCTGCAATCTGCAGCAGCATAGGACCCTAACAAATGCACACCAAGTAAATCGATTTTCTGCCATCTGCTGCAGAGTAGAAACTCAACATATTCACACCAAGCCATTCTCAGTTCTGCTATATCTAGCAGAGATCTCAAATCTGCCATATCTAGCAGAGATCTCAGTTCTGCTATATCTAGCAGAGATCTCAGTTCTGCTATATCTAGCAGAGATCTCAAATCTGCCATATCTAGCAGAGATCTCAAATCTGCCATATCTAGCAGAGATCTCAAATCTGCCATATCTAGCAGAGTTGGCCATTAAGCAGCCGATTAATCTTCTATAATCTTTGGCAGAATAAGCCATCAAGCAGCTGATGCCAAATCCTTGAATCTTCTGTCATCTCTGACAGAATAGGCCATCAGGCAGCTGATCTCAAATCCTTGAATCTTCTGTCATCTCTAACAGAATAGGCCATTAAGCAGCTGATACCAAATGCTTGAATCTTCTCTCACCTCCGGCAGCTCGTCAATGCATATTAGTTATATGGTGATCCCTAATGTTTACAGACCAGTCAGCACTTGATGATGATGTGGTCAATGTTCTACTGCAACCACTGAAAGGACTAATATTTAGATTTGCAAATCATCACAAATTAGCATACAAGAGCCTTCCTTCCACAGAAACAGCACAGAGAACAGAAACAACACAGAGAGCAGAAGCAACACAGAGAACAGAAACAATACAGAGAACAGAAACAACACAGAGAACAGAAACAACACAGAGAACAGAAAAAACACAGAGAACAGAAACAACACAGAGAACAGAAACAACACAGAGAACAGAAACAACACAGAGAACAGAAACAACACAGAGAACAGAAACAACACAGAGAACAGAAACAACACAGAGAACAGAAAAAACACAGAGAACAGAAACAACACAGAGAACAGAAAAAACACAGAGAGCAGAAACAACACAGAGAACAGAAACAACACAGAGAACAGAAACAACAAAGGGAACAGAAACAACGAAGAGAACAGAAACAACAAAGAGAACAGAAACAACGAAAAGAACAGAAACAAGGGGAACTTACTCTCCCACAAGAAGGCTGTGGAGGCAGGAAATTGATCAGAGGCTTATCCTGGTAGCTGCGGATGCGGATAATGTTGTCATGGTAACCCCACGTAATCACACCAGCCCACATGACATCCACAGATCGAACTGCCAGATCTGGACACAGTTTGATTACATAAACGATTACAGATCATAAACTAACCTCTGTGTCTCATGTGTGCTACAGTACTTAATCATATCACCCTGAGAAGCCGAAAACTGACACTTCCTGTTGGGTCCAGTTCCCCGTAAATGTAACTTTTCTGATTTGCCTATCGTTACTGTTTTTTTTATAAGGTATACAGTTAATGCTATTGGCTGAATTTGCACCTATACAAACATTCAGGAGGTCAGGAGGTCAGAATATCAATAAATAACTCAACAATAGCACTTAGAGGAGCTTTCCTTTGTGTTAAAAGCATTTTTTTTTTTAAATTAATTTTTTTATTTAAGCTAAGACAACTTCAGATTTTCTCATAAACCTCCATGATAAAGGTCGTGTGGTCACAGTACAAGACACCTGATTTGTGTGTGTTCTTGAGGCCCCTGAGACTGTATTCAAATTAATGCTGCACCCAGTACATGTTTCTGACTACTCCTTTCATATATCTTCATACATTTCTAAACATAATGTTCAAATGTTGATAAATACATTTTAAATAAATTTATCAGTGATCTGTGTTAAAAGTGTTGTTTTTACCCAAAAAATTCAGGAATCCTAACAGGATCGTGACCCTTTTTTAAAATACAGTTCTTGGGGTGAATAAGTTTAGTTAACAATAAAACAAATCAGAAAGAGACATCGATTCACCATCAGAAACTAAAGATAATTTGATCTCATTTTATTTTAGTGAGGTTGACACTCTGAGGAACCAACTCCAGCATCTTCTTTTCCCCCCAAAAAATTTGTCTTTGCAGAAGTAAAGCTGCATTAGTGTCTGCAAACAGAAGTAACACTGCGTTAGTGTCTGGCAACAGAAGTAACGCTGCGTCAGTGTCTGGCAACAGAAGTAACGCTGCGTCAGTGTCTGGCAACAGAAGTAACGCTGCGTCAATGTCTGGCAACAGAAGTAACGCTGCGTCAGTGTCTGGCAACAGAAGTAACACTGCGTCAGTGTCTGGCAACAGAAGAAACACTGCGTCAGTGTCTGGCAACAGAAGTAACGCTGCCTCAGTGTCTGGCAACAGAAGTAACGCTGCGTCAGTGTCTGGCAACAGAAGTAACGCTGCGTCAGTGTCTGGCAACAGAAGTAACACTGCGTCAGTGTCTGGCAACAGAAGTAACGCTGCGTCAGTGCCTGGCAACAGAAGTAACACTGCGTCAGTGTCTGGCAACAGAAGTAATGCTGCGTCAGTGTCTGGCAAAAGAAGTAATGCTGCGTCAGTGTCTGGCAAGAGAAGTAACGCTGCGTCAGTGTCTGGCAACAGAAGTAACACTGCGTCAGTGTCTGGCAACAGAAGTAACGCTGCTTCAGTGTCTGGCAACAGAAGTAACGCTGCGTCAGTGTCTGGCAACAGAAGTAACGCTGCGTCAGTGTCTGGCAAAAGAAGTAACGCTGCGTCAGTGTCTGGCAAGAGAAGTAACGCTGCGTCAGTTTCTGGCAAGAGAAGTAACGCTGCGTCAGTGTCTGGCAAGAGAAGTAACGCTGCGTCAGTGTCTGGCAAGAGAAGTAACACTGCGTCAGTGTCTGGCAAAAGAAGTAACGCTGCTTCAGTGTCTGGCAACAGACACACCAGGACTTCTCTAGAATTTCTCATGGAAACTAACCTAGCTAATGGCTGCAGGGTTCAACCAGGATTTCTGTTTCCTAGAAACTAAGCTAGCAAATGAGTAAAAGATTAAACTTTAATTTTTCCAGACTTTTTTACGGAGCATCCTGAAAAGCACCTGGAACAGCACATATAAAGACTGATTAATTATTTCATGACTTCATGTCAGTGCTTGGTATATATCCAACCAAACTAAAAGTAGACACAGTCAGCTCTACATCAACACAAACGAGAAGTGAAAGTGGCAGCTAGAAAACCTTCATCAGCACAGTACAGGAATAGACAATATCAAAAACACGAACAAGAATGCAAATAATAAACTTAGCTGAAATATCTCTGAGGGAAATCACATGTCTTTTAGGCCAGCTGAATATACGACGCGTATGTGACCACCAAAAAAAAATTCTAGATAGAAAAAAACCATGAACAGAAGAAAAATACTGGCTATTTCAGACCTCTTTGCTTGGCGTGAAGTAAGAGAATGTTGGAGTTTCTCTCCACACCAAACACTTGGCCAGTGCGTACAGCTACAAGTCTTTTTATGCTGGAGGCTCGGCCAATCTCCTGCGACACAGGTGGAGCCAGGTCTGGCGATCCAACGTAATTACCCCATTTGAGACCAGACACTGTCGGAACTGGCTTGCACTGCAAATATAAACATGATAATTATTGATACTATTATGATACGTAATGTTATCAATATCATTAACTTGATCAATTGTGGCTTTGCTAGAATTTTCTAGTACCTATTTTTGGATTAGGTCAATGTAGGAGTGCAGGTCAATTAAAACAAATAACTGCTTTGAAGGGGGATTTAAACATACGGCCGTTGGGTTGCAGGCTGGGGCTCCCTCATATCTAGGTTCCTTAAATATATCACCATCAGCGAATAGCTTTGCCAAATGGTAAGTTTCTTAACAACCAGAGACCTGCAACAGAATATATCCACATTATGATCAAAGGCTGTCACATTGACATCCAGAGACCTGCAACAGAATATATCCACATTATGATCAAAGGCTGTCACATTGACATCCAGAGACCTGCAACCGAATGTATCCACATTATAATCAAAGGCTGTCACACTTCACCTGTCATTACATTCATCCATCTCTCTGTTACAACAGATTTCATTTTTTCATTTTGCACAATATGTTGAAAGGTGGGAGGATCAATTGCACTTTTAATCCAATGGGGCTGAGTCTCCCACCTCAGAGTGACTGGTCATCTGCTGGCAGCATTGCACCACCTAGGCAGCTCCAGGGACTCACCCCATGAATGTTCAAAATATGAACTAGTGAAACAAATTATGTACCCTGAGAATGACCCCGTGGTCTTAACAAGTCAAGCTGCTCTACCACTTTAGAGGAAGACCCTCTTATTCTAAACACTTTTTTTAATTAACAAGAGATCATTAAATATGTGTGTAAAATACAAGAATAATATAAAATAGTTCAACTCTGTCCAAGTAAAGTGGGATTTAATCATTTTTGATTAATGTTAGACCAAAAAATTGTTATCTGATTAACACGAGATAGCATGTTTTTTTTAAAATCAATGTGAGACATTAAAAGCTTTTTAAAATTTCATCTGACTAATGTTAAATAAAGAAAGTTTTATCTCATTAATGTGAGATAATGACGGTTTTATCTGGTTAATGTGAGATAATTAAACTTTTAAAGTTTTATTTGACTAATGTCTCTCAGATAATGAAAGTTTTATCTCAATAATGTAAGATATTAAAACTTCAAAATGTTATTTGATGAATGAGATAAAACTGTCATCTAATTAATGTGAGATAATGTAAACTACACCTACCGTATACAGTTTGTGTTTCTCACTGTCTCCGACAGACCAGCGCACCTGGTTGGCTGTGTGTGGATTGCGGAAGAGCTGTTTTGGTGTCTGTCCATATGTTCGAATCATAGTCAGCAGTGCCTGGCGTTTTACATTATCCTTGATGCCACTAGCATCCACACCAAAGTAAGTCTGTGAAACAGAAATAAATCACTCAAACAATCACATCCACACCAAAGTAAGAAAAAAATCATCCAAACAATCACATCCACAGATACTGAAACTCAAGAATCTAGTGAACAGATACTGACACCAAAAACTCACCGATGGGTGGAATACATTAATGGCTTTGACAGCTTCCTCTCCTTGCTGCTTGTAGCCAAAGACCAAATCAATCCATAGATGCAGGTGCCTGGTGACGATCGTTGATTCCAGAGCTTGTCTGTTGATCAGCACAAACAGCCGAGCATCACCGCCACACCATGGGGGCATCGTCACATGATTGACACGTTCACCATTTTGACGCAAACCAAAGTCAAAACCTGTAAATTAATCAAAAGTTCTTTTATATACATTTAAAAAACACATTAAAAAAAACACACCTAAACAAGTATAATATGAGATGTCTGACAAAAAGCTGAAGAAGTGAGCAGAACAGATAAATCAGGAATGAAGTCATGAGAGAAAAGGTTGGCACAGAACCGAATACCTTCACATTCACCGGCTGTAAACTCCAGCAGAAAGTTCTAGTTGTTCATTCCCTTCTGGACTCTAGTCCTGATCCAGAACTGAGAGTTGCGTGCACATCCATTTCACAGGTCTGACTCACTTGCCAGATTGTTGGTTCCTTGCCTCTGATGCGGATGTACTCGGACTTCAAAGTAAGCTCTCAATTAGTTTACTCTTGTCTTCCCCACAATGGGCCCTGAAACCCCCACACAGGGAGAAATGTAGAACATTAGATACAACAAGGAGAAGGAGAAAAAGATAGTTCTTTGGTCATGTGTTGAGAAAAGGAGCATTGTAAACAAATTGTGATGACTGGAAGGATCATTGGTAGAAGATGCAGAAGCAGACCAAGAGAAATGATGCTGGATGGCTTAAGACTGTGGCATAGAGGAATATCAACAGTGGAATATCAACAGTGGAATATCAACAGTGGAATATCAACAGTGGAATATCAACAGTGGAATATCAACAGTGGAATATCAACAGTGGAATATCAACAGTGGAATTGATCTGGAACACCAAATACCAACGTCTTTGGAGATGCATGGACGCCTATGCCAGCTGGCAAGGCACTTGATGATGTTGTTGATGATGATAATAACAAAGGTGAAATAGTAAACAACCTATTTCCACATCTTAAGGACTACAGGGCACACGATGCCAGCCATATATGGGGACAATTAGGAGGGATAGAGACAAAAAAGAACAGGATTGCAGACAAGTCAAATGTTGGGTCTCTGTATAGAAACGTCAAACACATGAAATGGCAACTGTGGTTCTGAAATCGCATCATTTCTTGTGGACAATTCTAAACATGAGCAAGTCTTGCTGGTCCCACTCCCTGGCCCCCTGGGCTGTGATTCCCAAAGCTCCCTGTAATACAATATGACTTTGCCCTATGTGCCACCCTGGGCTCAAGAGGAAAGACTAGCTAACTAACTAACAATATAACAATGTTGTCTGGAAAGATGGCAAGATGCCAATCACATTTATTCACTGCACTTCATTAAACTGAGCTCACTACACATCACTGAGCTGCTCATTAAACATTATTAGCTGAGTTCATCAATTATTGAGAATGATGAACTAGACAAGAATGTTCTCACTTCATCAACTGCAAGAGTGTACACGCCAGCTTACCTTCATTGTTGATACAAGCCAGCTTACCCTCATTGTTGATACAAGCCAGCTTACCTTCATTGTTGATACAAGCCAGTTTACCTTCATTGTTGATACAAGCCAGCTTACCCTCATTGTTGATACAAGCCAGCTTACCTTCATTGTTGATACAAGCCAGCTTACCTTCATTGTTGATACAAGTCAGCTTACCCTCATTGTTGATACAAGCCAGCTTACCTTCATTGTTGATACAAGCCAGCTTACCTTCATTGTTGATACAAGCCTGCTTACCTTCATTGTTGATACAAGCCAGCTTACCTTCATTGTTGATACAAGCCAGCTTACCCTCACTGTTGATACAAGCCAGCTTACCCTCATTGTTGATACAAGCCAGCTTACCCTCACTGTTGATACAAGCCAGCTTACCCTCATTGTTGATACAAGCCAGCTTACCCTCGCTGTTGATACAAGCCAGCTTACCTTCATTGTTGATACAAGCCAGCTTACCTTCATTGTTGATACAAGCCAGCTTACCCTCACTGTTGATACAAGCCAGCTTACCCTCATTGTTGATACAAGCCAGCTTACCCTCACTGTTGATACAAGCCAGCTTACCCTCATTGTTGATACAAGCCAGCTTACCCTCGCTGTTGATACAAGCCAGCTTACCTTCATTGTTGATACAAGCCTGCTTACCCTCATTGTTGATGAACATCTCGGGAAGGAAGAAGAATTCTGGAATCAGCTCCTTAACATCAGTGCTAGATTCAAAACTTGACAACCTCCAGGAGGTGCTGAGGCTGTGGAAGGTTCGGTCGGGGATATCAAAGTTTCTGTCTGAAATAAACAGGCAACAACAGGAATAATTGGTGTTCCGTGAGAGGAATGCTATGCTGAGAGACCATATTTGTACATATTTACTGAATAACCGTAAGAATGATAAAAACAGATGAAAAAACATGAACTCGTTACAGAAATTGGACAGATGGACTCTCTATTTTCACACATATTATGAGACAGAATGGACTTCAGATCTTGGTGACAACTGGCGAGGCTGTGGAAAAAGAAGAGCAACGAGATGGTAAGGAGACAAATACCTGGGGGGTGTGGCCACAAGGAATGGGTGGGAGGGAGAAGGGGATTTGAGGGCAAGATCTCTGACCTGATCAGTGATTTAGGTGATCTTGTAAGATGGTGAAACATGACAGCCAGCGCTTACCAGCACGGCATATGATGATGGAAAAGTGTTGCTTCCATGGAAGGAGTAATCGACATTACTGTAACACAGTTACCGTAACTACAGTAAACGTAACTACAGTAAACGCAACTACAGTAACCACAACTACAATAACCACAACTACAGTAACCTCATTGCAGTAACTGCAACTACAGTAACCACAACTAAAGTAATCTCACTTCAGTAACTGCAACTACAGCAACCACAACTACAGTAACTGCAACTGTAGCAACCGCAACTACAGCAACCGCAACCACAGTAACTACAACTACAGTAACTACAACTACAGTAACTAAAATTACGGTAACCACAACCAGTAACCGCCACTTCAGTAATTGCAACTTTAGTAACCATAACTTCCCCAACCACAACTTTAGTAACCATAACTTCCCCAAACACAACCAGAGTAACTATAACTACAGTAACAACCACTACAGTAACTATAACTACAGTAACTATAACTACAGTAACTACCACTACAGTAACAACCACTACAGTAACAACCACTACAGTAACTACAACTACAGTAACTATAACTACAGTAACAACCACTACAGTAACAACCACTACAGTAACTACAACTACAGTAACAACCACTACAGTAATCACAACTACAGTAACTATAACTACAGAAACAACCACAACAGTAACTCCACCTACAGTAACTATAGCTACAGTAACTACGCCTACCGTAACTACAACTACAGTAACTATAACTACAGTAACAACCACTACAGTAATCACAACTACAGTAACTATAACTACAGTAACTACAACTACATAAACTTTAACTACAGTAACTACAACTACAGTAACTGCTACTACAGTAACTGCAACTACAGTAACCACAACTACAGTAATCACAACTACAGTAACTATAACTACAGTAACAACCACTACAGTAATCACAACTACAGTAACTACAACTACATAAACTTTAACTACAGTAACTACAACTACAGTAATGGTAACTACTGTAACTAAAACTACAGTAACCACAACTACAGTAACTGCTACTAAAAAAACTGCTACTACAGTAACTACAACTAAAGCAACTACAACTACAGTAACAACAACTACAGTAACTACAACTACAGTAACAACAACTACAGTAACTACAACTACAGTAACTGCTACTACAAAAACTGCTACTACAGTAACTACAACTACAGTAACAACAACTACAGTAACTACAACTACAGTAACTACAACTACAGTAACAACAACTACAGTAACTACAACTACAGTAACTACAACTACAGTAACTGCTACTACAAAAACTGCTACTACAGTAACTACAACTACAGTAACAACAACTACAGTAACTACAACTACAGTAACTACAACTACATTTACTGGTACTACAAAAACTGCTACTACAGTAACAACAACTACAGTAACTACAACTACAGTAACAACAACTACAGTAACTACAACTACAGTAATAACAACTACAGTAACAACAACTACAGTAACTACAACTACAGTAACTGCTACTACAGTAACTGCTACTACAGTAACTACAACTAAAGTAACTACAACTACAGTAACTACAACTACAGTAACAACAACTACAGTAACTATAACTACAGTAACTGCTACTACAAAAACTGCTACTACAGTAACAACAACTACAGTAACTACAACTACAGTAACTACAACTACAGTAACTATAACTACAGTAACTGCTACTACAAAAACTGCTACTACAGTAACAACAACTACAGTAACAACAACTACAGTAACTACAACTACAGTAACTACAACTACAGTAACTACAACTACAGTAACAACAACTACAGTAACAACAACTACAGTAACTACAACTACAGTAACTACAACTACAGTAACTATAACTACAGTAACTGCTACTACAAAAACTGCTACTACAGTAACTACAACTACAGTAACTACAACTACAGTAACAACAACTACAGTAACTATAACTACAGTAACTGCTACTACAAAAACTGCTACTACAGTAACTACAACTACAGTAACTGCTACTTCAAAAACTGCTACTACAGTAACTGCTACTACAGTAAGAACAACTACAGTAACTGCTACTACAGTAACAACAACTACAGTAACTACAACTACAGTAACTGCTACTACAAAAACTGCTACTACAGTAACTACAACTACAGTAACTACAACTACAGTAACTACAACTACAGTAACAACAACTACAGTAACTACAACTACAGTAACTGCTACTACAAAAACTGCTACTACAGTAACTGCTACTACAGTAACTACAACTACAGTAACTACAACTACAGTAACTACAACTACAGTAACAACAACTACAGTAACAACAACTACAGTAACTACAACTACAGTTCAACAACTACAGTAACTACAACTACAGTAACTGCTACTACAAAAACTGCTACTACAGTAACTGCTACTACAGTAACTACAACTAAAGTAACTACAACTACAGTAACTACAACTACAGTAACAACAACTACAGTAACAACAACTACAGTAACTACAACTACGGCAACTGCAACTACAGTAACTATAACTACAGTAATGACAACTACATAACATAATAAGAACCACCCAAAACAGATGACATGCTTCACAAGCAGCACCTGGTGACTATGATGATGATGATAACTTCATAAATGAACTGACAAAAATGTCAAATTAAAACATTATTAAACAAAACGTTTTCCATTCTTAGGGCTCACCAATCCAGATCTCTCCAACCCAAGGCTTGTAATTTAGAGCTTGTCAACTTGTAATCATATATGGCTGCTGACACAAACTATTACATTACTGCTGTTGTTCTCATTGATATTTTATTATTGTTGTCAATATTTTGGTGGAATACTATTGCAGCAGTGTCCTGTAAATTGTCTAATACTTGATGGTCACGGCTGTGACAGCGATGATGATGATGGTCGTGAAAGTGATGATGATGATGATGGTGACAGTAATGATGATGATGGTCGTGACATTGATGATGATAGTGACAAGCACAAACTAGTACCTTGGTAAGTCAAAAACATTTTTGTGAATGGGGGCAATCGAACCAGGTAATGTAAGACTGTCCCGCTGTTGGAGTAATGGCTGCCGTAGTGGAACGGGGCAACACGAACCATCTCGTCATCAGAATGGGGCCTGTTGGCTTCCTGGCAGAGAAACTGGGGACAGCAGATTATAGCAAAATGCAGAGTCATGATTATAGTACAATACTGAGTCATGATTATAGCACAACACTGAGTCTTGATTATAGCACAAAACTGAGTCTTGATTATAGCACAACACTGAATCGTAATTATAGCACACTACTAAGTCTTGATTAAAGCACAACACTGAGTCTCGATTATAGCACAACACTGAGTCTTGATTATAGCACAGCACTGAGTCTTGATTATAGCACAACACTGAGTCTTGATTATAGCACAACACTGAGTCTTGATTATAGCACAACAATGAGTCTTGATTATAGCACAACACTGAATCGTAATTATAGCACACTACTAAGTCTTGATTAAAGCACAACACTGAGCCTTGATTATAGCACAACACTGAGTCTTGATTATAGCACAATACTGCAGCATGATTATAGCACAGTACTGAGTCTTGATTATAGCACAACACTGAGTCATGATTATAGCACAACACTGAGTCTCGCTTATAGCACAGTACTAAGTCATGATTATAGCACAACACTGTGCCATAATTATAGCACAACACTGAGTCGTGATTTAAGCACAACACTGAGTCATGATTATAGCACAACACTGCATCATGATTAAAGCACAGCACTGAGTCTTGATTATAGCACAACACTGAGTCACGATTTTGGCAGAACACTGTGTCATGATTATAGCACAACACTGAGTCGTGATTATAGCACACTACTAAATCTTGATTAAAGCACAACACTGAGCCTTGATTATAGCACAACACTGAGTCATGATTAAAGCACAACACTGAGTCATGATTACAGCATGGATTAGCTTTTACTAGGACATGACAGATGAGACAGATAGGACATGACAGATGGGACAGATAGGACATGACAGATGGGACAGATAAGACATGACAGATGGGACAGATAGGACATGACAGATGGGACAGATAAGACATGACAGATGAGACCGAGAGGCCAATTATCTTCTTCTCATTTGTCTTTCACAGGCTATATGCAGGGAATTATGACAGTCATCATGAGCTTATTTTTATGAGGCTATGTCATTTTTAAAAAATGTCATGGTTGAAATCACTATCTTGTCTCTGTAGAGAATTAAACTTGAACCTATCGTGACAGGTGGGAGCACTACGCCACAATGGTTCACGGGTAATTCAGGTAGTGCTAAAAAAGAAGAGATGATATCTTTCGGAATAGTCTGACTTCCTTGTTTAAGTCATCTTTATCGGGCTCACTTAAGAGCCTCAGACTCTGTAACTTGCAGTCAGGCATTTTCAGCTTTAGCAAAGATAATATCAAAACCTACCTCATAGTTGTCTCTATATCGCTTTTCTCTGGACTTATCCTGGACAGCTATAGGCTTTCGTAGATTTCTGTAACGAAACAACAATCTCAGATATTCAGTACTGTCTCCTGCGATGCTAGCAATGTGCTGGTTTGTTGGGTGTGGTTAGTCAACTGGCAGCCCGCGGGCCGCAGAGGCCTAGCAAGTTGTCCATGGATCAGTGCCATTTGTATTGTATTGATGATCTGTCTGTCTCTGGCCTGTGGATCAGTGCCATTTGTATTGTATTGATGATCTGTCTGTGCCAGGGTTCGGGTCGTGATGATCTCCCATTTTCCCAGTTCTGGCCCCAGAGTAAACTTAGTTGAATAGCCCAGGTAAAGTGGTCGATGCAGTAGCTTTCTGACAGGAGTCATGTGTGCGATCTGACAGGGGTCATGTGTGCGATCTGACAGGGGTCATGTGTGCGATCTGACAGGGGTCATGTGTGCGATCTGACAGGGGTCATGTGTGCGATCTGACAGGGGTCATGTGTGCGATCTGACAGGGGTCATGTGTGCGATCTGACAGGGGTCATGTGTGCGATCTGACAGGGGTCATGTGTGCGATCTGACAGGGGTCATGTGTGCGATCTGACAGGGGTCATGTGTGCGATCTGACAGGGGTCATGTGTGCGATCTGACAGGGGTCATGTGTGCGATCTGACAGGGGTCATGGGTGTGATCTGACAGGGGTCATGTGTGTGATCTTACAGAGGTCATAGGTGCGATTTGAAAGTGGTCATGGGTGCGATCTGACAGGGGTCATGTGTGCGATCTGACAGGGGTCATGAGTGCGATCTGACAGTGTTCACATGTGCGATCTGACAGGGGTCATGAGTGCGATCTGACAGTGTTCACATGTGCGATCTGACACAGGTCGTGCGTACGATTTACAATAATGGTAGGATGCTCTGACGATGGGTCCGAAGGAGACCCAGTCCCTTAAAAGAGACTAATCACCTGTCAAACTGAAAGATGTGCTAAATGCTTGTAAATTATGAGCACCAATACTTATAAGGCTCTCAGTAACTAATGATATCAATATAACTGTTGCTATAGTTACAATAGTGAAGAAGGCACACAATGAAACAGCAAAATTGATCATAGTGATGATAATTATAATGATGAAAGTTGCACGATAATGATGACGATAAAAACAATGATGCATTTTGATGTTAGATGATGGTGATAATAACAATGATGGTGGTGATGTTGACTGATGACAAGGTTAATTCAAAGCAATGATAACTGTTGATGATGTTGAATGATGACAAGGTTAATTCAAAGCAATGATAACTGTTGATGATGTTGACTGATGATGTCCATGCATGGGTTACTGTGCCCCACTGCGGGAGAAAACAAGAACAGACCCACTGCCTCCCCAAGCATGTCATAGGAGTCCACTAAGTGGGGAATTCCTTCAAAGTCAGAGTACGTCTGTCCTGGCACAAAGTCGGAGTTTGTCTGTCCTGGCAAAAAGTTGGAGTACGTCTGTCCTGGCACAAAGTCGGAGTATGTCTGTCCTGGCACAAAGTCGGAGTACGTCTGTCCTTGCACAAATTCAGAGTACATCTGTCCTGGCACAAAGTCGGAGTACGTTTGTCCTGGCACAAAGTCAGAGTATGTCTGTCCTGGCACAAAGTCGGAGTACGTCTGTCCTGGCACAAAGTCGAAGTACGTTTGTCCTGGCACAAAGTCGGAGTACGTCTGTCCTGGCACAAAGTTGGAGTGCGTCTGTCCTCGCACAAAGTCAGAGTACGTCTGTACAACAATAGTTTCTGGAAGGTTACCTATACTCCTGTGGGTGGGTCAGATCCAGCATGCTGCTGTGGTAGTTCTTCAGTACAAAAGGAAACACTGGGTACTGCATGAGGTCAGCGTAGCTGCGACCGGCCAACTTGTTGAGGTACATGAGGTAGTCATAGTTGGTGACCTCCCCTTCCAGCCAGGCTTGTTGCACCGCCTGAAGTGACTCCCCGGCTATCAGGTTGGGCAGCTCTAGCGAGCTTCGTAACATGTTGTACAAGTAATCTCGATCCTGGAAGCAATTATACAGCATACGGGTTGACTGATATCATGTTACAAGTGAATACACGTACAGAACATTGTTACATTTAAATAGTAGCATACGTCTTCTGTGACTACCATTAAAAGGGTGGTAGGCATGCTGTATTGTGGTTCACAGCTAGGCTACAATATCTGCCCCTTTCACCCCAACACATCAGATTTCAGCAAATTCCTAAGTAGTGTGTTTTTCTCCCAATCAATCCTCACCCCCTCCCCTGGTTCCCAGAGCTCACACAGGAAAGCAGCACATACACACATACGCACTTGTAAACAATGGCAGACTGTGTCACTAACTAAAGCATAACTATTCGATGAGGAAGATCACAGCATGTGAGATGAACTGCTTGAGAGGAGCTGTCAAAGTAACCAAATGCGAAAGACTAAGCAATAGGATATCTTGAAAATGGCAGGAGCAACATAAGCACATTGACTGCACATCCATAGACAGGGAGTAAGGAGGCCAATAACACTTGTAAAATGATCTCTCTGTGCCTGCAAGTGTAGAAGAAAAGGTTAACAGAACATGAGGAAGACTTGGGAGTTGATGGACTGACGACATCAACATAACTAACTTGTGTGACATACCTGGCAGTAGGGCACAAACTACAGCTAGCCACCCGTCAGTGTGACAAACAGCACAGTAAACAAAGTAGTACTTCAGCTGCTTTTACAACAGACTGAAAAGACAACATAACAGAAGACAAGACAAGACAACATAACAGAAGACAAGACGAGACAACATAACAGAAGACAAGATGAGACAACATAACAGAAGACTAGACAAGACAACATAACAGAAGACAATATGAGACAACATAACAGAAGACAGATGAGACAACATAACAGAAGACTAGATAAGACAAGACAACATAATACAACAGAAGACAAGATATATTACAAGAGAAGACTACTCTGCAGTATCATACAACAAGTTCAACACTTGATCAGCCAGCTGTGTAGGCCAGCCACAACAAAAACAACCTGGGCAAGAACAATGACCAACACTGGATCAACCAGCTGTGTAGGCCAGCCACAACAAAAACAACCTGGGCAAGAACAATGACCAACACTGGATCAACCAGCTGTGTAGGCCGGCCACAACAAAAACAACCTGGGCAAGAACAATGACCAACACTGGATCAACCAGCTGTGTAGGCCGGCCACAACAAAAACAACCTGGGCAAGAACAATGACCAACACTGGTATCAATTATGTAAATGGTATGTTTGATCAGTGCTGAATTATGTCCTGGTTATATCCTAACATGCCTTTACCTATCTATGATGTTCCAGTACTCATTTTGTAAACCCAGATTTGTGATCTTGAAGAATAAAAGACATGTTTTTTGACATTCATAGAATATGATGTGGGAATGTATGGGGAAAAAAGGAATCAGCAATCATCACATTAATATTTGCAAAAGCCTGTACACTTGTAATAAATGCTGCATAAGTTTGAAAGCAGGGTTGTCAAGAACTTTTATAGTGAACTCTAGTGTGCGTCAGGGCTGTGTACTATCGCTGCTTCTTTTTATAACATACATGGATACCATATGAAGCGAAACGAACTTCAAATATGAAGAAGATATTACAGAATTACTCTTCGCCAACGACCAGTTACTCATAGCAGAAAATACAGAATGTCTACAGAACCAGCTAAATCAAATTAGTAACAAAGGGGAGGAATATAATATGAAAATAAACACTATGAAGACAGAGACAATGATGATAGGAAGACATAAAGACAATTTAGAAATTAAATTAAAAAACAACACCCTGAGACAAACAGAGGAATTTAAGTATTTGGGAGAAATTTTTACATCCAACGGAAAACTGGACAGAAAAATTAGCTCCAGATGTGCCAAAGCTTATCAAGTAATGGATCAACTATCTCCCCTGTTGACACACAAGCAAATACCTCGTACTAAAGTGAATCTTATCAGAACTATTTTTTGGCCAACACTATGCCATAAATGCCAAGCGTGGACACTTACATCCTCCAATGAACGTAAAATTGTGACAACAGAAATGAAATGCCTTAGAAGAGCTGCAGGGGTTTCAAGGAAAGACAGAATATGAAATCATGAAATCAGACGAATGCTAGGCATAAAGCCAGTCTTACAGGTCATCAAAGAACAACAAATGAAGTGGTTTGGACACCTAACAAGAATGCCCTGGTACTATCCGCCACAGCGTCCCACACTAAAACGTTACAACGGGTATAGAGCGAGTGGAAGACCTCGGGAAAATATGGAATGATGGCATTAAGAACAACCTTACAGAAATGAACATCAGTCTTAATGGTGCTCTTGACAGATCTCATCAACGAACATTACATCTCCTCCAGACACTTCGATGAGGTAAAAGATGGAAGAGAAGAAGAAGAAGAAGAATACAAGGAGATCTCTTGTAAACCACCTTCACCCTAAAATAAATCTTGTGTAGACCTCAGATGACGTGACTGGGACACACAAACTAAGGAGTTGGAACTCAGATTTGCGGAGAATTCACAAACAACCAAGAAAATGTAGGAAACTGCCTACCTGTGTGGTCTGGAATGCCAGGAGACAGGTGCGGCCACTAATGAGGAATATCTCCAGACCCACATCTTGCAGCTGGTACCAGCGTTTGTGCAGCTCCCTGATGTCCGTGTGGGGCCAGGTGATTGACAGCTGGTCCAGGTTTCCCAGCAACATCTGGGTGTAGTTGGCCACAGTGATAGCTCCGTCAGCAACAAAAAAGATGCAAGCCTCACCTGGCAATGAGCATGACAAACTGGCAAATTCTGTCTACTGACTTGAAACATTTACAAACAATCCAGGCTCTGTTTCTAGAAAAAAGCTGGGTTAAAAATTTTATTTTTCTCGTTACATTATGTGATCTAAAGCTGCTGTTTAACTATGTGGATAATAGAACTTAAATTCAGTTTTATTTTGTAACATAGGTATATGGTGTATACTTATAAAAGAGAAAGTCCTGCAAAAAATATCAAAACCACCCATTTTTCTTGAGAAGAATAATGGGGTAGGAGGGTCTGCGTGTTTCATTTTTGTCACAGAGTATTATGGTCCATAGTTAAATGCACAGACAGCAAGATTATTCTTCTAACAGACATGGCCTCAGACGTCTGCTAAAGGAGATAAAAAAACTAATGGGTTTGTTTGCAAGCGTGATCAGCAACAATAACAACAACGACAAAGAAAACAATGACATTATGAATATTCATATTACAGTAAATAAACTCAAGGTCCCATTTGTACATCCGTAAGTGTAGTGGACAATATTCCCCTGTTTACAGAATATGCAGAACTTTCCGGAACATTTCCTGTTAGACATCCAGTCTGGCAGCTCAGGTCAGTTGAACAAATCTGACTCGGTGAGGTTTCCAGATTATGACAGTAGGCAAGTGTGCTAGCTATTGCTGTACTCCAGAGTTTGGTATGTTCAAAGTAGGTAGGTAAAATGTACCCCACCAGGACATTACACAAGCGATAAACACCCGGTGACACAAAGTGCCACCATGCGGATGAGGATCACTTGTGGAGGTCCTGGAAGCCTTGTTTCAGCCGTTAGGCCATATTTAAGGCTCGGCTATAATTAGGGCTCCCGGTAAAATTCAGGGTGGAACTTTAAAATAACAAAAATTACATCCCACAGGGGGACGATAGTGTGGTTAGATATTAGTGGTTAGATATTAGTGGTTAGATATTAGTGTATATAGTATTTAGACAGTACTGGGATATTATTAAGATAATATATAAAGTGCATAGAAATGTCTAGAATACTTAATAACCTTATGTGGAGTACACAGTATTTCTAAAAGTTATCAACACAGTGTGAAGAACACAATATTTCTAAAACTTACCAACACAACACAGAGTACACGGAGAAGTCTAGAACACTTACCAACAAGTAATTCCCCTTTGCTTTCGCTGGCAGGGGACACAACCGTACACTTGCATGTGTGCCTGCAAACAGAAAAACACAAGGTTTTAAGTGTGACCCAAATCTCACAGCCTGGGGTGCCTTCCCTTGTTGACAGCAGTTTTGTGTGTTTGTTTGCTTGCATTCACCAGCTGTGAACTCTGACACAGATGGTAGTCTGGTAGTCTTAGTTTCAGCGTCATAGCAAACAGGTCACCCCATCTTTGCTCCGCTCCTGTGTCAACGGAAAACACACAGAATGTTTATCACAGTCCCTTGTGGAAAGATTGGCAGACTGCTGTTTCAGCATATCTAACATACACTCGCATTAAAGCATACGGAGCCATCCCAAGTGCTAACACAAACAGTCCGACATTAGAAATGCAGTTCATCATTATTGGTAGCAGAAGTCACAGAAAGATCAGCAGTTGCCAACATGATCAATTTTAATCACATACGGGCACCACCAACATTGCGACAACAGGCATCGCACCATTTTCTTAATCTACAATTCACACCACCCCCGTTGTTCACAGTCAAAAAAACATTCCAAATAAAATCCGCAGCTCACAGTGTCACAACATGCATTCAACTCAGAAGCTGGGTGATGAAACTATATCCAGTCTACAAATGGAGCAAAACTGCATCGGCCACCGTCCGGCAGAAGCAAAAAACTGGCCTCAGCTCCAAACAGTGCTCCTGCCTCCTGCGTCCATTTTGACACAGAGTCCTGGCTTTGTGTCCATTTGGATTTTGGCTTTGTGCCAGGACCTGACTTTTGCATGTAATTCCATTTGACTAGCTTACTTCTGTGCACCAGGCTGTTTCTGACCTCTCCGGCAGAGCTACTCCACTCTGGAGGAAGGAGAGCAGTTTTAGTTCGTACATACTACTGAAATGTATGAGTCCAACATATTCAAGCATGGAAGGGAGTGAGAATAACTGACTGGTCTATAAGGTTATAAGTCTAGAATCTTTGGCTCACATGCGCGATTGCCACTGGTGCAACAAAGGGACCTTCATTGACTTACTGCTATTTACAAGTTCCAAATTCATTGACACCAGTTGGCACAGGATGTCTGATGATGTCAGTATCAAGCCAGCTGCCTTTACTTCCCAGAAGGCTTTCTGATACTTACTTTGACCTGGCTTGACCTAGGAGAATCTGACCGCCAGGTTGGCAGACAAATTTGTCAGCCGCTGTACTACTGGATGCGGGGAACTAGCTTTAGTGATTAGTGAGTATCATCAGCATGCACTCTGGACAGATCCATTGGTGCTTAGATCTCTTCCTCGAAAGCTCCACAAGTGTAAAATGACAAATGATGCCTGTTCTGTGTTAGTTAATGAAACGTCTTGTCCCCTTAGTGAAATGTTCATTTCTTGCAGCTCCAGGCTGCACTCCCACGTCCACCAGGCTAGACAGGTATACAAAATCACACCTTTTGGTGTGCTCGTCGTCACAGTAGGTGTTGCGCACGGCATTGCTAACGTCGCTTCTGTCCAGTAATGGACCGGTTCTAGAAACCACAGTGTCAGCAAGATGATTTGCACACTCATTTCCTTGAACACTCCCATGACCTGGCACAAAAATGAAGGTTAAGGCAGCCATTTGCGAAGTGCTTAGTATTGCAATCCATTCTTGTCTGATAAAGCGAGTTTCGATTTTTTAAAAACATATTCATTGAGTTACTAAGTAAAGAGGTCTCAGCTCAGACGCACGTACTCCGTGGCATACGTGAGAATGAACTAGCTTTAACTTGTGCTAAATATAGGACTACTCACAGATCTAGCACAATAAGCCCTGAAGGTGTGGACACTGGACTCTGATTTTACTGACTATAACACTGATATTATTACTGCCACTGATCAGCTGACACATTACTACTGAGCTCTGCACAAACACATTAAGTCTTCATCTTTATTTTTAATTCTGATTTTGGGATCACACCGGTGTACTTACTGTATCTTCTCATTTGTGTAAAGTCTGTAGGTCAAGGCTGCGGAATCTGCCATCTGATGATCGTCTTCAAACAGGAAGATGAGAGGAGGGTCCACCTTGACGGCATCTGAACAAGACAACATTAGATCAGCTACATCTGTACAAGACAACATTAGATCAGCTACATCTGTACAAGACAACATTAGATCAGCTACATCTGTACAAGACAACATTAGATCAGCCACATCTGTACAAGACAACATTAGATCAGCCACATCTGTACAAGACAACATTAGATTAGCTACATCTGTACAAGACAACATTAGATCAGCCACATCTGTACAAGACAACATTAGATCAGCTACACACATCTGTACAAGACAACATTAGATCAGCTACACACATCTGTACAAGACAACATTAGATCAGCTACATCTGTACAAGACAACATTAGATCAGCTACACACATCTGTACAAGACAACATTAGATCAGCTACACACATCTGTACAAGACAACATTAGATCAGCTACATCTGTACAAGACAACATTAGATCAGCTACATCTGTACAAGACAACATTAGATCAGCTACACACATCTGTACAAGACAACATTAGATCAGCTACATCTGTACAAGACAACATTAGATTAGCTACACACATCTGTACAAGACAACATTAGATCAGCTACATATGTACAAACAACATTAGATCAGCTACATCTGTACAAGACAACATTAGATCAGCTACATCTGTACAAGACAACATTAGTTCAGCTACATCTGTACAAGACAACATTAGATCAGCTACACACATCTGTACAAGACAACATTAGATCAGCTACATCTGTACAAGACAACATTAGATCAGCTACATCTGTACAAGACAACATTAGATCAGCTACATCTGTACAAGACAACATTAGATCAGCTACATCTGTACAAGACAACATTAGATCAGCCACATCTGTACAAGACAACATTAGATCAGCTACACACATCTGTACAAGACAACATTAGATCAGCTACATCTGTACAAGACAACATTAGATCAGCTACACACATCTGTACAAGACAACATTAGATCAGCTACATCTGTACAAGACAACATTAGATCAGCTACACACATCTGTACAAGACAACATTAGATCAGCTACATCTGTACAAGACAACATTAGATCAGCTACACACATCTGTACAAGACAACATTAGATCAGCTACACACATCTGTACAAGACAACATTAGATCAGCTACATCTGTACAAGACAACATTAGATCAGCTACATCTGTACAAGACAACATTAGATCAGCTACACACATCTGTACAAGACAACATTAGATCAGCTACATCTGTACAAGACAACATTAGATTAGCTACACACATCTGTACAAGACAACATTAGATCAGCTACATATGTACAAACAACATTAGATCAGCTACATCTGTACAAGACAACATTAGATCAGCTACATCTGTACAAGACAACATTAGTTCAGCTACATCTGTACAAGACAACATTAGATCAGCTACACACATCTGTACAAGACAACATTAGATCAGCTACATCTGTACAAGACAACATTAGATCAGCTACATCTGTACAAGACAACATTAGATCAGCTACATCTGTACAAGACAACATTAGATCAGCTACATCTGTACAAGACAACGTTAGATCAGCTACACACATCTGTACAAGACAACATTAGATCAGCTACATCTGTACAAGACAACATTAGATCAGCCACATCTGTACAAGACAACATTAGATCAGCTACACACATCTGTACAAGACAACATTAGATCAGCTACATCTGTACAAGACAACATTAGATCAGCTACACACATCTGTACAAGACAACATTAGATCAGCTACATCTGTACAAGACAACATTAGATCAGCTACACACATCTGTACAAGACAACATTAGATCAGCCACATCTGTACAAGACAACATTAGATCAGCTACACACATCTGTACAAGACAACATTAGATCAGCTACACACATCTGTACAAGACAACATTAGATCAGCTACATCTGTACAAGACAACATTAGATCAGCTACACACATCTGTACAAGACAACATTAGATCAGCTACACACATCTGTACAAGACAACATTAGATCAGCTACATCTGTACAAGACAACATTAGATTAGCTACACACATCTGTACAAGACAACATTAGATCAGCTACATATGTACAAACAACATTAGATCAGCTACATCTGTACAAGACAACATTAGATCAGCTACATCTGTACAAGACAACATTAGATCAGCTACATCTGTACAAGACAACGTTAGATCAGCTACACACATCTGTACAAGACAACATTAGATCAGCTACATCTGTACAAGACAACATTAGATCAGCTACATCTGTACAAGACAACATTAGATCAGCTACATCTGTACAAGACAACATTAGATCAGCTACATCTGTACAAGACAACATTAGATCAGCTACATCTGTACAAGACAACGTTAGATCAGCTACACACATCTGTACAAGACAACATTAGATCAGCTACATCTGTACAAGACAACATTAGATCAGCTACATCTGTACAAGACAACGTTAGATCAGCTACACACATCTGTACAAGACAACATAAGATCAGCTACATCTGTACAAGACAACATTAGATCAGCTACATCTGTACAAGACAACATTAGATCAGCTACATCTGTACAAGACAACATTAGATCAGCTACATCTGTACAAGACAACGTTAGATCAGCTACACACATCTGTACAAGACAACATAAGATCAGCTACATCTGTACAAGACAACATTAGATCAGCTACATCTGTACAAGACAACGTTAGATCAGCTACACAAATCTGTACAAGACAACATTAGATCAGCTACATCTGTACAAGACAACGTTAGATCAGCTACATCTGTACAAGACAACATTAGATCAGCTACATCTGTACAAGACAACGTTAGATCAGCTACATCTGTACAAGACAACATTAGATCAGCTACATCTGTACAAGACAACGTTAGATCAGCTACATCTGTACAAGACAACATTAGATCAGCTACATCTGTACAAGACAACATTAGATCAGCTACATATGAAGGGTCAGTATGGCTCATCTTTGGGTTTCGAAACAGCTTCTCACAAACATCAGAAAAGAGAAAGCAAATATTTTGGGGTCTAATTATGACAAGATAAAAACTAGGTGGTGCCGTTGTGACAACTGGAAAGATTTACCGAAAGAGGCAGAGGAAGAGAACAAATAAGTTTTGTTCGATGGCCTATTGTCAAAGTATGACAAGGTAACAAGCTGTCTAAGATCAAAAAGTGACGGAGAAATAGGATCGTTCATGCAAGGCTGCTGATGGCGATTGACAGATTTTTTAATGAGTAAAGAGGTAAATAACAGAAACTTGTGCTGGATGCGAGCAAACACAGAGAAAACCTGGTAACTGTAAACTAGAATTCCCTTTCACAGGAACACACAGGGCAAAAGAGATCAAGGAGGAGCTAAAATATGAAAACAGTCAGAACAGAGATGAATAAAATGAGGAGAACAAACAGCTTCAGCATGATTGTCAGAAACGTCAAAGACTACAAATGATGAAAGACTACAGACAGATGATGAAAGACTACAGGCAAATGATGAAAGACTACAGACAAATGATGAATGACTACAGACAGATGATGAAAGACTCAGGCAAATGATGAAAGACTACAGGCAAATGATGAAAGACATTATACAAACACAGAAATACATCAGTCTGAGAGAATCCTATTTGTTTGTGCTGAAATGTCTGTTTCCATGTAGGTTAACAATCTAATAGTTAGAAATCACACAGAGAAGGCCAGACAGGCAACTGTTCTGATAAAATGTCACCCCAGACAGGCAACTGTTCTGATAAAATGTCACCCCAGACAGGCAACTGTTCTGATAAAATGTCACCCCAGACAGGCAACTGTTCTGATAAAATGTCACCCCAGACAGGCAACTGTTCTGATAAAATGTCACCCCAGACAGGCAACTGTTCTGATAAGATGTCACCCCAGACAGGCAACTGTTCTGATAAAATGTCAAATTACACAAAATGCTCAGGAAATTCACGTTGTTAGCAAGTGTACACACATCTGACTTCTCACAGTACTACAGAGTTCATGTTCTGTGCTGAGTATCTCTGTGTGATCTATAGAGACAACTAAGATCACTTATCAGGGCTTCAAGTGAAGGTGATTACATTAAAACCAAAACCAAATAAAGTTAAATTAAAAAGAGAAGAAAAACATTAACAGTATTGCCAAAGAAATTGTTAGAAGTCAACACAAACAAATTTAATACATACCAAGTTTTTGTTGATGACTTGGCAAAAGAAATCGTCTTTCTATTTCCAGATGGCATCTCTGTAACCTCTTCCTGACCCTACCAGGACCTTCAGTTGGATCCAGTTGCCAGGATTGTGGGTAAGATAGTTTCTGGTACCATACAGCCCTATTCATACACAGATAATGCACACAAATATACTGTAGATCACAAACAACAAACACACTGACTTTGGTCTCAATTTAAAAAAAAAAAATTCTATTACAGTGGAAACATTACTGCGGTCAGGGCAAGCAGATAGGTGATCATCAGTCTCTCCTATGTATGTCAGCTTCCAATAAACATCAGAAACGTCCTCTTACAAAATCTCTAGTTCTGATATAAAGCCTAGTTGTGAACAGCAAGAGTCTGAGACAGGCTGATTCTCCAGTAGCCACGTCATCACAGGTACAGGATCTTCTTGTGCTTCTTCTTCGCGTTCACCAGCTGTAAACTCTGACAGAAATGTGTGCTTTTTCATCCATATTTAGACTTTAATCTTGTTAGAGAACTTGAGTTGTGCATGCACATCTATTTTACAGGTCTGTGGGACTGCTGTATGCAACTGTGGGACTGCTGTATGCAACTGTGGGACTGCTGTATGCAACTGTGGGACTGATGTATGCAACTGTGGGACTGATGTATGCAACTGTTGGACTGCTGTATGCAACTGTGGGACTGCTGTATGCAACTGTGGGACTGATGTATGCAACTGTGGGACTGCTGTATGCAACTGTGGGACTGCTGTATGCAACTGTGGGACTGCTGTATGCAACTGTTGGACTGCTGTATGCAACTGTGGGACTGCTGTATGCAACTGTGGGACTGCTGTATGCAACTGTGGGACTGCTGTATGCAACTGTGGGACTGCTGTATGCAACTGTGGGACTGCTGTATGCAACTGTGGGACTGCTGTATGCAACTGTGGGACTGCTGTATGCAACTGTGGGACTGCTGTATGCAACTGTTGGACTGCTGTATGCAACTGTGGGACTGCTGTATGCAACTGTGGGACTGCTGTATGCAACTGTTGGACTGCTGTATGCAACTGTGGGACTGCTGTATGCAACTGTGGGACTGCTGTATGCAACTGTTGGACTGCTGTATGCAACTGTGGGACTGCTGTATGCAACTGTTGGACTGCTGTATGCAACTGTGGGACTGCTGTATGCAACTGTTGGACTGCTGTATGCAACTGTGGGACTGCTGTATGCAACTGTGGGACTGCTGTATGCAACTGTGGGACTGCTGTATGCAACTGTTGGACTGCTGTATGCAACTGTGGGACTGCTGTATGCAACTGTTGGACTGCTGTATGCAACTGTTGGACTGCTGTATGCAACTGTGGGAGATACTGAAGATGCACTCTGAAAGTTAATTTCATGGTTTCTAACTAATTTTAGAAATGTGAATTGATAATTTTTGTCAGTTTATATAATTTGGGTCTATCGAATGTTGAACTGTTCTGTTGTCATCAAAAAACTGACCTCTCATGGGTAAGGTTCTGCACCAGCTCCTGCCACTGTTTCTTCAGCTGTATCTGCGTGGTCATCGACCGTTTAATAAGAGCTACAAATTTCTTTCGCTCCTCCACTTGCAGACGGGTTACATCCTGAGTCACTGTCATGGCTTGTTCTGCGATGCGACGTCGCACAGGCTCAAACTTGTTGGTAATCCTATTTGTATCAATTACAAAAAGACAATGTTAAATGAAAACTGTGAACACGATAACAATTAAACTGAAAAATGTGAACAGGATATAAATTAAAGTGAAAACTGTAACAGAATAGAAATCAACAAATTATGAACAACACAGAAATCATCAAGAGGGGCCGCTGTGGTGTAGCAGCTAGATATTATTGGAGTCCTGGGAAGTAAAGGTGACTTTCATGATGTTGATAATATCCCCCACCAAGTGCCAACTGGTCTAGCCCTATATGCCCAATACACCTCAAGGTTTGGGAAAGGGTCCTTTACCTTTACAGAAATCATCAAATTACATAAGTACAGTATGATACATAAAGTGACACATTTCAGTGACCACTGGGAGGTCATCCCTGGAGCTCAGGAGTTTCATGCTTTGTGTGACACTATCATGTGACACTATCAACTGGCAACAGCCAAAAGGCAGAGAAATAAGGTGCTTCATGGGATAAAACTTGGAAAAATTAAGTTGAAATATTCACTTGTAAACACCTTGTTTGCATATGGAGAAAGCGTTCTGTGAAAGAAAGACGGACAGCATCAAGTGATAGCCTGCAAGAAGCCTATGGGAATTCATGGTCTGAAACAGGACAGATGAAGTTTATGTTCTCATGACAGCCCATCTTTTTCTATGTGGCAGATAAGTGAACATGTTCAAAGTATTGTTGACATATGCACAGATGACATACAGAAACACTGATGACATAAAACAGATGATAAGAAGAAACATTGATAACATACAGAAACACAGATGATATATAAAACATATAACATGTAGAATCCCAGATAACATAAAGAAACATATCTGACGTAGAGAAATGTATCATCTGTGACATAAAACAGCAAGAAATGCACTTCCCTCACATCAAATGAACTGCCTGTCAACATGGAGTATCTGCTGTGGTTATGCAAGCTTCCTTCACTCTACTGGCAAATTACAGGCATCAACATCTTCCTGTCTTCCTGCATCTGTTTGAGCTTCCTGGAGAGGAGATGGGGGAGAGAAGGTGGGGGAGAGAAGGTGGGGGAGAGGAGGTGGGGGAGATGAGTGGGGAGAAGAGGAGTCGGGGAGAGGAGGTGGGGGAGATGAGTGGGGGGGGAGAGGAGGTGGGGGAGATGAGTAGGGGGAGAGGAGGTGGAGGAGAGGAGATGGGGGAGAGGAGATGGGGGAGAGGGGGTGGGAGAGAGGAGGTGGGGGAGAGGAGGTGGGGGAGAGGAGATGGGGGAAGGTGGGGGAGAGGAGGTGGGAGAGAGGAGATGGGGGAGAGGAGATGGGGGAGAGAAGGTGGGGGAAAGGAGATGGGGAGAGGAGAAAGGTGCTAGTGCTGGTACTGTCCCCTCTGGGGAGCAATGGTGTCAATTTCTGGGCATCAAATAAATTACAGTAACTACTATTAAAATGTCACTGCCCAAATGTCACTGCTCAAATGTCACTGCCCAAATGTCACTGCTGAGCTACTGCCCACACCAAGCTGATCAGCCCCCAGCCAGTAAACCTACTACAGCTTGTGTGTGCTTCTATGGGTGCTTGGAGCTCGGACAAAATGTTTGCATGGAGGGAGATAATCAGGAGGGGAATGGGAACAAAGTAAAAGTTGATTGCAGAAAGGGTGAGAGCCGAGTGTCTGGGAAGAAGCACAACAAATACAAGTGATGGCAGCAACGGACCTGATATCCTCGCTCTAATTAAGAATGTTCTTAACACGGTGAATCTTTTTAGTCAGACTTACCCTCACCATGTCTGTGAGTTCTCATGCCTTCCCATAGTACAATAAAACACAATCATCTTGAAAGACAAAAAGGTGCCAACAAGATATCAGATGACAGAATGAAACAACAACAATGCAGATTTATCTAACCTGACAGTCCCCACTTCTCTCTTTTGTAGCCATACAGCCAGCTCCTTCCTGTACCGCAAGTCAATCTGTTTCTTTTCCTAATGAAATCAAAATAATACCAAAAGTAATGCCATGATCAGCTAAGGTCACAATTAAAACGTGTGCATGTGTCAGATGAAATAATCATACTTTATCTCACTTGTGAGTTATTTCACTGGTAGATACGAGACAAAACTCATGTTAGGGCAATGATTTGTCAGTGGAACTTTGATACAAGAAGATCATGTAGGTGAATCTGACAGGAGACTGATAGTAGGGCACGGTACAGTCATTTGACAGTGAAAGTTAAATACAAGAGTTATCTGGCATATGTCACTCCAGGATAGGAAGCTTTCTGCTGACCTTGTACCTTGGTACTGCTGCCTTGGCCTTTGAACTCATCTTCTGTTTCAGATTTTCTGCCCCACTTTTTTTCCTGGGCCTGGTACCTTCGTCTGCTGACTACCACTGACTTGGGGCAAAGTCAGCAGCAATGTGCTTTTTCGTTTCCTGCCTATTCTTAGTGCTGGCTGCAAGTCTGAGAAATTGCTGTATAATCATCCCGAGCTCAGTTTTTTTAAATCTATTAGAGAATGACAGCACAAACTCTGCCTTCCTGCAGTCCAGCACTAAGTGTGGCAGACCTGGCAGTGCTCCTAGTCATCCATCAGTAGTTTTGTTGATTTTTCTCTCAATCTCCTTGTTTGTACTCAGGATTATTTCATAAATAAAAAGCTTGCATCATGAAAAGGTATATAAATAGTAAATTGTGATGATGGGAAGGTTGAAGGGGAAGAGAGCCAGAAGGAGGCCAAGACAGAAGATATTGGCCAGTTTGTCATTATGGCACAAAAGAACATTTATATTAAATAAATGACTAACAGAAGGTTTTGGACAGATAAATTTACCAATTTCACACAGCATAAACTACAACAGAAGAAGAAACAGACACCTTGAGAGTTGCTGAATCAACATGAACAAGAGACACCAGGTCTTGAACTGCTTTATCCCCAAAATTAGACCAGAGAGTGAAATCTCTAAAATTATTCAAACAAGGAAACTGCCATACCTCCACCAGGGCATTGACTTGAGCCTGGGTCAGCGGCTCGTCAGGTTTGTTGATACTAAAGTCAGCGTTTCTTAAAATGGACATCAGAGCAAAACCATATTCTCTTTCTGTTGGGTTTAACCAATCCTTCCAGGTTGCCAGCAAATTGTACAAGTAGAAACACAGTTCTGTGCCCTGGGACAAGAGGAAAACACATACAGGATGTTGAGTACTGGTGTATGGATGTGAGGTTAAGCAGTCACGTGCAGGATGTTGAGTACTGGTGTATGGATGTGAGGTTAAGCAGTCACGTGCAGGATGTTGAGTACTGGTGTATGGATGTGAGGTTAAGCAGTCACATGCAGGATGTTGAGTACTGGTGTATGGATGTGAGGTTAAGCAGTCACGTGCAGGATGTTGAGTACTGGTGTATGGATGTGAGGTTAAGCAGTCACGTGCAGGATGTTGAGTACTGGTGTATGGATGTGAGGTTAAGCAGTCACGTGCAGGATGTTGAGTACTGGTGTATGGATGTGAGGTTAAACAGTCACGTGCAGGATGTTGAGTACTGGTGTATGGATGTGAGGTTAAACAGTCACATGCAGGATGTGATAATTCCTTGGGTGAGCCCAGCACCATGTAATGGCTCTGCATTTACGGAAACCTTCTTGAATAGCAGGGACTGCCTGTGTTCTGCCTCTGGCTCTCTTTGATGGATGTCAATCTGCCCATGTTCTGCCCTGACTCTACTTGATGGATGTCAATCTGCCCATGTTCTGCCCCTGACTCTACTTGATGGATGTCTGCCCATGTTCTGCCCCTGACTCTACTTGATGGATGTCAATCTGCCTATGTTCTGCCCCTGACTCTACTTGATGGATGTCAATCTGCCATGTTCTGCCCCTGACTCTACTTGATGGATGTCAGTCTGCCCATGTTCTGCCCCTGACTCTACTTGATGGATGTCAGTCTGCCCATGTTCTGAACCTGCCTCTACTTGATGGATGTCAGTCTGCCCATAGGTGCCCTGGAAGGGACCACCTGGAGGAAACACTTGTGGATAAGTGGATAACACAAGACACCACACAAATAAGGCTCACAATATAGGCTATGCCCTACTGGATGGCACAAATGGTTCACAACTGCTAGAGTCATCCAATAGGTTCTTTCTAAGTCACAGTACATAAGTCCAAGAGGAAATATCATACAGCATATTGATAAGCCAGTTAAACAAATGTACACACAAAACTCAGGTCCTGAAACAATGACAAAGTCTAAAAGGACGAACAATCAGGACTGGTGAACATGAAGAAGAAGAATAACATTCAAACATGTCCTTTAGAGGTGTTATATAAGATGGAAGTGCAAGAATATACACAAAATACTATTCATGACAAGAGGAAGTCAAAAGATGAAGATGTGGCATCTAGCACCTGGCATATCTCCTCACTTGACCTCAAAATCAGCAAAGAGATCAAGTACTAGGGCTAATGTCGGTGACTCAACACACAGCCTCCGTCAGCCTATCCCATACAGCCCTGACCACATCGACACTGTCTTGACTTCCTCAGATCTGCACTGGTTCATTATTTGTTAGCTGATGCATAATCATTACCTCTCATTTACCTCGCATATCTGTGTACGTGTGTGTGTTAGAGGCTTGTGTGAGATTGTGCTGTCCGTGAACTGTATATGTGCGAGTATAATATGGGCGTGTGTGCGTGTGCGAGCATGCATGCGTGTGTGTGCACTGATAATGGTAGATTATATACAAGTTGCACTTGTCACTGCTTATGTGTACATGGATATACAGGTTGCACTTGTCACTGCTTATGTGTACATGGATATACAGGTTGCACTTGTCACTGCTTATGTGTACATGGATATACAGGTTGCACTTTTCACTGCTTATGTGTACATGGATATACAGGTTGCATTTGTCACTGCTTATGTGTACATGGATATACATGTTGCACTTGTCACTGCTTATGTGTACATGGCGTGTATATGTGTATGTGTGTGTGTATGTGTGTGTGTGTATGTGTGTGTGTATGTGTGTGTGTATGTGTGTGTGTATGTGTGTGTGTGTGTGTGTGTTTGTTTGTGTGCATGTGTAGGGGTGGAGCTGCATGCACGTGTGTACATATATGTATATGTGTACATATGTATGGCAATATATATACAATCTTTATACCCACATTAGGTTATCAATGTCAGACTTGGACATTAACAAAAGAACATGAGAGAAGACTAACCACCTGTGAAATGAGATGTTTGAGAATGGCTGTGAATAAAACCAGAAGAGATAGAATGAGAAACGATGTGATTACAAGAACTATTGGAACCATACCCATCATTAAATTTATTGAGAAGCAAAGAATGAAATGGTTTGGTCACCTAGTGAGAATGGAACCAACGATGCCAGCATCAAGAGCATACAACATGAAAATCGAAACACCAAGAGGCAGGGGAAGACCAAGAAGAATATGGATTGAAGGAGTCACGGACAACTTGAGACTTCATAACATCACGGCATATGAAGCGACTGAGCGCCCCCTGGCTCGGTTGCCGATCATCTGATAGACTGCGACGCCTAGCGGCACAAGCAGATTTTGACAAAAGAAGAAGAAGATGTATGGCATGTAAGTGTGTGTGTGTGTGTGTGTGGGGGGGGGGGGGGGGGGGGGGTGAAGATGCATGCATGTGTGTATGTAGCTATGTATGTCTGTGTATGCATATCCTGTATTTGTTTCTAAGCAAACACACACAGTCACTTTACCACTTGTTTATCTGCAATGATGGCCTTGACCGCGTCCTTGCCGTACGGCTCAGTCATGATGAAGGCCAAGGCATACGTCCTGAGGTCAAAGTGCACTTTCAAGGACATCATGCACAGAAGAAGCCGGGTGAACTGTGGACAGTAACAACAACAACAAAACTTTTCATCTTCAATTTACATAAACTTTTTTTTTTAAAGATAATAATGTCATCTAGTCTGAGCAGCAATCTCTTTGGTCTCCTCTACCCAATCTCCACTTCCAAGGTATGTTTAACATACGTAACCTGTATGTGGGTCTAGTGAGTTCTTTGACAGTAGTCAGAGAGGACCAGACATTCAATCAACATCCCAGAATCCTGTGGGAGTATACTATTCTGCTCTTACCTGTAAAAACACACACAGTCCAGACCAGAAGTGCAGTCAGGTTTGCATAAACCAGAGGCAGGAATTGTCATTTCTGAGCCACCGCACCCACAAATAATTATTTCAATGGATAAGCAGTTGACCATGGCAAACAATGTCACTAGAGTGTGAAACAAATAATGTCACTGGAGTGTGAAACAAATAATGTCACTGGAGTGTGAAACAAATAATGTCACTGGAGTGTGAAACAAATAATGTCACTGGAGTGTGAAACAAATAATGTCACTAGAGTGTGAAACAAACAATGTCACTAGAGTGTGAAACAAACAATGTCACTAGAGTGTGAAACAAATAATGTCGCTGGAGTGTGAAACAAACAATGTCACTAGAGTGTGAAACAAACAATGTCACTGGAGTGTGAAACAAATAATGTCACTAGAGTGTGAAACAAACAATGTCACTAGAGTGTGAAATGTTAGACCTTTAAATATTCGATGCCACGCCAATAAGGTGGATGGCCACATACATCTTTATCAAACAATTAGCCTGGCTCGCTAGCGTAGTTGGCTAAACCTGACTTTGCGACGAGTCGTTGACTAAATCTTTGTGGTCCAGGCTGATGCCCGGGGGTAAGCAGAAAAGCCACACTTCTCCCAGATTTACGGTATCTATCATGGAATCAAGGCCAAAGGGTTGCGATATCCATAGTACCGAGCCAAAGGGTTAAGAACTCATGGTTTCTGGATATTTAAAAAAAAAAAAAAAAAAAAAAAAACTAAACAACTGACACAAAATTCTCTGACGGACCCATTGACCAGCGTCTGAAACCAGGTCAGCTACAAAGATGACTGGCTGGATTAAATAATCCTGTCACCCCTGAGGACTGACCCTAAACCACTGTCTTCTAATGTCTGCAAGAAGTTGAGATTGCTTGTATTATTACTTGTTGACCAGTTGTTTCAACTACCTGCATATACCGTGTGTCTGTAAATCACTGCACTTTTGAGGTCACAGGACATCAAAAGAGAACCATGACTTTACGGACACATGGTACTTTGCTCTGCTTATTTTTCTACCTGTCTTTCATTTTATTTTCTTACATAAGGCTCTTTTAACTACTTTACCAGTTCTATTGAGTGTTTCCAAAAACGTATGTGTAATTTTTAGGATGTAGAAGCGCTGAACCAACCACATGTGCTGGTGTACCAAAACCAGGGCACACACATGTGCTGGTGTACCAAAACCAGGGCAAAAATATGTGCTTGTGCTCCAGAACCAGGAAACACACATGTGCTGGTGTACCAAAACCAGGGCACACACATGTGCGGGTGTACCAAAACCAGGGCACACACATGTGCGGGTGTACCAAAACCAGGGCACACACATGTGTGGGTGTACCAAAACCAGGGCACACACATGTGTGGGTGTACCAAAACCAGGGCACACACATGTGTGGGTGTACCAAAACCAGGGCACACACATGTGCTGGTGTACCAAAACCAGGGCACACACATGTGCTGGTGTACCAAAACCAGGGCACACACATGTGCTGGTGTACCAAAACCAGGGCACACACATGTGCTGGTGTACCAAAACCAGGGCAAAAATATGTGCTTGTGCTACAGAACCAGGACACACACTTATCAAGGCCTATCTACATCTCTCTGTGATCATGTGACACTTCACAACTGGGAGCCTGACCACAACTAGGAGCCTGGTCACAACTGGGAGCCAGGCCACAACTGGGAGCCAGGCCACAACTGGGAGCCAGGCCACAACTGGGAGCCTGGCCAACTAAGATAGGATACATTTTTCCTTAAAGTCGGAGTGCATCTGCCTGTGAGGTGAGGAAAAGTCTGCACACAAAAATACCAGATTTGTAAATCTGATGTGCACACATAAAGCATGTCATTGAACAAGACCACAGTCAAGAAGTAGATGAACAACCATGACTTTCTGCCAGAGTTTACAGCTGATGAATGCTGCGTATCTCTCTGCATGTCTGTCTGTTAGTCTGTTTTTGATATTATCATCATTCTCGTATTTTTACATTTCCACTCATTTCACTGCTCAGTGTCTAACATTCACAGCCACACAGAAGCTGTCCCCATCAAATGTTTTAGTCCAACACTATTCAACTGGCACCCCACAGGCCACATCTGGCTCACATATCACTGCCATTTGTACTGGATTAAAGATCTTTCTAGAATGGATCTCCGACCTCTGGCCCGTGACGATTTCCATTTTCACAATTTTGGTCCCTGTGTCTTAACAGAGCTCATCAACGAATGTTACATCTCCCCCCAACACTTCGCTGAGTTACAAGGTGGAAGACAAGAAGAAGAAGAAGAAGAAGAAGAAGAACGACCCTGGGTAAACAGTTGAATAGTCCTGTTTTAGTCAGAAGATTTCTGTGACCAAATCTTTTCATAATTGTTTTCCTACCTGAACTCTAAGGACATCTTTAGCTCCGTGCATCGTTGGATTTTTGTACTTCTTAGCACTCAGCTCCTTGTTCTGTTCAGAGAAAGTTAAACATTAGCTACAAAAACACAAAGATCCAGAAACAGTAAAGTAGTAGGAAATGCGCAAATTAAGTCTATATTACTAAGTAAGTTAACTTTACAGTTTCCACTGTCTTGCTGTGACAGTAGAAATACAAACTCAACCTTCTAAATAGCAACTGAGTGCGATCAACATTCTGGCCTACAATACTAGACACCTGACCACTTGTACACCAATACTGGACACCTGACCACTTGTACAACAACACTGGACACCTGCCAACTTGTACAACAATACTGGACACCTGCCCACTTGTACAACAATACTGGACACCTGACCACTTGTACAACAACACTGGACACCTGCCAACTTGTACAACAATACTGGACACCTGACCACTTGTACAACAATACTGGACACCTGACCACTTGTACAACAACACTGGACACCTGCCAACTTGTACAACAATACTGGACACCTGCCCACTTGTACAACAATACTGGACACCTGACCACTTGTACAACAACACTGGACATCTGACCACTTGTACAACAACACTGGACACCTGACCACTTGTACAACAATACTGGACACCTGACCACTTGTACAACAATACTGGACACCTGACCACTTGTACAACAACACTGGACACCTGCCAACTTGTACAACAATACTGGACACCTGCCCACTTGTACAACAATACTGGACACCTGACCACTTGTACAACAACACTGGACATCTGACCACTTGTACAACAACACTGGACACCTGACCACTTGTACAACAATACTGGACACCTGCCCACTTGTACAACAATACTGGACACCCGACCAATTGTACAAGAAGAGAAGGAAACCTGACGGCCGTGATGAAACTGTTTCTTTAAGGAAAGAGTTTGGTTTCACGCAAAATTAGAAACATTATTTTTGTAGGGTAAACATATTAAATCTTTAAATATTTGTGTCGATCCAAGACAATCATTAAACAAGTTTAAAAAGCTGGCCATTAAAGCCTGTCTAGTTTTAGGAAAGAATTTTGAACTTAGCAAACACTTGTTATTTCAACGTTCTGAAAAAAAGACTAAAGCACAAAGGCAACTTCTAAGAGCATTAGAAAGAAGTAGATGGTATGTGTGCACATTCTGATAAGTTCTGATAAAATAACAACAAATGTAACATCAAGAAGCAATGGACAACATTTATGGTAGATGACGATGTAATAAGGCAGCAAAAGAACATTCTTGGCAGTCTGTCATCCTTGGATCAACAAATTCTTACATTTGATTGACATTGTAAAATTAATAGAAACCTGGTGGTTCACATGTCAGACAACATGGCATTTTAAAAGGATGATGAACAGATTAGGACTGCCTAAGGAGACCTCTGCACAACCTGGCACATTATTCAGCTAGCTAAAAACAACAGATTCAAGCTAATACAAATTTGGCATCTTACCAGAGACTGCTCATAAAATCTGTACACTGAGAGGAAGAGATGTTTCAGGTAGCGGTCCTCCAGACTCGCTGGTCTTGTTTCTTTTTTAAGAAAACTCAGAGTTCTCTGTTCTTGGGGTCGTACTTGCTCCTCACGAGCTGCAACACAAGGACAAGTTCATGTTTTAGTGATCATAAGTCAAAGGCCAGGTTTAAGTGACCATCAATCAAAAACCAGGTTTGGGTGACTATCAGTCAAAGGCCAGGTTTAAGTAATCCTCAATCAAACGCCATGTTTATATGATCATCAAAAGCCAGGTTCAAGTGATCATCAAAAGCAAGGTTTAAGAGACCATCAATCAAAGGTCAAGTTTAGGTGATTATCAAAGGCCAGGTATAGGTGACCATCAATCAAAAGCCAGGTTTAGGTGACTATTAATCAAAGCCGAGGCTTAAGTGATCTTAGATGATCATAAATCAAAGGTCACATTTAGGTAGTCATCAATCAAAAGTCATGTTTAGGTAGCCATCAATCAGAGGCCAGGTTTAAGTGATCATCAATCAAATGTCAGGAATAAGTGATCATCAATCAAAGGCCATGTTCAAGCGATCATCAAAGGCCATGTTTAAGTGATCATCAAAGGCCAGGTTTAAGTGATCATCAAAGGCCAGGTTTAGGAGATCATCAATCTAAGGCCAGGTTTAAGTGATAATCAATTATTGCCAGCTTTAAGTGATCAACAATCAAAGGCCAGGTTTAAGTGATCATCAATCAAACTTCAGGTTTAAGTAATCATCAATCAAAGGCCATGTTTATGTGATCATCAAAAGCCAGGTTCAAGTGATCATCAAAAGCAAGGTTTAAGAGACCATCAATCAAAGGTCAAGTTTAGGTGATTATCAAAGGCCAGGTATAGGTGACCATCAATCAAAAGCCAGGTTTGCGTGCCCATTAATCAAAGGCCATGTTTATGTGATCATCAATCAAAGTCCAGGTTTAGGTGACCATCAATCAAAAGCCAAGTTTAGGTGACCATCAATCAAAGCCGAGGCTTAAGTGATCTTAGGTGATCATCAATCAAAGTTCACATTTAGCTAACCATCAATCAAAGGTCATGTTTAGGTAGCCATCAATCAGAGGCCAGGTTTAAGTGATCATCAATCAAATGTCAGGCTTAAGTGATTATCAATCAAAGGCCATGTTCAAGGGATCATCAAAGGCCAGGTTTAAGTGATCATAAAAGGTCAGGTTTAGGTGATCATCAATCAAAGGCCAGATTTAAGTAATCATCAATCAAAGGCCAGGTTTAAGTAATCACCAATCAAAGGCTGGGTTTAAGTGATTATCAATCAAAGGCCAGGTTTAAGTAATCATCAATCAAATGGACAGGTTTAAATGATCATCAATCAAAGGCCAGGTTTAAGTAATCATCAATCAAAAGCCAGGTTTAAGTAATCATCAATCAAAGGCCACATTTAAGTTAAAGCCAGGCCAAGTTTATACTGATTTTAGTTCAAGGTAAAATACTCATTAAAAAAAAATGATAATAATAATAAATTAAATTAAATTAATCTGCTACAAGTAGTCTATGCTCCAAACGGGCAGAAAGCAATTAGAAGTCGCAGTTAACCTCCATCCTCTGGATCTACACATCTGGGCAAGCAGGAGTAAATGGTAATGAAAGAGCTGACCAGCTGGCAAGTAAAGCACCAAGTTAAACGGGAAGACGCACGAACAGAGCTGATACTTTCGAGGCTGTACGGACTAGGTTGGGGGAAAATGGTGACTCTCTGATGCTAACACGACTGAGTGACCGAGGAGTTAAGCTTGGTGAAGCACGTCTATGCTGTCTTTGAGGTAAAGACAAGAGAGACCATAACCGACTCCTCATGGGAACAATCAGTAGAGGTACTTTGGAGTGGCTGCTGCATTGGAGGACTGAGCATGCATGGAGTGTCCATTATGCAAATATGTCGACTGCGACAACATAACAAGTGAAATAAAATGTTTTTAGAGAGGCTGGCAATGAAAATAAAGTTGACAGAAATACAAAATAAAGAAGTGAGAATATCTGGCTACATTAAAAGACACAGCATCCTCATTAAAAACCAAAGTGGAGGTAAAAGCTAAATGCAAGTGAACAAGAGATAAGGCTGTAGTAGTAACCAAAAGAGATAAAATTAGGAATGAGGTCATAAGAGATAAAGTCGGCACAGAACCAATTCTAAATTAAACAGAAAGACAGCAAATCAAATAGTTTGCCCACTTGGAGAGAATGCCTTCTGATGCTATATCATTCAAGGCAAATACCAAAAAGGAGAGGGACGTAGAGCAAGAAGTAGACCAAGAACAAGATGGAAAGATAACATCAGAGAAACTCTACAGTACCAGAATGTGTCTATGGTTGAAGCAGCCAGAAAAGCACGAAGCAGGACCTTATATCTCCCTCGACACTAGAAGCGGTAAAAGTGGATGTAAAGAAGAAGCAGAACAAGAGATGGACAGTGATACAAGTGGAAATATAATAACAGACAGAATGTCCCCCAAGGGTGAGAGACACTGCATTCAACCTTTAGGAGTTGGCACCTGACTGGCGTCTGAGCAACTAACTGACGGCAACTGTTTTTTAGTCATTTCATTAATGATAATGTAGGCAGACATGATGATACTTACGAAACATGACAGCCAAATCCACCGCCATGACGAGGATTTTCTTGAATCTGTCTAAGAGGTCTGACTGACTGACACTGGCATAGATGAGCTTCCTTTTTCGGCTAAACAAGCTGCCCAATCGAGACGGTTTATTGCCTGCATCTGGACGCGGTGACAGCATGGGACGGATGGAGCCTGACGAATCACTGTCGATCTGGCTGCTGATGTTGGATCTATCGTCGGTGGTTTCTGCGAGAAAACCCATGATGTCAGGCGATGAGAATGTTGTTCGTCGCATCATTATCAGGTTGGCAACTTGTGGTGGGCGTAGCGGTAACGAAACATCATCTGCCTTAACGCGAGGATTGGAGGATAAAGGCGCGGAAAAAGAGTTTGAGGAGACTGTGTTTCTGGCCACAAGATGGCGGGGTTTATTGTTACTGGAAGAGATTGCTGGAAAAAACAAAACACACACAGGATAACAATGGGCCAGGAAGGCTGATAAGTAAAAAATGGTTGAGGTTTGCAAAATTGAGGGTAAAAATTCAAACAGGCATGAGGTCATAACAAAACCTAAAAACTTTCAGTTAGTTTAACAATGTGAAGAAAGGTTACCTTATTTTTTTTATGTGTACAACATCTCTAAACTGCAGGGGATAGTTCTGGTTGTTTGTCCACCTCTTGACGTTTGACTTTTTTTCAGAATCTGAGTGTTGCGTGCAGATCCATTTTACAGATCTGACTGATCTGTATACAGATTGTTGGTCTCAGACAGATGCACTGCAACTTTGAAGGAAGCCCCCAATTACTCAACTCTCACAACATGCTTGTTGGGGAAGCAGTGGGTCTATTCTTGTTTCCCCCCACAACGGGACCTCAGAACCCACACAGTGATAGATAACAGATATGGGTTGGGTTATCTTATGGCATTCCAGATATCTCCTTATGTGTTCACATTCCCCTTTCAACTCATACATCATTGCCCTGCAGGTAACTGTGCCAGTCCTATGCTGACAAGACTTCTTGTGCCTGGTTGCTCCAATCTTTAATCCCAATTCTCGCATTCACAGCTGTGATGTTGATGGCTGCTCTCAAAATCCTCTGATAGTCTTATCTCTTCAGAGGCATAAACAATATCAGTACAATCCAAAGGATGGCTGTCTGCTACCAAGGCAAAATCAGCCAATCCATTGGCTCTTTCAATGTCAACAACAACTCTGCCATGGGAAGACGATTAAGGTAACTCCATATACAGGAGCTTCAAATGACTTGATCCACTGTTAGCTACAGAGCTTGCCTCGACCCACAGGATCATGCTCAAGAATCACTCAGCACACATATGCGGGAATAGCCCTGTGATTCCAGTCGCATGAATGTTTGTGGATCCCCCCATGCAGATCAGCACATCAGCGTCATCTGAATGGTCATTAGTAAGTGCAAGAAACAAACATCTGTTATCACAATTACATAAAACATTTGCTTAAACTCTGTAACATTTGTAACTCAATTAAACATGTGTACAAATACGTACTGGAAGCCAGGCAATGAGTATGAAAACAGATAACTTAACTGATATGAAGATTTTCAAATAAAATTTCATTTAGAAAATAACATGAAGTCAATTACAATGACTGGAATAATTGTCTACATAAAAAAATCATTAAGTTTATTTACATTTTATACAGAAAATATCTGGTATTGTTAGTCCAAAATAAAACGTTAATTTATCTACAAAATATGTGAATTTTTATAAAATAAAATCACATTAATCTGTTTATAAAACAAGATTAGGTTCATTCTTGAATTTAGAAACTGTGCTGATTTACTTGTAAAAAAACAGTTCAATGCACAGAATGTCTCAGACTCAATAACTTAAAGGAAACTGTAACAAATCTTGAACACTTCTTCAATTACACGTAATTCTGTTTCATCAAAGCCAGGCTGGCAAGTGAACATATTAGTCTTGGCATAGAATAAGGTTTTTAAAAAAAAAAAGGCGGGGGTGGGGGAGGGGGGATGTTTTGCTTGGAAAGTGAGAAAAGCCACAGATAAAGTAGCTGAATTTTGAAAAGCACACATGAAAAAATGAAACATCAAATGACATAGACAAATGCAATCAAGTATTTGCATAAATTATTAATGGAGAGGTATGAATTGGGGTAGGGAAAAAAACAGAACAATCTATTTGCATATAAAATAGTTGGTAAAGTTTTCCTGTCACACCAGTGGCACATCAGACATGCTGTGTTAGATCCATATTTATACTGACCAATCGGCACTCACTGGGTCATGTGATCATCCTGATACCAGCTGCCTTAGCTTCCAGTGATATTTCCTGGCACCCGTTTTTTGCTGGGTCCCCCTGGGAGCGAAGGTAATTTAAATACCCACCTCTATGTGGATCCAAACTCAAGACCTTAGAACCAGTAGGCAAACATTCAGCCACCATTCAACGAAATGATATGTATATATGATTGAGCAGGAATAAATCATGTGGTGCAGTAACTGAATGACAAGGTTCCTCCGTGTATTATTCTCATTTTCACTGTCAGGAAAGGACTTTTGTCCATACCATCAGGTCAACTAGGCATACAGGGCTAGACCTATATTTTATAGACCAATGGGCACCTGGTAGGTGATGTGGTCATCATCTCCCTGGCTGCCTTTACTTCCCAGCACTTGTACCTGGTAGGTCATGTGGTCATCATCTCACCGGCCGCCTTTACTTCCCAGCACTTGTACCTGGTAGGTCATGTGGTCATCATCTCACCGGCCGCCTTTACTTCCCAGCACTTGTACCTGGTAGGTGATGTGGTCATCATCTCCCTGGCTGCCTTTACTTCCCAGCACTTGTACCTGGTAGGTCATGTGGTCATCTCACCGGCCGCCTTTACTTCCCAGCACTTGTACCTGGTAGGTGATGTGGTCATCATCTCACCGGCCGCCTTTACTTCCCAGCACTTGTACCTGGTAGGTGGTAAGGTCATCATCTCGCCGGCCGCCTTTACTTCCCAGCACTTGTACCTGGTAGGTGATATGGTCATCATCTCACAGGCCGCCTTTACTTCCCAGCACCTGTACCTGGTAGGTGATATGGTCATCATCTCGACGGCTGCCTTTACTTCCCAGCACTTGTACCTGGTACCCACTCAAGTCTGGGTCGACCTGGGAGCAAAGGTCATTTTCAAACTAAAGAGTCATCAGTAACTATGGCAAAGTGCCAGTTTCTTTGTTGGCTGTGTATACAGGGCTTCGCAAGGACTTTGTTATTCCAGATATCCTATTCCAGATATCCATAGTTTGCATGGTCCTTGTGTCCATTGTCTGTATGGTCCTTGTCTGCATGGTCCTTGTGTCCATTGTCTGTATGGTCCTTGTGTCCATTGTCTGTATGGTCCTTGTGTCCATTGTCTGTATGGTACTTGTCTGTATGGTCATTGTCTGTATGGTCCTTGTGTTACTTGTCTGTATGGTCCTTGTGTCCATTGTCTGTATGGTCCTTGTGTTCATCGTCTGTATGATCATTGTCTGTATGGTCCTTGTGTTCATTGTCTGTATGGTCCTTGTGTTCATTGTCTGTATGGTCCTTGTGTCCATTGTCTGTATGGTCCTTGTGTTCATTGTCTGTATGGTCCTTGTGTTCATTGTCTGTATGGTCCTTGTGTTCATTGTCTGCATGGTCCTTGTGTTCATCGTCTGTATGGTCATTGTCTGTATGGTCCTTGTGTTCATTGTCTGTATGGTCCTTGTGTTCATTGTCTGTATGGTCCTTGTGTTCATTGTCTGTATGGTCCTTGTGTTCATCGTCTGTATGGTCCTTGTGTTCATCGTCTGTATGGTCCTTGTGTTCATTGTCTGTATGGTCATTGTCTGTATGGTCATTGTCTGTATGGTCCTTGTGTTCATTGTCTGCATGGTCCTTGTGTTCATTGTCTGTATGGTCATTGTCTGTATGGTCCTTGTGTTCATTGTCTGCATGGTCCTTGTGTTCATCGTCTGTATGGTCATTGTCTGTATGGTCCTTGTCTGTATGGTCCTTGTGTCCATTGTCTGTATGGTCCTTGTGTTCATCGTCTGTATGGTCATTGTCTGTATGGTCCTTGTGTTCATTGTCTGCATGGTCCTTGTGTTCATCGTCTGTATGGTCATTGTCTGTATGGTCCTTGTGTTCATTGTCTGCATGGTCCTTGTGTTCATCGTCTGTATGGTCATTGTCTGTATGGTCCTTGTCTGTATGGTCCTTGTGTCCATTGTCTGTATGGTCCTTGCGTTCATTGTCTGTATGGTCCTTGTGTTCATTGTCTGTATGGTCCTTGTGTTCATTGTCTGCATGGTCCTTGTGTTCATCGTCTGTATGGTCATTGTCTGTATGGTCCTTGTGTTCATTGTCTGTATGGTCCTTGTGTTCATTGTCTGTATGGTCCTTGTGTTCATTGTCTGCATGGTCCTTGTGTTCATCGTCTGTATGGTCATTGTCTGTATGGTCCTTGTGTTCATTGTCTGCATGGTCCTTGTGTTCATCGTCTGTATGGTCCTTGTGTCCATTGTCTGTATGGTCCTTGTGTTCATTGTCTGTATGGTCCTTGTGTTCATTGTCTGTATGGTCCTTGTGTCCATTGTCTGTATGGTCCTTGTGTTCATTGTCTGTATGGTCATTGTCTGTATGGTCCTTGTGTTCATTGTCTGCATGGTCCTTGTGTTCATTGTCTGTATGGTCCATTGTCTGTATGGTCCTTGTGTTCATTGTCTGTATGGTCCTTGTCTGTATGGTCCTTGTGTTCATTGTCTGTATGGTCCTTGTGTCCATTGTCTGTATGGTCATTGTCTGCATGGTCCTTGTGTTCATTGTCTGTATGGTCCTTGTCTGTATGGTCCTTGTGTCCATTGTCTGTATGGTCCTTGTGTTCATTGTCTGCATGGTCCTTGTGTTCATTGTCTGTATGGTCATTGTCTGCATGGTCCTTGTGTTCATTGTCTGTATGGTCCTTGTCTGCATGGTCATTGTCTGCATGGCCCTTGTGTCCATTGTCTGTATGGTCCTTGTCTGTATGGTCCTTGTCTGTATGGTCCTTGTCTGTATGGTCCTTGTGTCCATTGTCTGTATGGTCCTTGTGTTCATTGTCTGTATGGTCATTGTGTTCATTGTCTGTATGGTCCTTGTGTTCATTGTCTGTATGGTCCTTGTGTTCATTGTCTGTATGGTCCTTGTCTGTATGGTCATTGTCTGTATGGTCCTTGTGTTCATTGTCTGTATGGCCCTTGTGTTCATTGTCTGTATGGTCCTTGTGTCCATTGTCTGTATGGTCATTGTCTGTATGGTCCTTGTGTTCATTGTCTGTATGGTCCTTGTGTTCATTGTCTGTATGGTCCTTGTGTTCATTGTCTGTATGGTCCTTGTGTCCATTGTCTGTATGGTCCTTGTGTTCATTGTCTGTATGGTCCTTGTGTTCATTGTCTGTATGGTCCTTGTCTGCATGGTCCTTGTCTGCATGGCCCTTGTGTCCATTGTCTGTATGGTCCTTGTCTGTATGGTCCTTGTGTTCATTGTCTGTATGGTCCTTGTGTTCATGCAGTGTGGCTGGCATCATTTGAGATATCACGGATTTTCTGTTTAGAATATTCTGGTGTGCTGGGTAATAAACAGTGTGACAGACTGGCTGCTGCCAGTGGTGAATGTGGTGAATGTGGTGAATGAGGCGAATGTGGCGAATGTGGTGAATGTGGTGAATGTGGTGAATGTGGTGAATGTGGTGAATGTGGTGAATGTAGTGAATGTGGTGAATGTGGTGAATCCTCTGTGGTATCAACTGTACAGTGTGACATAACAGAGTATGCCATGAAAGACAAATTCAGCAGGGAGTAAGCAGGAGTTTAAAGCAATATTCAACATGAGGCAAAACAGCTTCAGTTCTAATCAAACTAATACAAGTGCTATTAACTTATGGAAACACTTCGTCGGCTGCTGAGCAAGGAGATAGATCACATGTGGAAATGTCCTAAGGCAATGATGTCAGTTCTTGATTAATTAATTTACAGTTTATCAAACATGCTGACAGATGTAATTACATATATATCAAACAAGTTTGACATCCGTATATCATAGATGATGCAAAAGGTAAAATATAACAGCATGGTTCAGCTTAACAAACATAACATATAAAATAAGAACATAATGAATGCAGCAGGATATTAAAACAAAACTGGTGGGTATATATTCTGTGTGTGCACACCCAACCCACCCGCCTGCCAGCACAACATGCATGCACATCCAACCCACCCGCCTGCCAGCACAACATGCATGCACACCTAACCCACTCACCTGCCAGCACAACATGCAAGCACACCCAACCCACTCCCCAACCAGCACAACATGCAAGCACACCCAACCCACCCACCTGCCAACACAACATGCATGCACACCCAACCCGTCCGCCTGCCAACACAACATGCATGCACACCCAACCCGCTCACCTGCCAACACAACATGCATGCACACCCAACCCGTCCCCCTGCCAACACAACATGCATGCACACCCAACCCGCTCACCTGCCAACACAACATGCATGCACACCCAACCCGCTCACCTGCCAACACAACATGCATGCACACCCAACCCGCTCACCTGCCAACACAACATGCATGCACACCCAACCCGCTCACCTGCCAACACAACATGCATGCACACCCAACCCGTCCACCTGCCAACACAACATGCATTCAGTTCTGTTGTTCAAGACAGCTAGACAAAGGATCCTCAACATCGGGTTAGCCGTGAGCAACCCACATTTTTGTATTGTTTCATAAAATTCCACACAGCCAATATTTCCAACATACCCAGATCTGCAAGAGCCAGAGGCAGACTTTGTCAGCTTAAACCACTTCCCTACGTGTGACAGTTCTGTACAAGGGACCATCTGTCCAAACCACATCTGGACATTGGCTACTAAGCTCATATTTTATTCTTCAGAGGACACTTGCAGTACAATTTGGTCCAGTTTCTACTGGCCATCTCATCTTCATTAAAACCTTCTCACACCCACTTAAATGTCCTCACACCCACTTAAATGTCCTCACACCCATTGCATGTTTTGACTCCAGCTAAAATGTTATCACACCCATTTTAATGTTTTTAGACCCACTATAATGTTCTGACACCCACTAAAATCTTTTGATACCCACTATAATGTTCTGACACCCACTATAATGTTCTGACAACCACTATAATGTTCTGACACCCACTATAATGTTCTGACACCCACTATAATGTTCTGACACCCACTATAATGTTCTGACACCCACTATAATGTTCTGACACCCACTAAAATCTTTTGATACCCACTATAATGTTCTGACAACCACTATAATGTTCTGACAACCACTATAATGTTCTGACACCCACTATAATGTTCTGACACCCACTATAATGTTCTGACACCCACTATAATGTTCTGACACCCACTATAATGTTCTGACACCCACTATAATGTTCTGACACCCACTATAATGTTCTGACACCCACTATAATGTTCTGACACCCACTATAATGTTCTGACACCCACTATAATGTTCTGACACCCACTATAATGTTCTGACACCCACTATAATGTTCTGATACCCACTATAATGTTCTGACAACCACTAAAATGTTCTGACAACCACTATAATGTTCTGACACCCACTATAATGTTCTGACACCCACTAAAATGTTCTGACAACCACTATAATGTTCTGACACCCACTATAATGTTCTGACACCCACTAAAATGTTCTGAGAACCACTACAATGTTCTGACACCCACTATAATGTTCTGACACCCACTATAATGTTCTGACACACACTATAATGTTCTGATATCCTCTAAAATGTTCTGATATCCACTAAAATATTCTGACAACCTCTATATGAGATTTGAATCAACCCTGTAGCTATGTTTCAAAGAGTTTTCATCCTGGAGGATTTGAAATCAGAACAATGGAACCGGCAGCAAGATCAACTAGCCACTACACTAATGCATTTCTTAGTAATTTCAGTCAAATTAATTACCAGTACTGGCGGTCAACCACCCCATGTTGGCGGCCATCATCAGCTCCCCGCTGCGCTTCTCAACATATTCTAGAATCTTCACCACCAGAGAAATCTGAAAGGCTCTGGCTGTTTCTGCTCTCTTCTTGCTGGCTTCTGCAATACCATTTTTAGAAATAAACATTTAATTCTGTGCTCAGAAATATACGATTCCATTGTTTATTTCAGATATATTCTGACAGAAAATCTAGCCAGATTCACTCTTAATATTCCACGGCCGGTGTTTGAAACAAGGCGGTTACCGGAGTTCACCCAGCCTATAGGAAATGGGTACCAGTGTTGACACCCTGGGGTAAATGGAGGAACGTCGCTGTAGCTACGAAGTTGCGTGCAAACAGCGACACAGGCGGACAATTCTTATCAGCAGTCTGTACTGATGGCAGAGCACTTATGGTTTATAACCATGTTCAATGACACTGGTTCACATCTCCCAACTTTACCTTTACCTTTTTACTCTTAATATTTTAAAATAAGAAGCTACTATATCTCAGACACGTATATCTCAGACACGTATATCTCAGACACGTAAATCTCAGACACGTATATCTCAGACACGTAAATCTCAGACACGTAAATCTCAGACACGTATATCTCAGACACGTATATCTCAGACACGTATATCTCAGACAGGTATATCTCAGACACGTATATCTCAGACACATAGATTTATCTGGATGTAAATAAACTCCCCATGTGGGTTCTAGGACCCCATTGTGGCGAGAACAAGAATAGACCCACAGCCTCCCCAACATGGGGAGAACAAGAACAGACCCACAGCCTCCCCAACATGGGGAGAACAAGAACAGACCCACAGCCTCCCCAACATGGGGAGAACAAGAACAGACCCACAGCCTCCCCAACATGGGGAGAACAAGAACAGACCCACAGCCTCCCCAACATGGGGAGAACAAGAACAGACCCACAGCCTCCCCAACATGGGGAGAACAAGAACAGACCCACAGCCTCCCCAACATGGGGAGAACAAAAACAGACCCACAGCCTCCCCAACATGGGGAGAACAAGAACAACAAGCTGGTCGTAGGAGTCAATAAATGGAAGGCTTCCTTCGGAGTCAGAGTGCACCTGTGACAAGGAATACCAACTGCACACACATGAGTCAGTAAAAGAGATGTACATGCAAAACTCAGGCCCTGGCACAGAGCTAAAGTCCGAAAGGATGAACAACCAGGACTTTTCACCGGAGCTAAAGTCTGAAAGGATGAACAACCAGGACTTTTCACCAGAGCTAAAGTCCGAAAGGATGAACAACCAGGACTTTTCACCAGAGCTAAAGTCCGAAAGGATGAACAACCAGGACTTTTCACCAGAGCTAAAGTCCGAAAGGATGAACAACCAGGACTTTTCACCGGAGCTAAAAGCGGGTGAACAAAGAAAAACAAGAGGAAGGTTATTGAGGTTTTAAAGTCTGGGGGAAAAATAGTGAACTGAAACAATTTCATTTTTCAGAATCTTCAAATAATACATTACAAACAAACCAGTGAACATTTAAAAACTATACACAGTACAGAAACCCATCCACATTTTAACAGCAAGCACTGTGCAAGAACACCCACCTGTGTCCCTGTTAAACTCATAGTCTTCCAAGGCTTTCAGCAAAGTGAACATATCGTCAACATTCTGGAAGTGAGACGGGCCTGTCCAGCTGAAATAATAAACATTTCAAACATTATACAAACCTTAAGTTGTAATAGTTATGCTTTTTCTTCTTCTTCTTCTTCTTCATTAATCTAATTTTGCTGTTCTTCTTCTTCTTCCACCTTTTCTTCTTTGTTTTCTACTCCCTCTCCCTCCCCCCCCCCAACCTCTTTCATTTTCTTCTTTTTATTATTCTCAGTTTCTTGCTCTGCCTTTCAGTTCCCAGTGAAGTGTTCGCCCTCATCTGAATCACATCACACCATTACAGAACTGATCAGTCCTGACTACACAGTGCAAATGTTGGAGTTGAACAGCAGCAGCCTGCCTGTCTACCTGATGATGATGACAGTCGAAACAAAATCAAAGGGCAGCCTTGTCATGTCAACCATGTTGGGTCTGGTAGTCTGACATAATGTTAGCCTCATACTATTTACGCAGATCAGCAAACGATAACTGCTGATGTATTATGCTAGTCAACTTTACTTGCCAGGAATATTTTAGCAACAAGTCCAGTTGTGGTTTTTTTTTACTAATCCCCCCCCCCCCTTTTGTTTTCACCCAAAAGGATCTCAGCAAATGATAAACAGATGAACAGACTTACTGGCCAGCATCACAGGTGCTGCGCTACTGTGGCTACACTAACTTGGTTCTCTATCGGGGTCATTTTCCTGAAAAACCAGTCTGAGTGATAGATTCACTCACTTTGACCAAACAGACAAGATTTCATATAATTTAGGACAGAAATCATAGATTAACTTGTAAACACTTCAGAATAAACAACAACTGAAGCAAGTGCTCACCCAAACTCTCTCACAGAAGCAGAACACAGGACAAGCTGCACATCGATCAGAAGTGCGTTTGTCAGCTCCTTCTCCTCCAGACTGGGTTTGCTGTAACAGGGCACAAGTCAACAACAATGGTCAGATCAAGAACAATACACACAGCTTGTTTCTGACACATTCCATTCCATTTCATCATCATCTTCAGACACACTCATCAACATTATCATTGATAAATAAAGGTGGGGGTGATATTTAGTATTTTTATTCTCCTTCTGCCTGTTCAAGTCCTCAACCAATTCATGTCACACCCTTTGCAGACTTCTTAAAGACTGGTGGAATCTCGCAGGTAACATTTTCTTCAGGATAAAATAACAAGTTTCACTGGTTTAATCTTGCGACTAACATTTTCTTCAGGATAAAATAACAAGTCTCAGTTTAACTTTGCAGCTACAATTTTCACTGGTTGAATCTTGCAGTTACCATTTTTTCAGAATACAATAACAAGTCTCATTAGCTGAATTTTGCAGCAACCATTTTCTTCCAGATAAAATTAACAACTTTGATATGAACCCTCTTTAGTGACATGCACAGTGTGTCACAGTGCTAAAATTCTCTGTTTTCCTTACCAAGGACCAGGACCTCTTTCACTTCAGCATAGTTCTGTGTGGGTTTCCGGGGCCACATTCTGGAGGAAAAGAGAATAGACCCAAGTCCCCTAACAAGCAAGTTTTAAGAGTTGAATTAGGGATGTTTCCTTTAAAGTTGGAGTGCATTTGCCTGAGGCAGGAAACCAACAGTCTGCATAAAAGTAAGTCAGAAAGAATAAGTTGTAAAATGAAAACACATACAACTCAGGTTCTGGAACAAGACTAAGGACCAGAAGTGGATGAGCAACCGAAACTTTCTGCTAGAGTTTACAGCCTGCGAACATGAACAAGAAGACAACTTCCACGTAGGACATCCAGAGAGGTAACAAAATATCAACTGTGGTTTCCATTGTGATGAAGCAGTAGATGACTACAACTCAAACTGATGAGGCACTACAAGACAATACAGGTCTAATGAAGATGAGGGGAATTTCATAAAAAACATCATATGTACTAGCATTTTATCCTGTTTCCTGATTAGCTGACTTAGCTCCCACATACTGCTAGCGCTAACAACTGACCTGCTGTTACGTCTCTGTATGTTTGTGGCCAGGTTACACATAGTTTCCGCCAGGCCAATATCTAGTAACAGAGTGCTCATTGTTGAGTTGGCCTCCAGAAGCTGGGGTATAAATAAGAGTACACAATAAATTAACATGATAACCAACCAATGGAGTAAAGATCAAAGGTCATCTCACAGTTCCTGCTTTAATTATTAAATACTGACAACAGATAACACACTGGTACACATGTGGACCACATGGTGGTACAATATGGATCACACGCTGGTACACATGTGGACCACATGCTGGTACAAAGAGTGGACCACACAATGGTACAAAGAGTGGACCACACAATGGTACAAAGAGTGGACCACACACTGGTACAAAGAGTGGACCACACAATGGTACAAAGAGTGGACCACATGCTGGTACAAAGAGTGGACCACACACTGGTACAAAGAGTGGACCACACACTGGTACAAAGAGTGGACCACACACTGGTACAAAGAGTGGACCACACGCTGGTACAAAGAGTGGACCACACGCTGGTACAAAGAGTGGACCACATGCTGGTACAAAGAGTGGACCACACGCTGGTACAAAGAGTGGACCACACGCTGGTACAAAGAGTGGACCACACGCTGGTACAAAGAGTGGATTACACACTGGTACAAAGAGTGGATAACACACTGGTACAAAGAGTGGATAACACACTGGTACAAAGAGTGGATAACACACTGGTACAAAGAGTGGATAACACACTGGTACAAATAGTGGATAACACACTGGTACAAAGAGTGGATAACACACTGGTACAAAGAGTGGAGAACACACTGGTACAAAGAGTGCACCACACACTGGTACAAAGAGTGGACCTCACACTGGTACAAAGAGTGGACTACACAACGGTACAAAGAGTGGACCACACAATGGTACAAAGAGTGGACCACACAATGGTACAAAGAGTGGACCACACGCTGGTACAAAGAGTGGACCACACACTGGTACAAAGAGTGGACCACACAATGGTACAAAGAGTGGACCACACAATGGTACAAAGAGTGGACCACACGCTGGTACAAAGAGTGGATCACACGCTGGTACAAAGAGTGGACCACACGCTGGTACAAAGAGTGGACCACATGCTGGTACAAAGAGTGGACCACACAATGGTACAAAGAGTGGACCACACAATGGTACAAAGAGTGGACCACACACTGGTACAAAGAGTGGACCACACAATGGTACAAAGAGTGGACCACACACTGGTACAAAGAGTGGACCACACAATGGTACAAAGAGTGGACCACACACGGGTACAAAGAGTGGACCACACACTGGTACAAAGACTGGACCACACGCTGGTGCAAAGAGTGGACCACACGCTGGTACAAAGAGTGGACCACATGCTGGTACAAAGAGTGGACCACACAATGGTACAAAGAGTGGACCACATGCTGGTACAAAGAGTGGACCACACACTGGTACAAACAGTGGACCACATGCTGGTACAAAGAGTGGACCACACACTGGTACAAAGAGTAGACCACATGCTGGTACAAAGAGTGGACCACACGCTGGTACAAAGAGTGGACCACACACTGGTACAAAGAGTGGACCACACAATGGTACAAAGAGTGGACCACACACTGGTACAAAGAGTGGACCACACAATGGTACAAAGAGTGGACCACACACGGGTACAAAGAGTGGACCACACACTGGTACAAAGAGTGGACCACACACTGGTACAAAGACTGGACCACACGCTGGTGCAAAGAGTGGACCACACGCTGGTACAAAGAGTGGACCACACGCTGGTACAAAGAGTGGACCACACAATGGTACAAAGAGTGGACCACATGCTGGTACAAAGAGTGGACCACACGCTGGTACAAAGAGTGGACCACACACTGGTACAAAGAGTGGACCACACACTGGTACAAAGAGTAGACCACACGCTGGTACAAAGAGTGGACCACACACTGGTACAAAGAGTGGACCACACACTGGTACAAAGAGTGGACCACACACTGGTACAAAGAGTGGACCACACACTGGTACAAAGAGTGGACCACACACTGGTACAAAGAGTGGGCCACACACTGGTACAAAGAGTGGACCACAGACTGGTACAAAGAGTGGACCACACACTGGTACAAAGAGTGGACCACACACTGGTACAAAGAGTGGACCACACAATGGTACAAAGAGTGGACCACACGCTGGTACAAAGAGTGGACCACATGCTGGTACAAAGAGTGGACCACACAATGGTACAAAGAGTGGATAACACACTGGTACAAAGAGTGGATAACAAATCCACATCAAGTCAGATTCAAAATTGAGCTTGTCTCCCAGGACCCAGGCTAAAACGGTCACCAGGTAAAGTTCTGGGAAGTAAATGTGGCCGATGTGTGATGTTGATCGCATCACCCTTAAACTCTAACTGGTCTATAAAATAAAAGTCTAGCACTATAAATGTGCCCGATACGCCTAAGGATGGGGAAAAGGGTCCTTTAAATTACTGTGACATTTTTCCTGAATCTGCCCAAGAGCCTCAGTAGGTGAATATACATTCTGACCTTGATGGGGGTTTAAACACATGCTCTTGGGGCTGGCAGACTAGCAATTATTTGAACAGAAAAATGAAAAAAAAAAACATTACAATTTGAAAAGAATGGAAACAACACAAACAAGTAAGGATGTATAAATCTGATACCTGAGATAAAAGAGTGAGGGAGTTGCGGCACAGTTCAGTATCGGAGGCTGTGCCATCCAACAAGGACAGCAGCAAGACTGGGGCTGCCTGCTGTACCGTGGATAGTTCTCCGAGATCATCAACTATGAAACTAGAACAGTAAACACAAGACAAAGTTATAATCAGCATATTAGCAGGTCAGAAGGAACTTTTAATTAATCAAACCAACATTTCTGATAAAATTTTCTCCAAAAATCTCTTATATAGTATAGCAAATTATAAGCTGAAATAATCAAACACATTCTAAAGTAATATCTTAAAATGTGTTTACTTATACAGCTATTTTTGCCAACATGTTGAAAGAATCAAAACAACGTGTTTTCACTGTCTCAATCAATGATGGATTTACACAACATCCCTTGGAACAATTCACAGTATTGTCAATAGTCATTTCTTTTCAATGTGACTGTTTTCGTGACAGTTTTAGTGGTTTCCAGTGTAAACAATTGAAATAAAAAACTATGTGATATTTAAAACATCAATATTGAACTAATAAACATACTAACAGTATTGTCTGAGGTAATTTAACAGGTCAGAGTGAAACTGTCTCTCATCATCATCATCATCATCATCATCATCACTAACCTGTTGTTGAATGAACATTTCTATATGTCCCATTTTGGGCTCTTAAGGTCAAGGCCTTCACTCCGTCATAACCTAAGCAATAATTTTTTTTTTAAATCCAAGCTTGAATCCAGTCCTTTGGCCTCTCTCTTGGATGTCCGTGTTCTCTCAATCCATATAGTTCCCATTTCAATAGCTGTTTGATGAAAATCTGCTTGCTTATTCTCAGAATATTCTTAAAATTGTACCATCTTCTTTGTATTATAACTTGAACTGTATCAAACTGTCTTTTATTTTAATGTCCTTTTTTTTTTTTAAACTAAATGCAGGGTGTAAATGTTTCTGCCATGTGTCTCAGTTCAAATGTAAATAGGTTGAATGTCCTGGTTCTTGATCATCAACTGGTTCAAATGTAAATAGGTTGAATGTCCTGGTTCTTGATCATCAACTGGTTCAAATGTAAATAGGTTGAATGTCCTGGTTCTTGGTCATCAACTGGTTCAAATGTAAATAAGTTGAATGTCCTGGTTCTTGATCATCGTCTGGTTCAAATGTAAATAGGTTGAATGTCCTGGTTCTTGATCATCGTCTGGTTCAAATGTAAATAGGTTGAATGTCCTGGTTCTTGATCATCGTCTGGTTCAAATGTAAATAGGTTGAATGTCCTGGTTCTTGATCATCATCTGGTTCAAATGTAAATAGGTTGAATGCTATGAATGAAAACTGGTTTAAATGGCTCAGCTTAACAGCAACCAATAAATTATGCAAAGAAAAACTCTAAAACTTACTTATCATCAAATGTGAACCTGTGTCCCAAAAGAATGGACACTGCAGTTTCCACGTGTTGCCAGCAGACAGAAAATGAACGCAGCTGATTTGCCAGGAGGTAAAAGCCATCCATTTTGATGAATGCATCAATGAGATTTGATGGCGCCTTCGAGAGATAGGCACCCAGAAGCTAAAGAAGGACATATTTTTCTTCAATATTACATTTGATACAACATTTTGTATTGAAGACAGTAAACAACATTTAGAAAATGACAACAAATATATTTCAGTACAAATGCAACAAGATATTTGTAGGTAGGGCACACATGATTCAAAATTCTAGTATACAAGTTAGATAATGAATTGTGTACTGAAAGCTCAGTCACAAGTACATTGAAACATGCACAGCATTTAAAAAAAAAAAAAAGGCTGCTTCACTTACAGTGACCTTCTTCTTTTTCGCATTCACAAGCTGTAAACACCCGCAGAAAGTTCTGTGTTTTGTCCTGCTCCAGAACCTAAGTGTTGTGTGCACTTCTGTTTTACAGGTCTAACTCATTTGTATGCAGACTGCTGGTTCCTTACCTCTCAGGCAGATGCACTCTGACTTTGAAGAAAGCTTCCAATTAGTCGACTCTTACTAGTCTTTTTTAGGAGGCAGTGGGTTTATTTGTGGTTTCCCCAAAATGGGGCCTTGGAATCCACATGGGGAATAGACTGACCACACACAAACTACAAGTTCTACATTTACCCACAGAACAGGCCAGCATTTGCAAAAACTGCCATCTCATCTAAAAATCTGCAGCTAGCATCACATTGCCAAAATATTTCACAAAGGAACCATTGACCTGACATGCTGTATCAAACATACCAACTGGCAACATGGAATTACAAATGTACAATGTTGATACCTTGATGACAGCAAGTCTCATGTCACTGGATGGGTTCTTGGCCAGAACTAGCAAACTTTTGGGGTTGACCACTTTACTGAAGACATTATCTAATGATGCCTCGGCAAACTCATGGACAATCTGGGTCAAGTATTCAATCAGACCTGGACAAATATGGAGGCCAAATATATTATCAATTTATGACACCATGAGGCAAGTAACGCAGAGAAAGTAATCGACATATCCACCATCATTTAGGCTTCCTCAGAAGAATGTAATCATTTATGAAAATCATTTCATTTCAAGGCATTAAATAAAAAACAATATTTTACCTTTTTCTGAGGTGGCTAATCTGTGCCCTCCACCTGATGTTGCAAATATGCATGATTCTGAAATACCCGGTTGAATTCCAGCTGCATCAGATTTGGCAGTAGAACACTTTGCATTGATTTTAACAATAGTCTGGAATGTATGGACCTCAGAAGGCTAATGTAAAATGTTCTAGTCAAATCAAACAGCTAAAAATAAGCTGGGGTTTGGTCTTAAACATCCTGTAAAGGATAGGCAACTAACTTTCAACTTGAGGTGGCCATCAAGTGACTATTTGTATTCTATAATGAAAAAGTTGAATCAGTGAAGTATGGCACAGTCAGGTGAGTTTTTCCTGAAACCAGTCCTGAACTCAGACCATGTCTGTGCTCTGTTGACTAGGGATGTTAGTTATTGATGAACTATATTTGAATAATCAGCTTTTTTTCTATAATATTCTAGCAATCAACATTAAAGGAAGTAGAAATAAAACTGAAGAATGTGGTTCTCACTAGAGTGATGTCCCACGGATGGCTTAAAGCAGGCATGTCAAACTCAGGGTCACCCAAGGACCATATGGCTCATGTTTGTGTGGTCATGAGGGCCACACACAACAACTATCTGAAGTCATTTAGTGAACATTATTGCAGAATATTTCCTCCGTGTGGGCCCGAGGTGTGCTTGCAAAGGACTGCATGTAGCTCAGGGGCCGTCAGTTTCACATGCCTGGCTAGAGGATCATTACCCAAGAAGACAAGGCAGATGTGGTCAAGGCCCTTTGGAAACAAGCAACAGAATCAACAGAGAAAAAAGATTATTATGGGCTGGAATGAGGGTGTAACCAGAGGGTCTGGTCGACTCTCTACACTCAGTGGAAAGGCAGGACTGACATATAACCAGATAGTGACCAGTACCATCAGTTTTGGAGCTCTGTGCTGGCTGTTGAAGATGAGGACGGAGCATACATAGGAATGCCATGAGTGCTGTGATGTCAATTCTTGACTCAACTCTATCCAAGAACTGCCAGAAGCCATTTCACAAAGATATATTTAATTCAATCTTTACAATAAAACTCATCATTTTTAGGACACAAATAACAGAATGAAACTGGAGAGGTTTTTGATAATGAGGGTATTAGAGACAAAAGTTAGCAGAGCAAGAAGAAACATTGGGTTAGGGCTACAGAATGGCAAGGAAAACAATCAGAGGTCAGACTTTTCAAGGACCCAGAGTACAGATGTTTGTGCAGAAACATGATAACCCATGCCGAAGGAGCAAGCAAAACGCTGAAATTATCAGTAACTTTAGACAACACCTAGAAGATTAGCATATTGTTAAATATCACAATTACCTAGAAGGTATGCAATATAAATATCAAATCATCTGCAATATACACTTAGAAAGGAATAAACTCACAGGGAGCAAGTACAGCAGGGATCTACCAGTCATCAGTAGAAGTTATCCTCGTCGAGAATCGTTTCGGCCCACGATCTCCTAGACATTTTCAGAGGTGGGCCCACCTGAGTTCATGAAGCTCAGGGCTGGTACCCTGCTGCACCAAATTACCGGATGATGTTTTTCTTTCGGATAGGGACAAGACGATTTGGTGATTTGCAGGAGGTACTGTGAGATATGAAGTCGCTGCGGTAGCCTAATTAGAACAGTCAGCATACCTGGACGACTGAGCGACAAGCTTACGATTGGTTTACCAGATACATGTTGGACTTTGTTAGCAGGTGGCAGAGGATCATTGGCAGACAATTCCGACACGATGGACTTTCAAGGGATGGAAAACTCTTTTCTGCTAGACACCCGGACCAGCTCACCGAGGCCCGTTCCCTACGTTGTTTCATTGCGTCCAGAGCCAGCTCAAGGCCCTTTCGGCTACTTTAAGTGTTCGTTTCCGTTCATTACCGCGCAATCCTAGTTCTTTAATCACATTGTACAGTGAAGTGGAGATGAGACCTCTCGCTCCCACTTCGACGGCAAAGACACGTACCGTGTACGTCTCATCTCTCCTCAGACCGGCTGCTAAATTCTTGTATTTCTCGAGCTTGTACAGGTTATTTTTGTCCAAACGCGACTCATACGGGACGGTCAACTCAATCAGGATGAGCTGCCGTTTCTCCGCAGAGTGGAGAACTATGTCAGGTCGCAGACCGGTCTTCCGGATTAACTCGGGGTACCTTTCATGGCCTGGCAGATCAACCGCCAGTAACCAGTCCCTCGCAGAGTCTAGCACAGATGGAGCGAATGCGTTTCGGTTGACCTTACCTTTTTGAATCTGCCCAGCCTTGAGGAAACGAATGGGGACGATGGTAGAACTGGCTCTAGTGTTAGCCCTCATTCTAGCCTGGTCAACAATGGCTGCTAACTCTTTTAACACCTTGTTGTGTCGCCAGGTATATCGTCCTTGGCCTAGGGCTTTCCTGCACGCGGACAGGACGTGCTCAAGAGTCTGCTTTGCTTTGCACAACGGGCAAGTCGGATCGTTGGTCGCAGACCACTTAACCATGTTAACACCGGACGGTAATACATCGTACGCCGAACGAACGATAAAGCTCAGTCGCAGCGGGGTCATCCGCCAGATCTTACCCCATGTGAGCATTCTTGGCAATGCGCTCTCCAGGCTGACCCAATGGCCCTGCTGCGACTGCTGGGCTGCTTTCTGGAAACGAACCTCGTTTTCATTGTCCCTCACCTGTTGTATTACCATGTCTCGGCGCTCTTTGGCTGAGGCCTTTGACCACCAATTGACTTTCCCGTGCCCTAGGCCTCGACGGTCGGTTTGAGTGTATCCCATTATCTCCTTCAATTTTAGTGCGTTCTGCGCAGATTCAATCGCATCGAGGACCCTCCACTTCTGACCAGTCTTGAGAGCGGGCTGGACAGTGATGACATTTGGGTCTGAAGACTCGCGCAAGAGCATGGCGAGTCTTACTTTGCCAACTTTGAACTCTTTGGTTATTGATTTAAATGGGAGTACTAGCTTTGCCTGCTTACAATACAGAGCCACGTCGGTCAGACAAGGCGGTGCACCAATCCACTTTCTCAAGGCTGTGTTGATTTTCCTCTCCATGGTTTCCACTGCAGTCATCGTCACCTCGTAGACTAACAGCGACCATAGGAGCTTCGGAATCAACATGAATTGGAGACACCATACCTTGAATTTCCCGATCAGCCTGCAACGCTCGATCGCCAGCAGCCAGTGACTCGTGTATTCGCAGGACTTCCGCTCTACCAGATAACTTTGAATCGTAAACGCGACCAAGGCTCTTCACTGGTTCCTCCAGAACCATGGGGATCTTATTCCTTGCCACCGTAAAACTGGCTGCCGACACCTTGCCCTTAAGGATTGACAGACTCCTCGACTTCTGCAGTTTGAACTGCATACCGCTCCATTGGACCACCGCATCCAATCTTTTCAGGATCGTGCGGGCAGACTCCTCGCTGCCCGTTATAATAGTCGTGTCATCCATAAATGTGCGTAATGGCGGCATCCAGTGATCCCCTATTTGAAGGCCCTGTCCGTAGCCGGCCGCCCCGTCTAACATGTGGTAAACGTCCAGGTAGAGAAGCGCAAAGCGAACTTAGAGAAATATTGCTCAATCATATCATTGACCTGTGCCGGTACGTGGAACATGCAAAGGGCTCGCCACAGTAGCCTATGGGGGACTGCCCCGTAGGCGTTGGCTAAGTCCAACCATATTACGTGCAATTGAGTTCTCTCATGCTTGGCTCTCTGAATAGCCTCCCAAATCATGGTCGCGTGTTCAAGGCACCCAGGAACGCCCGGAATGCCACCCTTCTGAACACTTGTATCTATGTACTTGTTAGCCATCAGATACTGTGTGAGCCGGCAAGCCATGACCGAGAAGAATATCTTACCCTCGACATTCAACATTGAGATGGGCCTGAATTGGGAAAGACTCTTCGAGTCCTGCTCTTTGGGAATGTAGACCCCATTCGCCTTTTGCCATTCTGGACATATGTGTTTACCGATCCACACTTGTCTCAACAAGACATGAAGCATTTAGATAATCTATACAATATAATCTGGACAATAGGAAGCGGCCAAAAGTATCAGTTGGACAAACATCAATGTCTACTATCTGGGCAAACAGTAAACTGTGTAACCCACCACAACCACTGCCATCTCCACCACCACTACCACAACCACCACCATCACCACCACTATCACCACCACTATCACCACCACCACTATCACCACCACCACAACCACCACTGCCACTATCACCATCACTATCACCACAACCACTGCCACTATCACCATCACTATCACCACAACCACTGCCACTATCACCGTCACTATCACCACAACCACTGTCACTATCACCACTACTATCACCACCACCACCACTTTCACCACCACCACCACAACCACTGTCACTATCACCACTACTACATAACACTAAAGATATTCACAGCTGTAAACGTGTTTTGACTGAGGAACTAAACTGTCTGGGAGGATACAATAGAAAATGACTCACTGACACACAGCAAAATCAGTCCCTGATCCGATTCCTCCTCGTCTAGCGGGCGAGGGGGAGCTTCTGCTGTCTTCTCCGACTTGGAATTATTTTTGTCAAATGTTACACTTCCACTGTCTTTCTGTTCCTCTTGCTGGATGGCAGTTTTCAAGTCTCCACTGTCAGTCAGGTTAACACTGGCATCATCCAGATCAGATTGTTTGTCGGAAACAGAACTTAAATACATCAGGATGTGCTTCCTGGCCTCATCTTCAGTGTCTTCATTGGCCACAGAGTCTTTCCGATCCTCCTTGTCTTGTCCTTCAGTTGCCTCTTTTTTTTCAATGACTGATTCTTCCTGCGGTTTCTGTTGACTGTCATCTGAATCTCTAAAACTTCTGGCAATTTCAGTTGTGCCATGTTGCCCCAGGGAACTTGCTGACCTCGTTACACCCTCGCCATTCTTGGCTGTAGATGTCTCTTGCTGCATCTTATGACCACTGGCCTTGACTTCGTGGTCAGTGTCTGTGTCCAGGATGTGCTGGTCCTCTGCTTTAGTGGCCTTTAGTGGAGGGTACTTGTAGATTCCTTCTTCCTCCTGGGAGTCTGCGGAGCAGCTGATGGACGTCACTGTCTGAGATTTTGGCAAAAGCTGCGCACTCGAAGACTTCACTGACTCTTGGACTGAGGGTGTCCTTGAATCCACTGAGGAATAAAATATAAGAACAAAATTACCATGCCTGGTTTAAAAACTTGTTACACTAATTTCTAATTAACATAATTTAAATACTACAAGATGACACTTGGGTTCTATTATTTACTAACATATTGTTCATTGTTCAGTGTTCATTTGAAGATCATCACCATGGCACAGCAGACATGACCAAAAGTGCTCTGTTCTCTTCCTGAGTGTGTCTTCAAGTGTTTCGACACTAATAACTCCTATTATGTTTAGCTAGATGTAACGACAGGTGGCTCCCGTATACTAACATTTATTTCTACCTGCTTAAAAAAATGTAAATTTGGCAAGCATAATTTTTCAAATGTTATTTCCTGATTAGACAGAAAAACTAGATTATAATTAACAATTAATAAGATTTATGGGAAGAGACAGACGATTCTGCAGATAAGATTTATGGGAAGAGACAGACAATTCTTCAGTCTGTGATTATCAAATGGAAAAATTATTAGAATCATTTTAATACAATCGGAATGTGTTCTGGAGGAAAAGGGAAAAGAGCTACTGACTCCGTAACAAGCATGTCACAGGAGGCAACCAATTAAGGTTGTTTCCTTGGAAGTCAGAGTTCATCTGCTTGAGTGAACCAGCAGTATGCATACAAATAAGCCAGATGTGTAAAACGGATGTGCATGGAAACCCAAGTTCTGGAATGAGACTAAAGTCCTGAAGTGGACAAATGGCCAGAACTTTCTGCCACAGTTGACAGCCAGTGAAGAAGAAGCAGAAGATATAAATACAAGGTGATAAGCTTTGCTCGGCAAAGGCCGAGGTGGATGTATAAAGGATGGCCTCGGTGAGGAAGGATGATTAAATTAATCAAAAAATGACTTTAAATCAACAACCCTGACCTGACCAGGAACAGTCAGTAAAATGAAAAGAGTCACTTGAAAAGGAAACAATGAACAATAGCAAACTAATCTGGAACTGATGTCATCAGTCTCCACAGAGTGAAGGATACAATCAACAATAGAAAACTAATAAGGAACTGGTGTCATCAGTCTCCACAGACTGAAGGATACAATCAACAATAGCAAACTAATATGGAACTGGTGTCATCAGTCTCCACAAACTGAAGAATACAATCAACAATAGCAAACTAATATGGAACTGGTGTCATCAGTCTCCACAGACTGAAGGATACAATCAATAATAGCAAACTAATAAGGAACTGGGGTCATCAATCTCTACAGACTGAAGGAGACAATCAATAATAGCAAACTAATACGGAACTGGTGTCACCAGTCTCCACAGACTGAAGGATACAATCAATAATAGCAAACTAATAAGGAACTGGTGTCATCAGTCTCCACAAACTGAAAGATAAAATCAACAATAGCAAACTAATATGGAACTGGTGTCATCAGTCTCCACAAACTGAAAGATAAAATCAACAATAGCAAACTAATAAGGAACTGGTGTCATCAATCTCTACAGACTGAAGGATACAATCAACAATAGCAAACTAATAAGGAACTGGGGTCATCAATCTCTACAGACTGAAGGAGACAATCAATAATAGCAAACTAATATGGAACTGGGGTCATCAATCTCTACAGACTGAAGGATACAATCAACAATAGCAAACTAATTTGGAACTGGTGTCACCAGTCTCCACAGACTGGGAGATATGTTGAGACTGAACAAGCATTTACAGGCTGAAAGTGTGATGTGCAGACAAGATGACATGTTGACTAACAAACAATTCAAACCAACACAAACTGACTTAGATGCCATGTACTTACCCTGGTCAGTTGACTCAGTCTGTCTTGTAGCTGAAGACTCGCTGTTGGCATGCTTGTTGACCACCCTGGCCTTGTGCTGGTTGGAACTGGTGGCTCGGGATCTGGCACTTTCTGAAATGTCACCAATCAAAATATTTACATTTCAAAATCATGGTACAGGCATCCGTATACTGAATCAGTAATCTCTTCTCCTTCCTCCTCAGCTCTCTAGTCAGTGATCGTAACTTCAACCCCTTTTGTCAACTGAGAAGTTGATGAAGTTGGTGTTGTTTATACTGTTATTTGTTGTTAAGCTGGAAAAACCAATTCAACCCCAGATGTTATATATGTGCAAGCACTGCCCTCACAGTAAACCTAGAGCTTGACACTCCCCTTGACTGTATCAGTCTTACTTGTGTTTTCACTGTATGTTATCTGCCCACTGTTGTGGGCCTGGTGGGATCACGTCTTATACCAGTAATAGTCAGCTTCCATATGAGCCAATCACAATTCAAGGCCATAATGTTATCATCATCATCACAGTTGTCCACAGTTTGCCATCTAAAAGGATCACTACTCATAGATTAGGACTGTAAGCTTGTTCAACCCATGCCGTATGTTTCAGTCATCTAGGTCTTTCTCTCTTTGTTTTCCTCTTGTCAAACAACAACTGTAAACATACAAGTCAGAGCTCACACATAAAATACATACATAATTTAAATTTTATTTTTGTGGTAAAATTTTTAGTAAATGTTTCCAGTACTAAGTGACTGGTTGACTGATTGATGAAATGACTGAATGATCTGAGAACCAACATGAAAACACTTTGGGCAAACCTAGAAATGCTGAGTTTCCTGCAGCTAATATCCCAAGATACTGAATGTTTCAGTATTAGCAAGGACACAGACTGATTAACTGAGAAACCATATCTTCATTTTTCAAGCAATTCTTCTGCCCTGGACTAGCCACACAAAACTAACATATTTGTGAGATTTGGACTGGGCTGCTCAACAGTAAGACAAGATGCTAACTTATCCCACCAACACTTGAAGTAGAAGGGTGATGGAGTGAAACTGATAAACAAGACGCTAACTTACCCCACCAACACTTGAAGTAGAAGGACGATGGAGTGAAATTGATGAACAAGACAAGATGCTAACTTACCCCACCAAAGTTTGAAGTAGAAGGACAATGAGATGAAACTGATGAACTAGACAAGATGCTAACTTACCCCACCAAAGCTTGAAATAGAAGGACGATGGAGTGAAACTGATGAACAAGACGCTAACTTATCCCACCAAAACTTGAAGTAGAAGGGTGATGGAGTGAAACTGATGAGCAAGACGCTAACTTATCCCACCAAAGCTTGAAGTAGAAGGGTGATGGAGTGAAACTGATGAACAAGACAAGATGCTAACTAACCCCACCAAAACTTGAAATAGAAGGATGATGGAGTGAAACTGATGAACAAGACGCTAACTTATCCCACCAAAACTTGAAGTAGAAAGATGATGAGATGAAACTGATGAACAAGACAAGATGCTAACTTACCCCACCAAAGCTTGAAATAGAAGGACGATGGAGTGAAACTGATGAAGCCACTGGCAGCAGGGTGAACCAGCAACAGGAAGTCCATGAGAGACATGAGCAAGTGGAGTTCTGGGGGAGACCCTAGCAGACCTGTGATCACTTTTGCTGCTGACTGGCTCACTTTCACAGACAAGGAAGGTTGGCCATCTTGGATTCTTTCCTGCATCAGAAAAATTACACAAAGATTGCAACATGTATCAGTTTTATAACCATTATAGATTGCCTTACCATCTGATGCAAACAACAATGCTTGTTGTATTACCATTACAAATTGCCTTACCATCTGATGCAAACAACAATGCTTGTTTTATTACCATTACAAATTGCCTTACCACCTGATGCAAACAACAATGCTTGTTTTATTACCATTACAAATTGCCTTACCACCTGATGCAAACAACAATGCTTGTTTTATTACCATTACAAATTGCCTTACCACCTGATGCAAACAACAATGCTTGTTTTATTACCGTTACAAATTGCCTTACCACCTGATGCAAACAACAATGCTTGTTGTATTACCATTACAAATTGCCTTACCACCTGATGCAAACAACAATGCTTGTTTTATTACCATTACAAACTGCCTTACCAATTGGTGCAAACAACAATGCTTGTTTTATTACCAATACAAATTGCCTTACCAATTGGTGCAAACAACAATGCTTGTTTTATTACCATTACAAATTGACTTACCAATTGGTGCAAACAACAATGCTTATCTACAACATCCATTCCTAACGATATGTCCAGGCTTGCCACAGGGATCACCGCTATCACCAGTCTTATTCAACGTTTATACGGTGATGATCACTGAGCAGCAGTTGAATGGAAAGGGAAGGACTTTGTCATTTGCTGTTGACATTTTGATTTATCGACGAGGGCGTGATAGACAGGAGATCGCCAGCACTATGCACAAAGAACTCGATCGAATTGCCGCCTGGTGTGATGGTTCCAATGCCTATGTCAATCCTTCGAAGGCATCAGTGTCATGGTTCTCTTTGAACAATCACATTGTCAAGTCGGACTTACCAGAAGTGAAAATGCATGATAATGTATTGATCAGAACCAACGTTATGACGTTTCTCGGGGTGAGGTTCGATCGCAGCTTGTCATTCAGGGAACACGTTGACCATGTGATAACAAAAGCACGCAAAGGTCTATCTGCAATGAGGATTATGGCTGCTTCCAATTTTGAGCAAAGACTACTAATACTTCTATTCTACGGTCTGGTCCCTTCCCCCATTGAATACGCTCTGGCCATCCTCACTGTCAGTGCTACCCAGATTGAACGACTCGAAAAGGTGCAAAATGAAGCCATGCGCATTATTTTGGGATGTACAAGAGACACATCCTGTGGAGCAATGAGGTATCTACTTGACTTTCCAACAATGAACCAAAGGATCAGGATGTGGATGGCTCGGGCATATCTCAAAATATGTGCTGATAAGAAACACCCACTGCATCAAGCGCTTTTTAGTGAAAAGGGCGACAGACTGAAGAGGGGGAAATCGTGGCTAGGTCGGGCAGAAGATGTTATTAGGCAAAAATGCAGCCTAACCGACATCATACCTGGTGCAGAATGGATACCTGTGCCTCATGCGTTTATTTGTAAATTTTCCTATATTGTCACACTCAACAGGCGATGTAGAGAAGAGAATCCTGTTGCTGTTAATGCAGAGGTCAACGCTCTCATCAGTGAAAATTCAGACGAAGCAGATGCAATAATCTATACAGACGGATCCGTTATACGCCAAAGAAGAAGCGCATGGGCATTTACAGCACGCTCAGCGGGCAGAACAGTCAAAGAAGCCAACGGCGCCTTCTCCATGACAACCAGCAGCATGACGATGGAGGTGATGGCAGTGACGCAAGCGTTTGCCTGGCTTGAAACACAAAAATACACCCGTGTATGTATACTCAGTGATTCAATGAGTGTGATCCGGAGGGTTCAGGCAGGTTCAGTGCGAAGACAATGGCTTGAATCATTACAGAAGTCCACTGTGCGTGGAGTCACCTTTATTTTTGTTCCGGGACATGCAGGCGTCGATGGAAATGAAAGAGCTAACAGGTAGGCTGGATCTGCTATCACTACCGACGGTCAGCCTATGGATCATGCTGATATTATCAATGCCCTCAGAGAAAGTGGAAGGATAGAGGACTTTGGTGGCAGTGAATCCACATCACTCGCCAAAATGGCAGACTTGGGAATTAAGATCGGCATAGCAAAAAACGAGACGCACACCAGACACGCCAGAAGACTTGTTAATCAACATAGAACTGGTACTATTAGCCATCGGACGTTGGGGTTCATACTGAGGGGAGGATCTGAGCACCTATGGACATGTCCGGAGTGCAATGATGATAACCCAACTAACTAACTAACTAACTAAAATCCATTCCTAACACCATGATTAAATATGGGGTCATTTCTTTATGACAGACACGTATACAGATTCACCACAAGCCTCTCTATAACCTGTGATCTTCAACAGCAGGTTTGTATGGGTTTCTGTTCTCATACCCCTCCATGTCATGACAGAAAAATCTTCTTCTATGTGTTTCCACAGATCTTTCCAGTGGTCACAACATGTTCTAGTTTCCGTCTTCTCATACCATGACCCATACACACAAATTCTCATTCTGATGTCTGTGACAGTTGTCTATGGGCTCTCATTCTGATGTCTGTGACAGTTGTCTATGGGCTCCCATTCTCATGTCTGTGACAGTTGTCTATGGGCTCTCATTCTGATGTCTGGGACAGTTGTCTATGGGCTCTCATTCTCATGTCTGGGACAGTTGTCTATGGGCTCTCATTCTGATGTCTGGGACAGTTGTCTATGGGCTCTCATTCTGCTGTCTGTGACAGTTGTCTATGGACTCTCATTCTGATGTCTGTGACAGTTGTCTATGGGCTCTCATTCTGATGTCTGTGACAGTTGTCTATGGGCTCTCATTCTGATGTCTGTGACAGTTGTCTATGGGCTCTCATTCTGATGTCTGTGACAGTTGTCTATGGGCTCTCATTTTCATGTCTGTGACAGTTGTCTATGGGCTCTCATTCTCATGTCTGTGACAGTTGTCTATGGGCTCTCATTCTCATGTCTGTGACAGTTGTCTATGGGCTCTCATTCTGATGTCTGGGACAGTTGTCTATGGGCTCTCATTCTGATGTCTGGGACAGTTGTCTATGGGCTCTCATTCTGATGTCTGTAACAGTTGTCTATGGGCTCTCATTCTGATGTCTGGGACAGTTGACTATGGGCTCTCATTCTGATGTCTCGGACAGTTGTCTATGAGCTCTCATTCTGATGTCTGTGACAGCTGTCTGTGGGCTCTACCCTCTTTCAAAACATCAGGGCTGCCCTTTTTGGCAGCCAAAGGAATCTGACGGATTGTTCTGTCACACCTTGAGGCCTCAAGAAACTGTTTATCTTTATTAAATGTCCGGGTACACTCTCGTATGTTAAACCTGCTCTCTAGAGAATGCAGAAATTCTTCTTCTAACCTCAATGACGGTGCGTTATTACCTATAAACATTTATAAAATGCAGTTTTTTGCATGTCCCATTCTGTTGTTTGCCTCTGTGATACTTCTTCCCCCTAATATAATTTTTGTGCCTAGATATTAACATTTCTGTACATGCCCTAAAATTAAGCCACTGTTTATTTTTTTTTTTTTTTAATTATATATTTAGGTATAATTCTTTTCTTTGATGGTATCATTAGGTCTGTCTTTCCATTACTCAAGCCAATTCTTTGACTTTCTACTGCTACCACATCTTTCAGTTCCTGTAGTTCTTCTATCAAGATCATGAATTCTGCACAGTGTCAAGGTCAAGTGAAGGACACCTTTCCACATCTTCAGGCATTTGGGCATATAGGGCTAGACCTATATTTTATAGACTAATAAGCTTAACATCACACCTGCTGCCTTTACTTCCAGGACTATACATTGACCCCACTCAAGGCTGAGTCGGCCAGGAAGCCCCACCTGGAAAGTATAGGTTGTTTATATTATAAACACCAACCATAACTGCTGGCATACCCATGACAGATTTAATTATATATTCACTGTATAAATGAGAAAAAAAAATCAGATGAGAATATATATGCATTCATTAATTCATCTATATATATATATGTATATATGTATATATATATATATATATATATATATATATATATATATATATATATATATATATATATATATATATATATATATATATATCTATCTATCTATATATATATATATATATCTATCTATATATATATATATATATATATATAGATATACACACATACACACAAACACATACACACACACACACAAAGCACGCTCAAGCATTCATGCACACAAGTATGTTGCGAGTACGCACACATGAACATATGTACAGCAATCAATTCCACTAACAAAAATCAGTTATTTAAATAACATTTTGAAACATCAATACAAACTCTACATTAAAACATGAACACTAAAAACAGAACATTCAGACAAGCTGCACTCACCAAGTAAATACTGAAGATCTTATTCATAACTCCACCTGCCTGCATCTGCTTCAGATTAAAATTGCGGTGCGGATGTCGGCTGCTGACCAGCGCCTCCAGAGCTTGGAAAAGTGTGGCTGTGACATCATCTCCCGCCTTGTGCCAGATTCTCCAATGCAGAAGCAGCTGACTCAGAATCTCAATGTCCCTGATAACCGCTTCCGGGTGGTTCAGCAGGACCGGTCGAGATGAGTTCTGGCTGGTTTTAAACACAGACTCTGTTGTACAAGCGTCCATCAGAACCTGAGAGAAACATGTTCAGTGTGGAGGTTATTTTCTGATGCTGTCATTGTATCTATCAATCACTGTATCTATCACTGTATCTATCACTGTATCTATCACTGTATCAATCACTGTACCTATCACTGCACCTATCACTGTACCTATCACTGTACCTATCACTGTATCTATCACAGTATCTATCACTGTATCTATCACTGTACCTATCACTGTACCTATCACTGTACCTATCACTGTACCTATCACTGTATCTATCACTGTATCTATCACTGTATCTATCACTGTATTTATCACTGTATCTATCAATGTATGCAGTGCATGGAATGGAGGACTTGACCATTAGCTGTATGTGACGCATAACAAACAAACAGATAAACAAACTGTATTTTCAAATGTCCCAAATTGGGTACGCAGGCCCGTCTTACATTTGCACCTTAAAAACACCCATCTTTCACACAGCAGTTGTATTTTATAAATAAAGCATGTTATGTTAATATATCGTCTTCTTCTTCTGCGCGTTGTGTCCGTTTACAGCATGGCTGCGATATTTGCACCTTTCAGCCAACACATCCGACTTCTGTGGGCATTTGATGACCGAGTTAGCCTTCCCAGTATATTCATATATTAATTTGCATATTATGAATATAAAGAAAAAACACAAAACCATTGGTGGTAAACACACACATATACACACACACACACATATATATACACACACACACAGACATAACTGCAGGTTAAAGTGACGATGAACAATGTTTATGTAGTGATGATCATGAGTACGTCCTCTTCTTGACTTCAGGGTACTGATAATGCACGCTCCCCTCCAATTGTTCACTGTGTAAATTGTTCAAAAACGAGCTGCATCTCTGATATCAAAGCATTGTTCCCTCATTCTGAATTTGAATCACGAAAACACAAACAATAGATTGAAAAATTTACTGCCTGGCATATTTCTCTGGTCCTAAATCTGTGTTTGCTCTGGTAAAAATGGACAGCTACTTTTGAATAAGGTGGACTTTGTGTTTCAGTTTGATGGATTCACTTACTTGCTTCCTGTTAAGCCATTGTTACTGTAGTATGCATCTGACAAGATACAGCAAAATATGCCAGGCAATCAATTGTGCCATCTATTGCTTTTATCTTCTGTGTTCAAAATTGTTTATGGCTGAAGTCTTGTTGACCTCATTATGTTTGTTTTTTTTTTTCAAATTATGTTTTTATGAGTTTTTCTTCAAACTTCTTCTGTAATGATAAGAATTCACATACCAGGTGACAAAATTATGTGATATGGTAACCAGTTCTGTTACTCCCACTTTTCTAAACAGAGAAATTCTCTTGTATCCATCTGAAAAGCTGGACTGCAAACAGAGACAGCTGCAAAACTGACCCTGACCTTTCTTCACCTTCAGCAAGACAACAAAAGTCTGACTCAACAAATGGAAGATACCCCCCATGATCTCTACGTGACGACGACTGGAAGGGCCCGAGACCAACCCTCCTGAGTTGCCTCTTACAACATGCTTGGCAGACTGTGGTGTTACCATTCTTTCAACATCATCAGGTGCCTTGCCGACTGGCGTGGGCCATCATGCCTCTCCACAATCTGAGATCAACTGGAGCATGTATCAGTTCGTGTGCCGACACACCTCCATGCCATGCAACAAGACTGTCAAGAATCTTCTCTCGTTGTCTTCTTCTATCCCTCCTTCCACATATCTTTTCAGTGGTCACCACATGTTCTATTTTCCCTCTTCCCATAACATGGCCGAAAAATGATGACTGTCTCCTTCTGATGTCTGTGATTAGTTGTCTTCGGGCTCCCGCCTCTTTCAAAACCTCTTGGTTGCTATTTTTGTCTGTCCAAGGTGTTCTAAGCATTCTTCTGTAAAAAAAAAACTCTGGGGCCTCAAGACATTCTTTACTTCACCTTATAGCACCTGTACCACATGAACAGATAACCAGGTGTGGACTGATCAGTAACTAAGGAAGGCTGCGGCCAGTCATGATCACCTGTCCCTACCAGAAAAGCAACAGAAATAGAAAGAAAACACAAACATGTCTTTCTGAGCCAGTTTAACACGTGAAGCATGCTAGCTGTAAAGAAGTGTACCTTCAGCAACTGATATCCAACAATGCTCTTGGAACTGGTCAAAACTTTAGCCAGCATGGCGTAGCCGTTGGTGGTCATAAAAGCCTGCGTCAGAGTGGGAAACTTATGCACCAGCTGAAACAGGATGTGGGTGGCTTTACTTTGTAGGTACTCCGCCATCTCCAAGCTTCCACCGGCACTGACCGCTTTCATGCTGTCTTCAAAAATCTATTTTCAAAAAAGAATTGGATGAAGAAAAAAGTGAAACAAACTATCTGAGGTAATTGACTAAAGTAATAGGATTTGCATACTGAGCTGGTATTTAGAGATAGAGTATGTGGGAGAATCTTTGGACCCATCAAAGATGCAGACAGAGGAGACGGAGAGAGAGAAGCAACAATGAAATTGATAATCTGTTTAAACCATCAATAATTATTGTCATATAATTACAATCATCAGGAATACTGACTGCAATAGTTGGGGTATTCAAAGAGGATAGAAGACAAGAGAGACAAAAACTGGATACAAAACGGAGTTGAATAGAAGCTGACCATGAGACAGACCAAGAAGGTGGTGGAGGGATAATATCCTAGCAGACCTACACACTTGGAGTCAACAACAGACACAGAAAACCAATCAGAGAGGTGAATGGAGGCCAGTGACATCTGCCACAATGACCTCAGAATTCTGAAGAAATGAAAGAAGTTAGTACAAATGTGCACAGTGGACTAAGATACACAAAAGATATTAAAATAAAAGTTAACCAACAGACTCTAGTCACAGCAAAATCATTACACTAGCTGATTATTTGTCAACCATACTTCAGATTTAAAAAATGAATGTCTGTGGTGTACATAGGTGTCTTTCAACATAGGTGTCTTTCAACATAGGTATCTTTCAACATAGGTGTCTTTCAACATAGGTGTCTTTCAACATAGGTGTCTTTCAACATAGGTATCTTTCAACATAGGTGTCTTTCAACATAGGTGTCTTTCAACATAGGTGTCTTTCAACATAGGTGTCTTTCAACATAGGTGTCTTTCAACATAGGTGTCTTTCAACATAGGTGTCTTTCAACATAGGTGTCTTTCAACATAGGTGTCTTTCAACATAGGTGTCTTTCAACATAGGTGTCTTTCAACATAGGTGTCTTTCAACATAGGTGTCTTTCAACATAGGTGTCTTTCAACATAGGTGTCTTTCAACAGAGGTGTCTTTCAACATAGGTGTCTTTCAACATAGGTGTCTTTCAACATAGGTGTCTTTCAACATAGGTGTCTTTCAACATAGGTGTCTTTCAACATAGGTGTCTTTGATAAGTGTGACAAAACTGGAGACGTTCATGAATATATTGTCCTGTTTGTTTAAGTGGGATGTGTGACAGAACTGGAGACATTCATGAATATATTGTCCTGTTTGTTCAAGTGGGATGTGTGACAGAACTGGAGACTTTCATGAATATATTGTCCTGTTTGTTCAAGTGGGATGTGTGACAAAACTGGAGATGTTCATAAATATATTGTCCTGTTTGTTCAAGTGGGATGTGTGACAGAACTGGAGACATTCATGAATATATTGTCCTGTTTGTTCAAGTGGTATGTGTGACAAAACTGAAGACGTTCATGAATATATTGTCCTCTTTGTTCAAGTGGTATGTGTGACAGAGAGAAGGTACACTGCACAGTTTATATAAGTAAACAGAGGGGAGGAACCATTGAATCAGTATAAATATATATATATTTGCACTGTTTATAGAGCTCTTATGCCGGACAATATATCAAATTTTTTATTTTGTTTTTCTTTGCATTTTTCTTAGACACCATATTCACATCGCATTTATATGTTTCCCAGTTTGACAACTTAAGTGTCCATGTTTCACAGACATAAAACAGAACAGGTTCTATGAAGCAATTTAGAATTCTGTTTCTCACTACATTCGAAATCTGCTCCCTCACCTTAGCAACTAAGAACAAGAAGGCCTCAATGCCACCCGCCTGCTGAATAGCCTTCTCTAGTGTGTTCAGCTCTCTAACCTTGACCCTCCCCCTCATCCGTGCTGGCATGGCAACAGGTTTCTGGGTCAAGAGGTCAGACACTGACCCTGACAGTGGAACCAAGCCAAGGTCACTATGAGTGGAATCAACATGTGACTGTGAAGATGTGAAGATGGTGTACTGTTCTGGTTGGTTGATTCTATAAACCAAAACTTGCGCTGCCTGCAGAAGAAACAACACATACATTTTTTTTAAATATCATGATATACGTATGTATTGCTATAAATAAATATGTCTGTTATTATTTGGGACTAGTAGTAAAACTCTGAGGCCTACGAAATAATGACAGACACCTAAAATAACATAAACTTTGTTAATACTGTAAATCATCATCTTCATCATCATCATTTAGAAGCTGCTGATAGATCCATTCTGTATGTGTTTGTCTAGAACATGTCTTTTGAATTCCAGATCTGCATAAAGCTAAGCAGGTTAACTCTAGAAATGTCTTGCTCTGTTCATCATTTCTTCTTTTGTCCTGTTCTTGCTTCATTATAATATACTTTGTATTTCGGATGGGGGGAGGGGGGGTGTTTACATCAGATATTGTTAGCCAACCTCTAAAAATCATTGCTTCCGCATTAATGTGTGCAGTCTTTTTAGCTTCATACATTCTCAATTACATAACATCTCTCTTAAAACCCCACAATGATGGAATTAAAGTGCAATGATGGAAGTTTAAGGTGAAAATATGGGGGTGACTGCAGTCAAGCTTATACAAGGAACTCCAGAGAAATTTGACTAAAAAGCTCAACAAAATGGGCAAGCAGAAAAACGTTAACAAAACAACACAACGTAACGTTTTGACCGTGCAGCCTTTTTCAAACACAAGTGAACTACACAAACGAGGAGAGGAGAGTATGTAGATCTCTAGGGGGTGACGTGAGCAACGTTTAAAAAAAATGTGATGTGGAATAAATGAAATAAATAAAATGATGAAAGCAGACCACGCTGACATACCCTGGCCACATCCAGATCTGACAACTGGGACATGCCAACTAGGACGTCCCAGGTCAGGTTCATGACCCCTGCCTTGTGTTTCTGCATGGCTGGTATGTAGCAGGCCCTGAGTTCCCCACAGTCACACTTGCTGAGACCCTCACAGTTGGGGCCCAGACAGTACAGGTGCAGCCACCAGTCATCACTCAGACCCACATCTGAAGAAGGCATATATCAACAACAAATCTTTCCTAACACTTTTGATTTACTTTTTATTTTGATCTAAAGGTCATTTCTAGTTTGTGGGTTGCATGCAAAAAAATCTGGTTTTCATTATTAAATGTTGAGGTGACTCTTTTACCAATTAAATACACACATATTTTAGAAATACAATCAATAATAGAAATGGGGTCTGAGCACACGTGTGGATATATGTGTATGGGTGCATTTACATGCATGTGTGTATGTGTGGGTGTGTATGGGTGCATTTACATGCATGTGTGTATGTGTGGGTGTATACATATTTTCTCAATGCATACATTTAAACAGTCAGCTTAAAATTATCTGAATGAATGTTTAAATAATAATTAACTCTAAGCTATCTTTTTTTACAGCAAATTAAAACAATCTGTGTTTACGACAATTCAAATTATTCACTCTTCATTTCTTGGTTTCTAGAACTAAGACTAGAGCACTAGATTTTAAAAAAAGACAGCTCCATAAAGCTCAGCAAAAGTGGTAAAAATTATTTGCAGTATCCAAGACAAAGGGCTTGGGACAGGTATGATGACCCATGCCCCACAACGTGGACTAGAAAAAGAAGTTTAAGTGGTCATATGAAATTCTCAGAACAAATACTGGCTATTAATGTTCACCTCTAAACAAATACTGGCTATCAATGTTTACCTCTAAACAAATACTGGTTATTAATGTTTACATTTAAACAAATACTGGCTATCAATGTTCACCTCTAAACAAATACTGGCTATCAATGTTTACCTCTAAACAAATACTGGCTATTAATGTTCACCTCTAAACAAATACTGGCTATCAATGTTTACCTCTAAACAAATACTGGCTATTAATGTTCACCTCTAAACAAATACTGGCTATCAATGTTCACCTCTAAACAAATACTGGCTATCAATGTTTACCTCTAAACAAATACTGGCTATTAATGTTCACCTCTAAACAAAAACTGGCTATCAATGTTTACCTCTAAACAAATACTGGCTATTAATGTTCACCTCTAAAAAAATGTTGGCTATCAATGTTCACCTCTAAACAAATGTTGGCTATCAATGTTTACCTCTAAACAAATGTTGGCTATCAATGTTCACCTCTAAACAAATGTTGGCTATCAATGTTTACCTCTAAACAAATGTTGGCTATCAATGTTTACCTCTAAACAAATATTGGCTATCAATGTTTACCTCTAAACAACCGAAGAGTTCCCAGTTTCCAACTTCCAGTGTGAAGTTTGGTGACACCATGGCGGGCATCTCCAATACACAGGGCAGGACGTTGAACAATCTTCTGATCTTTTCTTCTGACTGATGCAGAATGATCCAGTATTGCTGACTGCCTCTGCCAGCCATCCAGTAGAACATTCAGCTGAGAACCAGAACATTCCAATCAAACATGTCTACAATCAAACATGAGCAAGTTTAAATTGCTTGTGGGAGTTTGCAGGGACACACAGTCTGCAGGAATTTCTGCCAGCAGCAGGACTGGAAAGCTGTACGAAACCCAGAAACATGAATTACGGCAAATGGATCAACCGACAGACAGAAGTTATAAAGGGAAGATAACAGTGCGGCATGGCACAAGCAAAAGGAAACTATAGAGAAACTAAGGAGAATGGACATATGGAAAAATGATGCAATAAAGACCAACAGATGCCTAAGCCGCTTAGGACATGTTTAAAAACAACCTTACAAAAACAGACAGACGACGGGTGTTTTAGACATGTACTTTTGTTTTAAAAGTGTAAGAATTTATTATCGCTTTTTATGATATAATGTGCAGAGGTAGTATGTATGTGCATATTCCACAGCATTTCAAGACGCAGAATGGAAGGTGCCGATTTTTTTTTAAATTTTGAATTGTCAAGTTTTAGAAGTGAACTTTAAGATTCCAGGAGTCATGAACGGTAGATATTAACAATATGCATTGCATTGTATGATTAAATTCATGTATCAGGCAGAACGTTGAAGTTAAATAAAGTAACAAATAACTATTTCATGGATAGCACGGCTTGATATTGTTGTGTAATGTTGTGGCTTCACGAGGCGACACGGTTGAGGACTATGTGTCCTCCAGGGTGAAACATTCAATGAAGGTTGACCTCTAAACTAGGACATGATGTCACTGACGTGACAAGTAAGACTAGAAATCAACTAGAATTATAGACATTTTATCAATGAAGTGCTGTTACATCACATCAAATACATTCAAGTCTGGCTTGTAAATTAAGCCTGGTCCAAAAGTTTGGCTGCCACTAGAAACGAAACTTGTCTTTCAGCCCTTTGATCATTTTGGTATAGAAACATGAAACTGGCCTCTTATTCTCTATCCCGATTGATGAGGATTGATCTTGTTTTGTTGCTCTTTTCTGCATGCTATCAAGGAGAATATTATCTGAGTATCAGAATATTAAAATAAAATATATTGAAATTAATGAGTAACAATCATTTGTAATCAAATGTTAAAAAATCTGGAAGGTTGAGACTATCCAGAGAATCTGACCTTGCCCATAAATGTGCTTCCATCCAGTGACTCGGAATAGTTGATTGTCAGGAGATGCCAAGTGTTGGGCTTCAACAGATGCTCAAAGGTGCAGTCCTTCAACACACCAACATCGAACAGACCGGTGGTCAGTCTGCAGATCAGTTAAAAGTACCTTTTCACTTTTATCATCACATATGATCTCTAAACAAAAACTGTACATCAAACTAGTCAAATAACAACTGTACATTTTATAACTGCAAATAATGTGTTAGGCTTCAAGTGTCTATATAAGAAAATATCATAGAGGAAAAATGTCCTAGTTTTAAACTTTGGAAAGCAATTTATACAATAACTGACTAGCAAAGTTATCTGGTCTCAATCCCTGACTGCAAAAATGGCCTTTTTCCCACATACCATTCTAGGTAATTAGAAGAATTGTCTCTCAATAATGAGACCGGTGAACACAAATCTGTGCCTGTACACTGAATAGCAACTAAGGTAAAGACAGGACCCTTAGAAGTACTAATCTCTGTGTGTGTGTGTGTGTGTGTGCATGCGTGCATATGTGTGTGTGTGCCTGTACACTGAATAGCAACTAAGGTAAAGACAGGACCCTTAGAAGTACTAATCTCTCTGTGTGTGCATGCGTGCATATGTGTGTGTGTGCCTGTACACTGAATAGCAACTAAGGTAAAGACAGGACCCTTAGAAGTACTAATCTCTCTGTGTGTGTGCGTCTGTGTGCGCGCATGCCTGCGTATATGTGTGTGTGCCCGCGCATGCTGCTACTGTCCAGCTGGGAATTCAGAAATGCCAGATGCAATCAAAAATAACTGCAGCAGCAAATTATTAGACAAATGAAATGAAAAAAGTTTGTTGGAATCTTCTGGGGAAAAAGCTAACCAAAACACAACTACACACCTTACATGCAGCGCCAGACAGATGAGCTCATTTATCAGACAAAGTAGACAAGACATAATTCATCAATAAACAGTAAGAAATTAAATAAGCATCTATAACAACAACTAGACAATATAAAAACAAATATGTTTGAAATGGCCAAAATGTGAAATGTGTCTAATGCTTCAGTGAGAACATCCATAGTCAAAGTGAACACAAACATGAAAATAGTCAGAAAATTAAGAATAACAAAGAAAATATGAACAAAAATAGAACCAAAATGCTAGAATCCTTTCATTTCATTTGTCCATGCTGAAATCAGATACCTGGACTACATGCAGGCTGATGAATGCGAGCAACTCAATTTTTAATATTACTCACAAATATCATTTATTTCGCCTGCCTCCAGCTAAAAACCGCTAATTATAGAAGTGCCTACTTGCAGTGTACAATACAAGGGACATCAGTGCCTACCTGCAGTGTACAATACAAGGGACATCAGTGCTTACCTGCAGTGTACAATACAAGGGACATCAGTGCTTACCTGCAGTGTACAATACAAGGGACATCAGTGCTTACCTGCAGTAGACAGAGCCTGTTCTGGGATGTACCCACACCTCAAACATCTTCTCTTTGTTTCCAATGGCAAAAACAAGCAGGCACTCACTGACAGACAGTCTATGGCCAATGGTGAACATTCGATCAAACTCCTCAGAACCAGAATAAGGTTTACCGCCTGCCAAAAACAATCATATATAGTATCAATGACACTCATCATCATCAAGCGCTTTGCCGACTCAGGTGGGCGATCATGCCTCTCCACGATCTGCGATCTGCAACTGGTTGTATCAGTTCATGTGTTCACACACCCCTCCATGCCATGACAAAAGGCTGCCAATCATCTTCTCTCACTGTCTTCCTCTGTCTCTCTTTCCACAAATCTTTCCAGCAGTTAAAACATGTTCCATTTTCCCTCTTCTCATAACATGATCAAAATATGATGACTGTATTTGTCTGATGTTTGTGATCAGTTGTCTTCAAGCACCTGCCTCTTCAAAAACATCTGGGTTGCTCTTCTTAGCTGTTTTTCTAAAGATTCTTTTGTAAAACCACATACATCTCTGAGGCCTCAAGATTTTGTTTGGTTTGTTTACTAATTGTCTAGGATTTAGAGCCAAATGTTAAAACCAGCTCTATATAGCTTGTGAAGATTCTTTTCCTAACCTCCAATGACAAGAATTTATTGCACAAAGCAATGACATTAGGCAATTTTAAAAAAATGATATAATGATATGACAACATGATCACCATGGAACAGGTTCCACGCAGAAAGTTGCTCCCTCTATGGCCTGCCTCACAACCACATGTCCATTCCCCTATCTCGAGTATTCTCATGCCCAAGCTGCCTCCAATATCTGGTGTTCCCCTATCTCAAGTATTCTCATGCCCAAGCTGCCTCCAATATCTGGTGTTCCCCTATCTCAAGTATTCTCATGCCAAAGCTGCCTCCAGTATCTGATGTTCCCCTATCTTCAAGTATTCTCAGGCCAAAGCTGTCTCCAGTATCTGGTGTTCCCTATCTGAAGAGGGATGTGTAAAGTGGGAATAAAAATATCACATCATAACACAGTAAACAAAAACAAAAGCTGCCTCCATTTTTCAAGTTGACAAACAAAAAGATTATCATTTCCATACAGATGTTTGATGCCCTTGATATCAAACCATCCAAATATTTCCACTTCCGATCTCCCCCTGCCTCTCACCCCTGCAATATTTCCACTTCTGATATCCTCTTGCCTCTTGCCCCTGCAACATTTCCACTTCTGATCTCCCCCTGCCTCTCACCCTTGCAACATTTCCACTTCTGATATCCTCTTGCCTCTTACCCCTGCAACATTTCCACTTCCGATCTCCCCCTGCCTCTCACCCTTGCAACATTTCCACTTCTGATATCCTCTTGCCTCTTACCCTTGCAACATTTCCACTTCTAATCTCCCCTTGCCTCTTACCCTTGCAACATTTCCACTTCTGATGTCCTCTTGCCTCTTACCCTTGCAACATTTCCACTTCTGATCTCCCCTTGCCTCTTACCCTTGCAAAATTTCCACTTCTGATCTCCCCTGCCTCTCACCCCTGCAACATTTCCACTTCTGATCTCCCCCTTGCCTCTCACCCCTGCAATATTTCCACTTCTGATCTCCCCCTACCTCTCACCCCTGCAATATTTCCACTTCTGATCTCCTCCTGCCTCTCACCCTTGCAACATTTCCACTTCTGATCTCCCCCTACCTCTCACCCCTGCAACATTTTTACTGATCTCCCCCTGCCTCTCACCCCTGCAATGTTTCCATTTACAGGGCAGGCCCTAGCTCTCCCTTTCTCATGATGTGCCAAAAAGAATGTGCACTGTCTCTTCTGATTTGAGTAACCAATTCAATTAATCTTAAACCACATAATTTACGATAAACAAAAGTTACCTCTGTCTTTTGCAGTCTTCTTGCCCACATCCTTCTTGACACAGATTTGGTACTCATCCAGACATAGCCAGATAGCTACGGTGAACCCTGATGGATTTGGTGGCCAGGAGATACCAGGGACATCCAGTTCCACTGCCGTGTGCTGCCAGACTGCCTGATCTGTTCGTGTGCTCTTTCTGTTATCTGCAGAAACAATTTCAATCAAATGATAACTTCCGGCTCAGATGTCACATAAATGTTAAAGTAACATTTTTAACATATGAATGGTCAAACAGAAGAAAAACACAAATGTTTACAAGTTTTGAATTAGGAACTTATTTCATAACACTTGGGATATTCCTAAAAGTGCTCTGTCCATATCTTCAGCAGCAAGCACAGAGTTCCTGATAGTACCAGTAAGAGTTTCATTGTATGTCCGTCTCGCTCCTCCCCTGAGTGTAAAGCATCGGCAACTTCACCTGGTCACATCTCACTCCTCCCCTGAGTGTAAAGCATCAGCAACTTCACCTGGTCACTTCTCACTCCTCCCCTGAGTGTAAAGCATCGGCAACTTCACCTGGTCACATCTCACTCCTCCCCTGAGTGTAAAGCGTCAGCAACTTCACCTGGTCACTTCTCACTCCTTCCCTGAGTGTAAAGCGTCAGCAACTTCACCTGGTCACTTCTCACTCCTTCCCTGAGTGTAAAGCGTCAGCAACTTCACCTGGTCACTTCTCACTCCTTCCCTGAGTGTAAAGCGTCGGCAAACTCTCCTGGTCACATCTCACTGCCCCTTTCTCCTCAGACTGAAGATTAAATGTTTATGTACCTCCTCCCCATACGCTCGCTCCCAGAGAGATCATTAAACACAAAATGACCCACAAACAGCATTATGCCCAGGAAGCTCAAATAGTTCATCCATGTCAGATGCTGTAGTAGTATAGATAACAGTCATGGAACTCTGAAACAAGAAGTGGGACTCGGCCAATGTGGCAGAGATACTATCGATACAAAAAAGCACTTTTCTGAACTCTCTTGAATGTTTACTGACCCAGGAAGGCTTTGCCGAGTTGTTCATTGTACTTACTACACTTGTTACCTACTGGTCGTATTCTGAATGGGTATCAGTGCAACTTAACTTATTCCATGATATAAACTGAGCTTTGCTAATTAATGTTTAATAATGGGTTGCAGAGGATAATTATTACACACAAAGTTGGCTACAGTGTATCTGCTGCCTCTAAGAATACTACTAATATCTACCTGCTGCCTTTGAGAATATTATGTAGTGAGGTGCCAATCTCTACACATAAAGTTGGTTACAGTGTATCTGCTGCCTCTAAGAACATTACGTATTGAGGTTCCAATCTCTAAACACAACGTTGGTTACAGTGTATCTGCTGCCTCTAAGAATATTACATAGTGAGGTTCCAATCTCTACACACAAAGTTGGTTACAGTGTACCTGTTGCCTTTGAGAATATTACGTAGTGAGGTCTCATTCTTTTCCATGGTGTGTAATACTGCAGTTTTCAACAGTATAAAATGTTTTACATGCATAATTACCTGAAGCCTCAGAAGAACTGGAAGATGTTTCTGGTCCCATGACAGTTTTCACTGGGAAGGCGGCTGAATAGTTCGGCAGAACAATCGTCTTCTCAATGACTGCCAGCAGAGTTGACAACAAGGAGTTCTGTGATTTTAGGAAAACATAACCCAGAGTAGATGAGAATGTCAGCATGAGTTACTTCCTACCATGTACTGACATTTGATTTCATCTGGAAAGGATCACATTAACTGCACAAAACAGGAACAACTGAAATAATATGGCCATATCACAAAACATAATGCTCTTTTAACTCTTTGAGTTCCAGGGAGTTTAGTATCACAGGCCCAAGGGGTAGTCAATAGAGACGTAAAATTGGGCCTCTAGGTAGGAATCTATGAACGTATGATGCGTTCCTTGGGACTCAAAGTGTTAAGGAGCAAACTAAAGGGAAAAGTCAAAGGCAAGACAGTAAAATGCAGACACCGGTACAAGTGAGAGGATAACATGAAATATGGATGAATAGCAGTCTGAGAGAGCATACAATCAAGACAAGAGACCGAGCAAGTTGGAGATCCATTAGCAGATGGCATCTGACTATCTGATCAACTGTATGCCATAACACAGATTACAAATAATGAGGCAACTGGTGCTGGTAGAAAGGCTGATGAAGTTATAAAAGATAGTGGTCAGGCACTGTCAAATGTTCCAGCACATCTAAATACTTCATGAACAACAACTCTTAATAATTTGGCTGTAATGTTGTGAATTCCCGGGGAAACCCCAGAGAGTTCCCGATGGGGAGAAAAAGGTCGGAGGACCCGTGAGAGAAGAGAAAAACGGGAGAAGTGAGTCTCGTGTGTCTCACGGTAAACGAAGTGAGAGACACAAGAAAAGCATGAGACGTGAACGGAAGACGTGAACCGAGAGACTGAAGTAAGACAGTTGAAGTTCTGCCCTGACTGAGAGAGGACGCGTGAATGAACGCCTGAGAAGAATAAATGATTTGTGAAGTGAACGTTATATTTCAATAGGAGGACTGAATGTTTTTCCATACGTCGTAAGGTCAGATATCAGAGTCCATGAAGTATAGATGGATGGTTCGAGAGACGCTGATAAATTCCTGAGTGTGTGGGAAGTCCGACCAGGTCGCTAGATTCAGCCAAGCAAGTCGAGCACGAGGAAGCATGAATGTATGTTTGCGATAACTGGCGATTCAACGAATAAAAGCAAAGAACTCAATATTCGTTCATGCTGTGTCGTTTCAACTCACTGTTCGTCTGAAAGCAATGTAAACAACACATGCCCCTAGATGAGCACATTACATTGGCACACATTTCCGAATTAACTCCCTTTGAACACGCGAACATCAGGTCAAAGGGCAGGGGTTAGTTCCTGTTTTAACACTGTTCCTATGTAATATATGGTGCTCCTCACATTTTTAGACAAATCTGATTGATGGTGATGTCATTATGGTGTCAGCCAGTTTTATTTCAAAGAACCTTTCCTGGCAAAAATTTTAGTTACACTGGCCGAGTCAAGGTTAATTTGTTAAAAAAATCTCTTCACCGATAAGGATTCAGATTAATGACCAGTGAGCTAGCGCTCAAGTTTCTTAGTCACTGAGCTAAAGTCACATGTATCAAAAAAGCCTAATATACTTTAAGAAAAAAAAAAGACAATCTTACTGTAGTCTGTGTGTTGTTCTGAAACATCACCAAGAAGCGCCTGAGTTCGGAGGCGGAGATCTCACTTTGTCCTGCCACTTGTATCAGGGACAGAATGATTTCTTGCAGTGTGGATTCTATGAGGACATTCAACAAGATATTTATATCCAATAATTTATCATTTCATCCAACTATATAAAGCTGTCTATTCACCAGTGAAGCCAACTACTGTACTAACTCATTTTTGCTGTTTAATTTAACTTCTCTTATCTGGCTGCTAAAATTTGTAAAAGACCTTTGACACATCTGGCACATTGGACACATAGTGGTATACCCATATTGTGTTATGGACCAGTCTGTGTTGCATGGATCATATGGTCAGCATCATGTCAGCCACATTTGCTTCCCAAGACAATACCTGGCATCCATTTGAGGCCAAGACTGCCAGGGAGACAAGGTCAACTAACCATAAATAACATTGCATTTGTACAGATTCGAACCCTAGACATTCTGGTGGCAGGAAAGCATGAGAATAGCCCAGACTGTTTACTGACTGATGGGCTTCATAAAGGAACATATTTCTGACTAATTTATTGGTTAGCCCTCTCTGACCCTGACATTAACTCTCTTAAAATAGAAGCCACAAGTTCTGCCCAGCTTTGGCCAATAGGTTAAAAAAAACAATTGGAAACAGCCAGAACCAATTAACATTCCAAACAAGAAGTAATCAGCTGAGAATCCAAAGTAACATTTTCATGTTGTAAACTTGGGTAATGGAGACACAAAGAAAAGATTACACAAGTTTAGTTTGACATATTTTGCGGTACCCTGTCAGATGTATAATACTGAATAAGATCAAACAGCATATGGCCCATGCTCTGTTTAGAAGATCTGTCTTGAAAAGTACTCATATATTTGGAGTTTAAATTCTGAGTCGGTATAACGTTAATTTTATAGGCAAAGATGATATTTTGCTGACAAAAACACAATTTATATGTTACATTTGTCAGGTCTTGCTTGCTAATCTAGCATTATTGTTCTTATGTGTTACTGCTCAGACTTTGTCAAAATGGCTTTTCTAACTATGAACACTTACGTTTTCCATTTGATGGACAATGAATTAAAACTTCCTGGAAACCTTCCATCAGAACTTCTAGGAGATGTTCGGAGCAGAAAGCTCTAACTGCTCGCCTGCTTGACCTCAATGTCTGTAGCAGACGCAAGGCCACTGTGTGCAGGATTACTCCCCTTGAGGCAATGCGGTGACAAGCAATCATTAGCTCCACAAAGAGGCGGAACACTGCAGGGAAACAGGTGCATGACGAGGAGCCAGAGTTTGGAACTGCTTGGTTCTCCAGACTGTACTCTAGCCCTGACAATGCAAGACAGAAAAATAATTTAGTCAGTTTTCACAAAGATTAAAACAACTGATAAAAAATTAAATACATCAAAGCAATCTTTCCACACTGTAAATTTAAAGAAAGAAGATACAAACAACAGTTTGCACATTTTACCACCTGGCATATTTCAGTATAACTCATCAAGTGCATTCAAGTAGCAATGAAATAAGATCCTTTAGAACTAAAATACAAACTCAGCCAGAGTAAAAAGCAACAGCCTGTTTCACCAGGTCAAAAGCAGGTTCACAACCATGTCTTTAAGTTGACCTCAATATGGACAGAAGTGACTAATAGTGGCCGTCTCAAGAACTTGTAGAATTCTGTCACTGGTCAATTAAATATAGTCACTCATACACATATATACTCATACTCACAGAACAAGTTCATCCTGAGCACACACCAAAAAATACTGATCTTTGGAGGCATTGTTGATTTTAACTCATTCAGCAAAACAAAACCCCATCAAGATCATGAGCTTTGCTAAAATATGGGTGACCCTAGCTGATCCTCTTGTTAGTCCCCAATCACTGCTGTTTTTCTCTATCATCTGTTTCTCTTCCCATTGCTCTGTTCCTCTCAAGTTTGCCAACCGCCTGTGATCTTCCGAATATTTTTGTTCTCAAAATCTGTACAACACACTATATGTGTCTGAGCTAGCGGGAAGCAAAAAAGAAAAAACAAGGAGGAAGACGAGAAAAGAAATGTGGTTAGGAAGAGACAATAAGTAGTTCCCCGCTTAACTCTAAAATCAGGATGTGTAAAGAAAGACAAGAGTTCTTTTGGTGCAGGGACCAAGAAATATTACTCATGGCCTAGGCAATGAATATGTGCATAGTGAGTTAAACAACAGTAATGAAAACATAAAACCACAAGGCAGTAGCTAGACAGACCACTATATGTTCTATTCTGAATCAAACAAATGGAATGTAATAGTAACATTCACCATGTGTTAATTTTACTGAATACAAAACTAGCAAGCTTTGCAGATAACAGCACATTAACAATCAACACTGTGTTTAGACAGATCATATGCTAATCACTCAAGCTAATAAAGATGAGAGTTCACCTTCTCTTCAAGGCAACATAATATCAGAATCTCCATGCGAGGATGCACGCGGAAATCTAGATCCAACACAATCTAAATCTACCTACTTAATGAAATGTCAAAACATAAAACAGGTGAGCCAGTTTCTATCTCAACTCAGTCCACCCTACCTACGTTACAATGAGAACTCTGTACGGTTCCACAATAAAAAGTCAGGACTACATGTTTTTAGTGTCACTGCCGCTGACCATAGGAGAGTTTTCTCCTGCAACGGTCCTTAGATCAACTTTTCAACTTGCTGGGCACTTCCAAGCAGTTCGAGTGTGCACACCTGTCAGTTTGAGTTCACAAATGTAGCAAAACCAAAATTATTATAACAGATTAACAACCAACTCTCCCAGACTGTTACATGTCATGATTTTCTGTAGATTTGACTACCTTTCTGAATTTTTTTTGCCCTAAGAAATTGTCATATTTTTTTTCTTCGTCTTCTGTTTCCTACTCTTCATCTCCTAAAGAAGAGAAGACTCTCAACCAACTCTTCTTCTTCCTCTTCTTGGCGTTCACTCACTGTCAACTCCAGCAGAAAGTTCTGCTTGTTCATCAATCTCTAGACTTTAGTCTTGTTACAGAACTTGAGTTTTGCAGATCTGGTTTATTTGTATGCAGACTCTTGGTTTGTTGCCTGTTTTGCAGCTGAAGTTTTCTAAGGAGAGAATATTTAGATTACCCGATTTTATCCATATTATTGCTTGAACACCCAATTGTCCAACATTTTAGCTAACACATAAAATGTAGGAATGAAAGAGTTTAAGTAACAAGTGCATGAGACAAGACAGAGTTGCAGTTAACTTTCAATACAACCATAAACAGAAACAACTCTCACCCTTCTTCCAGTCAAAACAAACTGAGCACTCGGTGTCGCCTTCGTAGCCATGTTCCGTGAAAATAGCATCCCCGTCCTCCTCAATGCCTTGCTGCAGCAGTTTCTTCACTTCGTCCTCATCTGCTATGTCTTCTCGTTCCCTGAGGTTCTGGACATGACACAAGGGATACAGCTTGTATTCACAGCATATTTATTATCTGACACACACACACACACACACATATATATATATATTTACACTGAATGGTTCGATGTGTGATGATGATAATCTGTCGAATAACTAACTATATACACACACAAACGTGTGCGCACGCAGACAGACACACTCAAGAAGACCTGTCTTCAGTTATGTCTGCAGCATCTGGAGCAGGCCGCAGTTTGTAGGACACAGTAATCAGATACAAACCTGGCAAAGCAAGGGAGCGCTGACCGACTGATGTCCCAGCTGTGTAAGGATGCAAACCTGGCATGCTAAAAAACTGCATGATTGTCACTGTCAATCACCATGGTGATTGCAGATGAGTATCCCAGCTGCCCATGGGGTTTTATGGCCCCTAGTTGGGGGAGAATGGGGGGACCCACTGCCTCCTCTGACAAGCATGTCCTTAAAGTTAACTGATTAGAGGTGTTAGTTCAAAGTCAGAGTGTATCCATCTGAGAGGTGTGCACCCAGCAGTCTACATTCAAACAAGCCAGATCTGTAACATGGATGTGCATGCAAAACTGAAATTATGGAATGAGACCTAAGTCTAGAAGCTAACAAACAACCAGAACTTTCCCCCAGAGTTTGCAGTAGAAGAAAGGACAGGATTTCAGTCTTCACTCAGTACTGCCTATGGGGTGAGGTTTGCCAGCCCTCCTTCGCCAGCCCTCCTTCATCAGCCCTATTTCACCAGCCATCCTTTGTCAGCCCTCCCTCATTAGCCCTCCTTTGTCAGCCCTCCCTCATTAGCCCTCCTTTGTCAGCCCTCCCTCATTAGCCCTCCTTTGTCGGACGTCTTTCGTCAGCCTGTATGACATGGAATGCTGGGTTACAGCCTCACAATTCTCTGCTTCCCTTTATGAACCCTAAAAGCAGAGGGCACGTAACTTCATCAATGGGTTACATCGTTGGCATGGACACATGTTGTTAGCACTTTTTCATCTTTCCAGATGACAGCTTTATACTGTGCTATGAGGAGGCATGCGATTCACAGCCTATGGTGATGGTGAGTGTGACAAGCAAGACGCACCTGCATTAAGAACAGTCTTCCACACTTAGGGATTTCATAACAAATGTTGGCATCATATGTTTTACTCTGTTTCTTCTCAGGCACTCAGTTTTAATCCGTTCTACAATCATTTCTCCCTTAAATCTCATTCCGCTGCTGACCTGCTGGCCGCACTTTTCCTTGCAACATGATCTATGACATTTTAACAGGGACACATTAGTAGCAACTGAATCATATGGAGACATTTTTAAACTAACATCCAGCCATCATGGATACATTATTAGAACACTTAGGTGCACAGATGGATACAATATAACTATTAACTAAGTCAACAAACAGATGCAGTTCAAGAGTAACGTCTCACCAGCATTGATACAATCTGGGAATATGAGTACTCCAGAACAGACGGGCAGCGGGGAAGTGCAACATTCAGCAACATGTGGAATACAGCCGACAGTTTAGATGCCTCCAAGTGGATGCAGCTTTTCAAAGCTGAGTTTAAACGAAGCCACAGCTCATCCTCATGTCCCCTCTGGAAGATTTAAAAACACATAAATAATTGTAGAGAACTAACAGACAGTTTTTGACAGTCAAAAATGAGATAGTTTACTTGTGTTTAGTCACATTTCTGGTGCTGTGTCTTCACTGAAGGAAATGCTGTTTGGGCGGACATTTTCTGGCTTGTGTTATGAAGGTTTTGTCAAGCATGCAGGCGACCTCGGACTGATTGCTGTTTAGTTGTAAATCTGTTCAGGTGTTTCTCAATTAATTCACAGAACTACGCAACTGCAATCAGTGCTTCTAAATACTGCAACACAATCCAAGGCCATATTTTTTAAAACTCTACAATGTTACGCTGAAATGAGGATTACATTAGTGACTGTTACGACTCAGTTGTAAACTTAGAAACCTTAACCCAATGTTGGGGAGCCGCAGCAGCAAATGGCTAGATTCTTGCCTGCTGACACAAAGGTTTTCAGTTTGAATCCACAGATACAATATAAAAAAAATACTAAACATATGCAAATGCTCAAACAAAACAAAGTTCTGTTTAACATGTAGCTTCCTGTCTATGAAAGGGATAGCGTGTGACACAGGAACATGTAGCTTACCGCCCATGACAGGGATATACTGTGACAGAAGTTTAACTTACAACTTACTTTCTGTGACAGGGATATACTGTGACAGGAGTTTAACTTGCAACTTACTTTCTGTGACAGGGATATACTGTGACAGAAGTTTAACTTGCAACTTGCTTTCTGTGACAGGGATATCATGTGACAGAGGAAGCAGATCATCATCACAGTTTACCATCTGTGACAAGGATACAGTTTCACAGGAGAACTAATTGCAGCTTACCATCTGTGACGGGATTTCATGTGACAGGAGAGGTTTAACTTCCAGCTTACCGTCTGTGACGGGGATATCGTGTGACAGGAGAAGCAGACCATCATCACAGCTTCAATAAACTCCAGCTTGGCTTCATGGCTAAACAGGATGTTGTTGGATCTGTCTTCATCCTCACCAACAGCCTCAGAAGCAGCCGCTGGTTCGATACTGAAGCTGCGCACAAACTTGGTGTTCTCCACGCTAAAGCTTCTGGTGATGTTTTCTCTACTGATGTCAGTGGTATCAGTTGAGGCAGTGTTGGCTGCGGTAAACTGAGGAAGGCAGTCGATGTCGATGGACCATCTCCTGGTTTCGCTGAGCTCACCGAGTAAGCTCAGAGCAAGAACCAAGGTTTCCTAGGAAGCAGAAGGTTAAACTGTCAGATATGGTAACCAATGCTATATAATTTTTGTGAAAGAGTGGTGTGGAGAGAAGGAGACGGAGAAAGAAGAATAGAGAAGAATTAAAAGGAGCTACCTCAGAACAAAACAATATGTCTTTGGAGTAGATATTGTTTAATTGTGTGACCTCTCCACAATGAAGCTTGGCTACAATGTACCCATTAATGGCTTTGGGGACATTATGTGGTTATATGTTATATGGTCGATTCTTGTATGACAGTCCAAAAACTATGATTACAATTAGGACTAATTGTCAAACTACTGTAATATAACTACACAATGCTTTTTTAAAAATAATAATACACAATATTAACAGATTAGAGCAGAAATATGAAAGGCATAATATCCTACATTTAATTCACCGGGAAACAAAGAAAGTTGTGAGACTAAAACTTGGTCAACTACTGATTAAAGCTTGCACAGAAAATAATACCCAGCCACAGAACCAGACATCAGGCTCTATTGCGGAAGACACAAGGTGATGGAGTTTTTCCGTCAGGGGCAAAATTAAACATTTTAACCTGCACATTCTCTGAGGACAACACTAGCCATGTGGCCCTAAATTCTCAGGCTCATAAGCCCTCTGTCTTTCTTCTTCTGCCTTCTAACCCCCAGCGGAGCATAGGCCCTCAACCAACTCACGCCAAGTCATTCTATCCTTCACTATCCTGATGTCCTCCCCAATTTTTAACTTCACTCTCTAGCTTCCTTCTCCGTGTATTGTTTGGTCTTCCTTTATTTCTATGCCCCAGTGGTTTCCAGTGCAAAGACATTCTAGTTATATTGTTCTCATGTTTTCTCAACATGTGTCCTATCCAATGCCAGTCTCTTTTCTTCACCTTTTTATTTTGGCTCACTGGAACTTGTTTAGTTCTCTACCAAAGCTCTGCATCAGTGATTCTGTCATACCATTCCATTCCCTCTATTCTGCTATTCTTTATTAGTAATTGCCTTAATTGTTCTCCATGTTTCCGCTCCATGCAAAAGTAGTGACTTGAAATAAGAATGTAAAAATTTTTAAGTTTAGTAATAGTTTTAATTTCTGTTGACCTCCACAAATTTCCTAGTCATATGAAAGCTCCTCTTGCTTATTGTATTAATATTTTAAGATCTCTATCAGTTCCCTCATCTTTATTTACATTACTGCCAAAAAGGTGTACGATTTGCATCATATTCCGGGAGTGGGACAGAAGAGAAATATCAATAGTGAAGTCCAGATCATCAAGCTGTTTTGTAGGGGTCCACTGAATTCCATTGCTGGTGTTAGCAGTTGCTGTCTTCACAACCCAGTCTATTGCCAGCAAATAAAGAAGAGGCGACAAAAGACATAGGCCTACCTGTCGCACATCTGTTTTTATTTCAAATGTATCTGTTAGCTTTCCCTCATGAAGAACTCAAATTTTCATGTCTTTATATGTTGCCTTTCCAAGTTAATAATTCTCTATGGGATTCCATAGTACCCTATTAATTTCCAAAGAGATTCTCTGCCAATGCTGTCAAAAGCTTTTTCATAGTCTATGAATCCAATGTAAAGTGATAAGTTCAGTTCAATGCTTTGCTCGATTATTATATGTCATTTGGCTATCTGGTCAGTACAAAATGTGTTTGGCTGATAAACCTGCCTGTTCATCTCTTAGCTTTTTATCAATAGCATCTCCCCGTGTGGGTTCCGGGGCCCCATTGTGGGGAAAACAAGAATAGACCCACTGCCTCCCCAAAAGCATGTCGTAAGAGTCGACTAATTGGGGAGTTTCCTTTGAAGTCGGAGTGCATCTGCCGGAGAGGCAAGAAACCAACATTCTGTATTCAAGAGAATGAGATCTGTAAAACTGATGTACACGCAACACTCAGGTTCTGGAGCAGGACGAGAAACCAGAACCTTCCGCCAGAGTTTACAGCTGGTGAACGCGAAGAAGAAGAAGATCAATAGTCTTTCCAAAATAATACTACTGACAATTTTTCCAAGAACTGACAGCAAAACAGATCCTCTATAGTTTTCCCACTACGGTAGATTATCTTTTTTTTTTTGGGTAGCACAAGATATCCTTCTCTCTAATCTTCTGGTATTTATTCAGTCTCTCAGACTTTTCTAAAAAATATTTATGTAGCAATCCTGTTGATGTGTTTATGTTGACCTTAATAACTTCTGCTAGGATACCATCTTGATTTGCCTCCTTCAAATGATGTATCAACTATCGTAATACAGCTCTGATCAGCCATTCATACATATGCAATTCTTCTGCAAGTCATCTTGAAGAGGACTGAAAGGAACTAGAATATGGATTAGAAGAATCACAGGCAAGTTTTAGATGTGGTAGAGGAACAAGGGATCATATTTTCAACACGGGAATCATACTTGAGAAATGCAGGGAGTATAAGACAGATCTCCATACATGCATCAAAGATTACAGTAAGTCCTTTGATTGTGTTCAACATTAAAAACAACTGTGGCATATATTGAGATGCATGGGATTCACAACACATTTGGTACATCCAATAGAATCTCTTTACCAGGAACAACAAGCAGCTGTAAGAGTAGCTGGTGAAACACTGGACTGTTTTGAGATGTAGACAGGAGTCAGAAAGGGCTGCATTCTCTCCTTTCCTTATGTATGCTGAAAATACTATCAGAAATGTAATTAGTGAAGAGGCCTGTGACATCTTCAATCCACAATTGGAGGCAGACCTATCCCATAACTCAGATTTGCTTGGCAGATGGCAAAATTCTCCTTTCCAACAGTGAGAAAGCTTTAAAAATAATAATTTAGACTGTAAAAAAGCACAGTAAATAAGAAAAAAAAAGAAAACTAAAATAAAGCCTACAATGAATGCAGCACAGCAAAAATGTATTAAATTTGACACAAAGAGACTGAAAATGTCACAGGTTTTTAATATTTAGATTCAAAAATGAACAAAAAATGGTGACTGCACAAAAGAAGTCAGAAAAAAGACTTGCTTTAGACATGCAAAGACTAAACAGAAGGAAGAACTTATGGTACAACATCTGCCACCATGTTAAAGTTAACATTTTGAGATCATGCATCTTTCCCGTGGTAACCCATGGCTGTGAATCATCGACTCTCTCTTAGTCTTTGAAGAAAAAATTGGAGCTTCTGAACTGAAATGCTACTGAAAAATTATCAGAATATCGTGGAAAAAAAGAAGAAAAAAACGTGAACATCCTGCATGAGCTGAACATCCTGCATAAGCTGAACATCCTGCATGAGCTGAACATCCTGCATGAGCTGAACATCCTGCATGAGCTGAACATCAAGGAGAATTGGCTCATACATAACATCCTGTCCCATCATCTGAGGTAATGTAGCCAAGTCGAGCGAGATGGCGGTCTGGAGAGAACGGCGACAGAGGGTGGAATTTCCAGAAAATGAAGCATGGGCCAGTCCCCACAAAGGTGAACTGATGGTGTATTGGCTATGAAAGCACATAGGGCTTGAGAATTGCCTAAAGAAAGAGAGATATTCAGCCGTGCAGTGAAGACAGTGATGTTCTTTAGAGAACCTACCGATTGACTGAATGTTGAATGCTGAATTAAGAATCAACATCACAGCACTCAGAAAACCCCCATAAGCGCTCTATCCCCATCTTCAGCAGCAGTAAAGAGTTCTAATATTCCAATGATTGACTGATTGATGACAAACCAATGGTAAAGATGTTGTTACCCACCTGAACTACATACAGACATGGTGATTCTCGGTAATATGCCCGGAACATGCGACTGTTCATGCACAACTTGGCACACGTTTTCCACATATCCAGCAGCACTGGAAGTGTCTCAATCATGTTGCTGGATGTGATCTCATCTACACAAAACTCTTTGGAAGTAGATTTCTTCTCAGCAGATGCACTACTGCTTTCATCACTGACTGACGATTTATATGCTTTCATGAGCTCATCGTCCATCAACAACGTCTTGGGGCTCCGACTTGTCTTGTCCTTGGAGTTCTGCAAGCTGATCTGCTGCAAAGTGGCTGTGACCATGCAAGTTCGTTTAGCCAGTGTGTCTATGAAAGTTTGAATGACCCCACCTCCTTCATACACAGACCTGTGGTCAGAATGGCTGTCCCGTAGCCGACGTTCATCAATCATGATTAAGGCTTCGAACACACTCATCACTGGAGATCGCAGCTGCTCGTACTCCAAAAGGTCTGTCAGTTTTGCTAAACCTTTCTTAGCCAGAAATATAGACATGACTTTGTCCACCTGTAAAACATATGGCAGGGCAGAAACACACAGAAGCATTACCGAGCTTGAGACGGATCCCACAAAGAGGCTGTCGTCTGTGGTGGATAGGTCCGTTGAAGCTAATGACCCACCTATGATAAATGAGTCATTAAGAGACTCTTGTGAGTTCAAACGAGAAATAGAACATGACACTGACGGCACAGACGATTGATTATCTCCTAATAATCCTGCATCTGAAGCTGTCATGTCTTTACTGACTTTATTAGTTTTATCCAACAAATCTTGTGCGTTAGTTTTATCCAACAAATCTCCTGCGTTAGTTTTATCCAACAAATCTCCTGTGTTAGGTTTATCCAACAAATTTCCAGTAAACAAAGAACATCTAGACTGCTCTGAAAATCGTCTCGGCATACGGACTTTCATAAAAAGCACATGTAAATACACTCCAAAAAACAACTCCTCCTTAATCTGGCTGTTGCCCCTGATGGCGAGAGTCATTAAATGCTTGGCACACGTGAGAGCTAGCCCTTCATCCTTGGACATGATGATCTTCTGCAGAAGCCTCAGAGACTTCCATCGCTCAAGAAGCTTCTGTCTTCTCATCTCCTCAATATCACAGCTAGAAAAACCAGAATCCATGGCTGTAGGAAGGCCAGCTAGAAGTGGGCTTGAACCTTCCAGGTAACAATGGACACATCGACTAGAATCATAAGAAGCAACTGAAGAATCTGCAGATTTGAATTTCTCTGAATTTTTTGTGCTGTTGCTATTTGGTGTCAATTTTATAACTTCCCTAGCTTCCTGTGCACCTTGGAAATGATCTAACAGGATTGAGGTCAGAGTGTCCAGGGCGTAGCTTCGAACCGCATGAGAAAATACTGGAAGTTGAGGCACAATGGCAGAAATGACCGCTTCTGGCTGCAGGCAACAGCAGACACCAACTGATCGAAGAGTGGACATCAGATGAATACGACTGGCTTTGAATTTGGCTTCAGAGATGTAATCCAGTAAAATGGTAGCTAGCTCAGCAACTACACATGTACCTGGCGCTGACGACATGTCTAGTGATGACTTCACTGATTGTCTTCGACTAAGATGGCGACTGTGACTAGGACTGTGTTCATAATCTGCGTCGTTGGTGTAATACTGAGTGGAATTACTGCTGGCATAATGAGGACTGCCCAGGATGTCGTGGTGGTGATCGTAACACATGCCGTACTCACAGTTTCTATGTCGACGCTTGAGGCATTTCATGGAGTGGATATAATTGACCTTGACACCCTTGAGAGTCGTAATCAGTGCACCAATGCAACGAATTGGGTCAGCAGTGACATCATTCATATGATGGACAGAAGCAACATCCAAGTGTTTTGTTCGAGGTGTTACCTTGGTAGAATCTCGTATATAGGAACTGCCTTCTGGTGGTTTCTCTTTTACAGCAGTTTCACAATCTGGAGAGGACATTTGATGACATTCTTCGAAATCCCCACTTTTTAGCTCAGAATGATGTTCAGTAGATCTATTTTCTGAATGAAGAGTCTGAATGTCTGGTTTCTCTGGGCTGTCCTCACAGCTGACCTCCACAATAAGCTGTGATACATTTGAGGTCAAGGTCGCGTCTGCAGACTGAGTATTCTTCACTTTCTCATCTTCATAGATGTTTGTCGAAGGTTTTGAACTATCCACAGAAGAAATAAAATCCTGTTCTACATTTTCAGACGTGGACGTTGTTTTCTCTAACAATTGAGTCCGGATCTCTGAGAATTCGATAAGTCTGTTAATTCTACTGACAATATCCGGCCTGGTGAGTTTCGATGTCAGGAAGTTTGCATCGTTGATGTTTGAGGGATTAAAGGGTAGGCTGTTGTAGATGGCTTGAAGAAGCTGCATGACACCACACACCATATCCATTGCCACAGCTGGCCCAACAGCAAATGTGTCGTCCACTGACCTGGGCACTTTAATCAATGTGTGGAAATCTTTCTCATGACTACCTGGCATCAGTGAATCCAAAATTTTTCTGTTACAAGATCAAACAAAAAGATAGTTAATTTATGTACATACTCCCTGTGTGGGTTTTGGGGTCCTATTGTGGGGAAAAATAGAAGAGACCCACTGCTCACTCAACAAGCATGTCATATAAGCCATCTAATTATTGCTTTTTCCTTCAGAGTGCATCTGCCTGGCGGGCAAGGAATCAACAGTCTGCATACAAATTAGCAGATATGTAAAATGGATGTGCATGGAAAACTTAACTGGATAAGACTCAAAAGTCTAGAAGTGGATGAACAACCAGAATTTTCCACCAGAGTTTATAGCCAGTGAATGCAAAGAAGAACAAGAAGAAGAAGAAGAAGAATAAAGAAGAAGAAGAAGTGTATATGCCTGTTGCTGTGGTGGTATAGAGGGTAGCGTGACTGCCTGCCAGCTCGGAAGTCATGTGAATGAATTCTCAACTAGGCTGGATTTTTTAAATAACTGATCTGGGCTGCCAGGTACTCCAGCTGAACATGGCTACAAGAAAATGAGCTGGGAGGAAAAGGCATCCAATATGATGAAGATCACATCCTTCATCAATTACTGATTAGTGTATTAATAAATAGTGCCAGCATCATCTTACCTAAGACACAACAACATTGGGACAACAGTTTTTTTAGTGTGTGCGTGTGTGTAAGTGTGCATAAGTGTGTATGTGCATTTGTGTGTGTAAGTGTGTGTAGGTTTTTGTTTAAATATCAATTATTTTGATGGCAATGACTGTTATAATGATATTAAAGTGAAGTGAATTATTTTGTTTTAGTCCATGACTGATTCCACTGCACCCAGATACCTCCATAAATGTTCTAGTCTCCCCCAGGGATTAAGCTAGGAAAACCTCAGCTCAGTGCACTAATCCAGAGCGCAAACGTGAATTCAGATGTGGCTATCCTACAATCCTGAGAGCTATAAACAAAAGTTGTGTGGATAGATTATTTCCTGTTAGATGTGGTCAGGGAGGTAACATATTGGCCCAGTACACTCCCTAAACCCACATCTTTAACCCTGTAGCATACCATGGTGCGGCACTGTGGCTGTGAGGTTAGTGACATCCTTCACAATGCAGTCCTCAGAATTAACCAGGGTTCAATTCCTGTGGTGAATGGTTCCGGAAAACCATTCTCATGGTATGACAATCATACCAAGGAGAGATTGTGGCCTCACAGAGGAGCATTTTTATAAATAAGCAGGAACAGGTTGGCTGCTATGTATCCATGTAAAGATGGCACCTATGTATCCATGTGAAGATGGCACCAATGTATCCATGTAAAGATGGCACCAATGTATCCATGTAAAGATGGCACCTATGTATCCATGTAATGATGGCACCTATGTATCCATGTAAAGATGGCACCAATGTATCCATGTAAAGATGGCACCAATGTATCCATGTAAAGATGGCACCAATGTATCCATGTAAAGATGGCACCTATGTATCCATGTAAAGATGGCACCTATGTATCCATGTAAAGATGGCACCTATGTATCCATGTGAAGATGGCACCTATATATCCATGAAGAAGATGGCACCTATGTATCCATGTAAAGATGGCACCAATGTATCCATGTGAAGATGGCACCTATGTATCCATGTAAAGATGGCACCTATGTATCCATGTAATGATGGCACCTATGTATCCATGTAAAGATGGCACCTATGTATCCATGTGAAGATGGCACCAATGTATCCATGTGAAGATGGCACCAATGTATCCATGTAAAGATGGCACCAATGTATCCATGTAAAGATGGCACCAATGTATCCATGTAAAGATGGCACCTATGTATCCATGTAAAGATGGCACCAATGTATCCATGTAAAGATGGCACCTATGTATCCATGTAAAGATGGCACCTATGTATCCATGTGAAGATGGCACCTATGTATCCATGAAGAAGATGGCACCTATGTATCCATGTAAAGATGGCACCAATGTATCCATGTGAAGATGGCACCTATGTATCCATGTAAAGATGGCACCTATGTATCCATGTAAAGATGGCACCTATGTATCCATGTAATGATGGCACCTATGTATCCATGTAATGATGGCACCAATGTATCCATGTAAAGATGGCACCAATGTATCCATGTAAAGATGGCACCTATGTATCCATGTAATGATGGCACCAATGTATCCATGTAAAGATGGCACCTATGTATCCATGTGAAGATGGCACCTATGTATCCATGTAAAGATGGCACCTATGTATCCATGTGAAGATGGCACCTATGTATCCATGTGAAGATGGCACCTATGTATCCATGAAGAAGATGGTACCTATGTATCCATGTAAAGATGGCACCAATGTATCCATGTGAAGATGGCACCTTTGTATCCATGTGAAGATGGCACCTTTTTTATTGTTATTTCATAACCTGTCCTATAAGTTGTCATGACAACTAAGGAGTTGTGATCTCACACTGGTCACTTCAGCCAGGAAACACCTGTAGTTACAGAATCCCACTAATCATTCACAAGCCTACAAAGGATTTGCTAGAGAATCTTATTCCCTACGGGGGTCGGGAGTGGTGCAGCGACAAGACTCTTACTTGCTGGCCCAAAGATCTTGGGTGTGAATCCACATTGAGCCAGATTTTTTCGCAATTGATCATGGCCCCCATGTCACTGAGAATAAAATGGGTACTATACAAAAGTCATAAGAAGTAAAGGAGGTGAGCGTGGTGTCTACCAAATGGCCCAACGAGGGCAGACTAGTCTAGCAGCATAGGCGCAAAGCATCACTGACGTGGAAAGGGACTTGATTTTTTAAATTCCCGGTTGAGAGATGAAGGGCAGCAGAAGACGTGGCCTATTCTACTGGTCTTCTAGTCTGCCAAATGCCAAGGGATTTAATCAAGTCCAATATACACATTCTCGGAGTTGTTTACCTTCGTCTGATACAGCTAGACATTTATACCATTAGCCGAGGATCTAGTATGAATGCAACCAGAACAACTACCAATGCAGGTGCTACACAGGAACAGTTCTGATGTTAAAGCAAGAGGCTGTCCTAGGAGAAGATGGACTGATGACATCAAAGAGCTTCTACATCGGCATGGAATGACAACATCCACTGCTCCCAATCAAGCAATGGATCACAAAGTGTTTCTCCCCACAGAGCTTAATGGCAGAAGTGAAAACTGATGATGATGATGATGATGATGATGATGACCAAAGGATCAGGGAAGGGGAGGGAGTACACCATCTATTTCTTACTTTGGTGACAATCCACTGAGTCTGCACTAGGAACTGATCATGAACCAGAGATTAACACCTTAAGAGCACGGTAGCCTAAGATCATTTAAACACACAAGCAATGAACAATAATGCAGAAGGAAAGACAGAAACAAATAAAAGGACAATACTCACAAACTGAGCAGATGCTCCACAACCTTGAGATGCATGAGGATTCTGACTCCATTCTGTTGGGTGGCTACAACAGCAGACAGTGTCAGGATGGCTCTCACTACCTGCTGTAGCAACACCAATCTCGGCCAACCTTGCCAAGGCACTCGCTCTACATCTTCATCTGCATCTTTGTTTCCATCCTCCATATCAACACCGTTGGTAGATGCAGGAGTGAGTTTTGCTAGATTCTCACTGGCCATTTTCTCCTGATAGGTTCGACTACTTGCACCATTTTGTGTGACATTTTCTTTCCTAAGGTTTTGGTTCTGAGAGTTCAGCCATTTTTCTGATTTCTTGATGCCAGTGTCTTCATCAAAGCCATAAATATCTGGCTTGAACTGGCTCAAAAAATATAGCAGATTTGGCAGAATTGTTGCTGATAATGTCCTGCCTCGTACATTTTGATTCATGTCCAGTTCCCCTAGGGACAGAAGAAGCTTGACCAGAATCTGGGCCAGGTGAAAGGAAGAGATGGACATGTCTGTGTCTTCAACTCCAACCAACGATCCCACAAACTCATCATCTGTTTCAGACTCCTCATCCTTCATAAACGCTGACCACATATGGGCCCTCATTCCTCTCTTAAATCTTGGCTGCCTGGACCTGCGGTCATCCACTCTCTGAGTATCACCAGCGTCACTCCCAGTCACTGAATCCTCCTCCTCTTCTGTGTCTGACATCTTAACCAGCAACAGCCTAGAAAAACAAACATGAAAAAAAGAAGATAATTCTATACTGAAAAACACACAAATTCAGTTAACCTAAAATCTGTCTATGGCTAGTAAAAGTATGATTAAACCGGTGCTGTCTCCACAATAAGGGTTGACTATAGTGTACCTCCTGCTGAAAATATTATGTGGTAAAGCCTTCAATTCTTCCATGGTAAAACTCTCATACTACTGTCTGCAAACCTCAAGAGCATCTTTCCTAACTGACTGCCAGGGAGTCTAGTACCAGAGACTCAAGAGGTGGTCATCACAGACATCAAATCTTATGTTCACTGGGCTTCTGGGTAGGAACCTATGGTGTGTTCTTTGGGAGTTGAAGAGTTAATAAACCACCCACTGCAAAAGTAAAATCTCCGTATTTCATCAAATTGTTGGATGTAATGAGTCTCCAGAGATAAGAAAGCACACAGTTATTAGTCGCTAAGTCATCAGAGGTATGAAAGCACACAATCAATAGCCTCTAAGTGACCAGAGGTATTAAAGCACACAATCACTAGCCTCTAAGTTACCAGAGATATGAAAGCACACAATCACTAGCTTCTAAGTGACCAAAGATATGAAAGCACACAATCACTAGCCACTAAGTGACCAGAGGTATGAAAGCACACAATCAATAGCCTCTAAGTGACCAGAGGTATTAAAGCACACAATCACTAGCCTCTAAGTGACTAGAGATATGAAAGCACACAATCACTAGCCTCTAAGTGACTAGAGATATGAAAGCACACAATCA